AAAAAATTGATTTAAATCAATGATCTCTTTCAGCCAAAAGGTGTTGCTCAAAAGATGCAACAATTATCAAGCTAAAGATGAAACAACATCTAAACTCGAACAATCAACTGTTCGTCATTCAGATAAATGTTCACACTGAAGCTGACCAAATATCGATAACCATTGGCCATAAAAAAATAACTCGCAAAATGGAGAAAAAATAAGTTCTTCACATGAAAAGCAAACCAAAAAATGGACTAAAAATCGATAATTTTTACCTCTATTTTTACTCGATTAATATACTGATGAAATGCTAATTACAAAGCATTTGATTGACAAAAGGCTGTTACTTGATCAATGGCCAGTTTGACAAGTTAAACGTAATCAATCGCTTTACTTGCCAATAAATTGAACCTCAATATTGGCCGAGTTAAAGTGAAAATTGAACAAAATCATTCATCAATTGACACAACTTTTGTTCATTTCTAGCGCTTCTTCCATTCACTCACAGTTTCAACATGAAACTGGTTAAAATGAATTTGCAGATGAAAACCAGACTCTTTTAGTAAATTTTTTTACTTGAAATATTGCTTCTTCTCTTGACCTTTTCAAGTTGATCAATTTTTCATTTTTATACTTTTACCAGAAAGACAGCATTGTAATAACAATCTTGACGTTTAATTTATGATTGACCATCAATGCAACATTATCCTTCATTACTGACCCAAAAGGTTAACCCACATTTTGAATAGCGACTGAAGTTTAATCTTTGAAAATTACATTTCATTGGTTCGCTTTCACCTCAATCATGATTGAATGTTTAAACAAAATCAATAACCTTTTCAAATGAGACAAAACAAGGTTGAAGTAAAAGTTAATCAACTCATTTGTTTCCCAGGTTGGATTAAATAGTGTCTGTAAATGTTGATTAAGATGAGACCTTTTTTTGATTCCCTTTCAGTTGTAAGCATTTTGTCTTGCTCTTTACTTTTCAACCTTTGGTTTTACAAGTTATTTTAGTCACAAAACAGTTCAAACTTTGCTCTTCAACTAATTACAATCTCAGATAACCTTGTTAACCCATTAGTTAATTATAGCCACCATTTGTGTATAAAAAAAGGATGCAAAAGAGGGAATCCAAGATTGTTGGAAAAGGCGAAATAAGTAAACATCAATTTTCAAAATGAAATAACATTAATAGAAGATGAAGAGAGAAAGTTTTTACCTGAGAAAAGGAGGAAAAAAAGTAAAGTTTAGATTGACTTGCAACTGTCAACTGGCCAAGGTAAAGGTTGTCACTGCAAACAAGAACAACATTGAAAGAGTTGACATTATGTTGATTTGGGTGAATCTTTTACCTCATGTAAAAGGTGGAACACAAAGAGAGAAGAAGGAAAAAAAAGTTCTGGTAAAAGGTAAGATGAGATGTTTTCTTCGAACATCTTTTTTCTTCTCTTCTTCTTCTTGCTACTTTACTGGCTAAAAATGAAATAAAAATAGTGATTCATTCATTATTCTGGACATGGAAACATTAATAGGTTTGTTGGGTCAAGTTAACAAGATAAGGTAGATAAAAGTAGAACCCTTTTTTTTACTGCTGTTCATTACAATATTATACAGGATTGGAATGTAAGATGAAAATGATGAAAAGGAAGAAACTGTTTTTTCTCCTTTTCTGAGTTTTTCGTCAATCTCGAGTCTTCTCTCAATCCTTGATTCTGTCTTTTTTCATCGATCAATTGACTTGTTAAATGAGTGGATTCAGGTTTTTATTCATCTCTATTAACAATCCCATTATCATTTGTGCATCAACATTTACTTTTTTTGTCCTTTTACCTTTTAATGTTCATCTTGGTGAAGAGGTTTGAAGGCGCAAAATCTGTCCCCATCATGATGATATTAATGAGAGAATCACAATTTTCTGTCTCTACATTTACTCTGTAAATTGTGGCCAATCATCCAGGCAATCAGTTAATGATATTACTCTGTCATTATCGACTTGCTATCCATGATTAGCAACTACTTGATCAGACAAACAAGGCTAATCATCGCTTCGAATTTCAATCAGTCAAATTGATCAGCTTCGACCAATGTTGACAAAATGAAACTTGAAAATCATTTTTCGTTTTTTACTTTCAACTTGAATAATGAAGTTTGGAGGAGAACCGGAAAATGAATCAAAATTTCAAAGTTGTCCATTTATTGGTTGATATTTGGTTGCTTTTCATGATTATTATTTTTCTTGTTTTCCGATAATTTATCTTGTATTGTAGACTCAAATTGCTGTAATTGAATTGAATAAACATTTCATTGTATGTTTATTTAGTCAGCTTCAATGAAATGCTAATCAGAAAGAGTGAGAAAAGGTGAAAATAAAGTGTTGAAAGAGTTGGAATGGATGGAAAGGATTGAAAGTGAAACGTTAAAATAAACAAACAGAGAATCATTTGGATAATTATAATTTATTTTTAATTGATTCAGTGAGATAATGTTGGCTGTGCTGCAGGGAAACGAAAAGTAAATTAATCATTTGAATGGATTTTTTTCTCATCAAATTATCATTCCATGAATTTCATATTTTAAAATGTTTACCAATTGTTGTATCATCAATTGATGAAACATAAAATCGACTGATTCAACTGACGCATTCATCAATGATGAAAATCATGCAATTTCAAGATGATCAAATAACAAAGTGGTAATAGGAATGGTAAGTAAAACAGACTTATCTTTAACAAGTAACCGTAATAATGATAGCAACAATCACAGAAATAAATTGATGTTTTAAATTGATTTTAACCTTTTACTTTCGCCATTCACTCTGTTCATGAAAACTCCGTGATCAATGAAGATTATGAAATTTTGAATCTGAAAAAGTCGTTAGGTAATTCAATTTATTCCGATAAATAGTCTGGATTTTTCAAAAAATCGATTATGTTCATATTTTTTATTCGATTTTCCTTTTTCTGGTATCTTTCGGTTGAGATCCTCGATTAATAGTGAATGATGCGATGATTATGATCGATCAATCTGTGAGAATCGATCTTTAAAGCTCTTGTGATCGACCTTAGATTTGGTTAGGTTAGGTTAGGAACCTTATTAATTATTTAAACCTTATTTGTGCGTTTAAATCGATTCAATAAGTGAATGTAATCGATTCACTTTCTGCGATAATCGATTCTTAAAACATTTTTGATTTGGTTCCATTCAATTTTTGTTTGCACGAGACGATTCCAGAAGACGTTGCCTGAAATTGTCAAGGACTTTGAAGTTGATTACTCTAACAAGACATTCAATGATCTTTTTTTCTAATTCATCGGTCTTTCATGGTCATCCAATCAATATGAAAAACAAAAAGCACTTAAAAATCGAATCTCTTTTTTTTGTATCAAATTATTCCTCCCTGTTATTTCTTGAATTTTCATCCAATTCTTTCCACTTATTTTGTCCACTTTCAATGTGTTTTTCAAAATTTCAACAAATTTATACTTGATTTACTTTCAATAACAAAAAATATCAATGAAACGCTTAAACTGTTTCTGGGAGTTTTTTTTCACTCCCAGTTAGTGTTTACTATTGCAAGTAAAATTTTGCTGAAAATTAATAAAATTGTTGAAACCAATCAATTTTTACTAGCAATAAAAGTCTGTCAGGTTTAAGTTTTTTATTGATAACTAAAAGTGTCTCTCCTTTGTTGAAACCTTGGACAAGATTGATAACATTTACAGGTAAACTTGCAAGTTGAACATTTGACCAATAAAAGTAAAAAATGTTTGATCTTTAAACTGGACAACAATTTGCTACAATTACTTGAACCATTTGTTGACCAAAAGATCATTAATAATGTAAAGTCATCATGTTTTACTGTAACCTGTTCATCGTGATTAATGATTGAGCTGATTTAATTAACTTTCAAAGTATTCACTTGCGCCCAACATTGAGTCAAAGCTCAACATTGAGTCTGCAAAAAAAAGGTGTTCAGATTAATCAGTCTAAATAAGTGTAAAAATTCATCAAAATTTTTACTCAAATTTCGATATTAAAATGAGAAATGTGAAAACGAGTAAAGTTTATCATTATCTTTAACTAGACGTAAACTATTGAAGCTGCCGAGTGAAATAATTATCATCATCATCAACATCATGGGTAAACAGTTTTCATCAGTTTGAGTTATTATGATCATTCCAAGTGAATTACAGCTTTCATGAATTGAAGTCACGAAATGATAATGCATTATATTCATTATATTCATTCCAATTCTTTCAACCTGTCTTTTTGAATCAACATTTTCGTTCACCTTTCATGAAAAAGCAAAAAAAAACAAGTTTTACAGTAAAATTTATTCTCATCATTCCCAGTGTTGTCTGTCTAAATTTCAATCAAATTTTTATAAATGATGTTTCAATTCAATCAGGCAAAGTGATGAGGAAAGAGATAAATGAAAATTCATAATTTTCTTTTCTTTTCTTTCTCTTTTTTTCTCCTTCTCTTTTAAATTCACCTTCAACTTCCTGAAAGTTTATTACATGAACAATTCAACATTTTCTTCCCTGCATTTACCTGTCTATTTTTACCTTTTGCATTCTTCTGTCAATAAATGGAGGTAAATGTAAGAGTCCAAATCCCCGAACATTCAGAACAAAATCATGTTTTACTTTTATTCGTTTCTTTTTTTACCTTCACCTTAACAGTTTTAGGCTGTAGATTTGTTGATATTATTGGTTGGTACAGAAGCAAATAACGTATAATCAGGTTATATTCAGTAAAACAGAATGAAAATATGATTTTCGTTGTAAGCAAAAGAGAATTTTTTTCTCTCTTCTTTATACATTTTCCTCCATCCATCTGAAATTTCACCTTGAATCTCTTGGAAACATGATGTTCATGTGGAGCATGCAAAACAGAAGTAAAAGATTGCGAGTAAATTTTCACCTTCAAGAGCTGAATCATGATTTAGGAATAAAAATTTTTTGCCTTTTTTTTGGTTTACATGAAATGGTCGTAATGATTGTTGGACTTACCTCGTTGAATCCAAGTAGGAATGCGTCTGCAAGCTTGGAGTGAATTGTTTTGTAATCAAATGTATCAACAATGTAACGTTGTTTGATTGTTTCACAGATAATCCGATGTGACCAGTGAATATAAGGTCGACCAAGGATAAAGTATTCCTTGAGGAAGGGATTTAGTTTGGCTTTAATAGCTGGCCAAATGGAGTTTGATTCAAATTGATGTAATGATGATAAGAGATTATTGTCTTCTTTAACATTGGAACAAGTTTCATTATTTTTATCACTTGAATCATTTTCACTTTCACAAGTTGACTGTTTACGGTCAGAGTCATGTTTGTTGTTGTTTCCAGTTTCATCTCCATTACCAATTAAATCAATCAATTCTTCTTCTCGTAATCCATATCGTGTTCCAGATAAATAAGTTAATAGACGATCAATGGTTGAACAAGGGAAGCTTTTTTGTAGCTCATCCACAGTCTTTTCAATTAGCTCATCAATGGTGATGGGAATGTCAGTCATCTTTAGGTTGACTTCAGTCGTTTGGCTGGTGGAGTCTGTTGCATGGCTGGACCCACTTGAAGGAGTCACTTCTTGTCCTGGAAGGTTGCTTGGTCTGGTTGAGGGTTCACTTGAGTTTGGGGTACAAATCAATGGGACTAGTAAAGTGTCGGTCAACAGTGATACATATAGCGGTGTGACTGGATTTGTTTTTACGATTGCATTGAAACGCTCACTTAGAAGGTGCCAAACCTTTTCTGGTAACAGTGTTTCATTTGGCTTGGACGAGGGTTGATCCAGAGTATCACTTTGTTGGTCAACGATGGATGTGTAACCTCTAAGACGACACAGAATCATTGAGAGTATCTTTGCTGTCGACTCTAATGGTGTCAATTTGATTACATTATCACTTGGGATTCGTGATTTAAGTAGACTCACAACAGCATCCGACTCTTCGGTTACAGAGCAAATTAAGTGGACAGAGGGAGGTAAAGTCCATGGTAGCCAACCGAGAATGGTTGATGTTTGAAGTGACTTGAGTAAGTGTAGATCGTCCAAAACAATGACTAGATCGTTGGTTGGACAAGTTGTCTCAATTTGCTTAAGCAAATCATGGAACCACAGGGAGAGTGAGGATAACTCGTAGACAATGTCGGTTCGCATTTCGAACCCATAGACAAGGGTAATGTCAATGCAAAGTGATCTGATTAGTTCTGAAGTGTACGATGAAGATGGACTTTGTCCAATATGTCGAACCACTTTAATAACCTGAGAGTCTGCAGATAGCCACTCGGAGCAATAAGTGTAAACCTGGCTGAGCAAGCTTGACTTGCCTACTCCTGCAGGTCCAACAACAATAATGGGTCGATGTCGTTGTCCAGTCAAGACTGACTTTTCCTGTGAAGCAGTTTTCATTAGTAGTCTAATTGTTTCCAAAGGTGAACAAGGGTCAGTGTAGCATGATGAGCCAGAAGCAATGGAATGTGCAATCGATATTGATGAGGAAGATGATGATGATCCAGGTGCAACTGGTGTTGATGAAGAAGACTGTATATTGGCATCAGCAGGTCTACTTGCAACTATTGGTTCACCTGCATTTTGCCTTTCAGATGAAACTGAATCTTGACCCAAAATGGACATTAATTTTCGAGTGTTGCACATGCATGAATGAGATTCACGAATAATTTCCGGTATAAATTCAAAATGATTATTTGACTTGTTGACAGCTTCTTCAATGGAATCAGCCAGGGATTGGGAAAGTTGAGATGTGATCAAATCGACGCTTTCACGTCTCAAGTTGGATGCTGATTCAGACATTGTGGCTGTAAATTGAATCAAAGGTAATCAAATGATGAAACAAGAATGAATGGAAAATTTCCTAAATCAAAAACTAAAAGCAATTGATTCAACAAACACTGTTGCGTGATACTGAAAAGGCTGCCAATAGCCAATGGAAAGAGAATGGATTGATGATTAAATTGAATAATATTGACTGGGAGTTAGAAACTGGGATTTTATAATAACAACAAAAGACTACCAATTTTTAAACAATGAATATGTAGACATGTAACAAGTGATGAATAACAAAGAGTGAACTTTCACTTAACAATCAACAGTCACATTCGGATGAGTAAATTACTAATGAAAATGAGGCCAAAACACTGAACATTAAACACGAAGCCAACTTATATGAATGTTGAAGACACAAGACACGGATATGAAATGAACAACAGAAAGGAAACAAAAGTCTTTCTAAGTTTTGCTTTCAATTTACTGGGAATTTCAAATGGAAATCACAAAATGAAATTTGGATTCTTTAATTATTAAACTATGAATTTATGCGATGAACTTGGTAAAAGTGAGAAAGTTTTACTTGTCACTATAAATAATGAGTTATCATGACTTGTTTGACTTGACATCAACTGGGTAAAAGAGGGAATTGAGATGAAAGTGAATAAGGAATGTTTAGTTTAATCAAAATGAAGATGCGCACAAAAATATCTTTCCAGTTTAGATGAGAAAGAGAAGAAAGGAGAAAGAATCTTCGCTTTCTTTTCTGTTCTTTTATGGATAACAAACTCGATTTTACTCGAAACCATAAATCGATATAAAACGAGCAAACTTGTTCAGCAAGGCTAAATAGGCTTGTACAGCTGTGCAATCTTCTCATTCTGTTGCTTTCGTTTACTTCTTCATTTGAACCAGCATTTCATGATACAACTTGGTGCTTCCATCTGTTGCTACTCATTGATGGTGAGAATTTTGTAAAACACGAAGTGTTTTTTTAGTTCAATTTTTTGCCCTTTTGTATTCTTTTCTGATTGATTTGCTTCGTTCATTTTCTTTCGACAGAATTTCTGAAATGATTCAGTTCCAAGAATAATCGATTTACAAAATGTATGTTCGCGAAAAGTTTTCCTGATTATTGCGTGACTTTCCTCTAGAAATAAAAGACTCATGATATGTAAAAAAAATTTTGCCCAGCTTTTCGTTTAGTTTTGTATTATAATAATCAGGTGAGTTTGAATTGTAGCTATCTTTTTCTGTATAATAAGAATGAGCAAATCTGCAAGAAATTGCATTAAATACATAATAAAACATAACATGAATGAAAACCTGGACAATTTCTAATTTCCATTGAGTAATGATAATGTAAAAAACTTCAAACAATAGAGTTGAGTTAGACAGGAGTAACGAAGCCATTTAATAGGACAGTGTTTGAACAGCTAATGAGTTTTAAACGAGCAAATCATAACAAGTTTAATTTCTTTTATCCCGAGTGCTAAAATTCATTCGATTGTGACTCGATCTAAGCGGATTAACCATATAACTATTAATTATTTAAAATCGAAAAAGTCACTTGTAAAAAACGACATCTTGGTACCTTTGATAAATATTTATAGCTTCACAAAGCTCTTAATAGACAAGTATATCTCAATTTAAAGATAAGAATCACTTCGGATTCCATAATGAATTGGTTTAGGTATGTACAGTACAGTTATGAAACAGTTACTGCGTGGCTTATTGGCATTTAGCGTAAGTACATTTTATCACAAATTATGCAATTAGCCAAAATGAACGAATGACCCAAAAATTTATTATTAAAATAAATTTACATTTAGTTTAATCGTTTAATGGTTCTCTTGATTGGCCACAGCGACGGAAAATATGTACGGGTCTAGCGAGATCACATGATCATGAAATTTTAACCGTAAATTGATTTACAGATGCAACATCTAGGTTTCCGCATTCAATATAGTTTCACTGTAATAACAGTTTGATAGGTTAAATGTTGCCATCATCGAGTTGAAAGTTCACAAGTTAACTTTAATATTTCCCTTTACGCATTTTTTGGTATTTATATGACTAATTACCTTAATCAAAGCCAGCATTATCATTTAAATTTTAACCATTTACAATCGATCAATTGTACCTTACATCGAACTAATTTTTTTGTAATCAATCCTTGATAAATATTCAAATATAACACTCAGAGATAACATAGAACAGTATTTTTTAGTGTTCAAGATCTTTTTTCTAATGATAGTGTTCCAGCAAATTTCATCGACTGAGTAGAAATAAGTATTAAATAATTTATTAAGATACGATTTCTGCCTTTAAACTGGGTTTAATTTAAAAGCATTATTCAAAATCATCAGAAGAAAAGCAATGTACAAAAGAATAAAAGAATTAGGAAAATCTTGTGTTTTGCCCTCTAATTTCCTAATTGAGTTTGTTCAGTTAGGTTTTCAATAATTTGCCAAAAAAATGGGCAGTGAAGATATTTTGACAATGATTTTTAAAACGATTCTTTATATTGGAAAAGTATCGTAACTTTCTAACAAAAGATGTCACCACACTGAGTGAAAACCATTCTGAATTTGATATGAAGTTTACTCAAGTTGAACAGAAAATTGAAAAGCGGAAAAGGCTAAACAAGAAAATGATTTTCTGTGCGCATCTTCATTCCCTTTTATTAAACTATTCATTTTTTATCCACTTTCATCTCAATTCATCGTTTCAACTGGTTGATGCAAAGCTGCACAAGAATTCATGTCAGGAAAAAGTAAATTAATTTTAAGTTTATCATCAATACTCCATATTAGTTCATCATGATCCATTTCTTAGACTCTTTATCACTTATCAACTAACAAAACAGGAATCAGTAACTTGTTTCAGTGCCAAGTATTCATTTCTTCAAATTAAAGTTATCATAAAGTTGATTCACTTCAACAGTTTGTATCATAACTCTCACCAAATAATCATTCATCAAGCCAATGTGATTGTTGATTGTGCAGCCAAAGTGAAAAAGTGGACTGAAAATTGATTACAAACTTCCTTCACTTGTTACGTGTTGACATTTAACGGTTAAAAATAGAAACTTGAGTTATCAAAGATCAATCCTTGTTCATCACTCCCAGTCAATGCTGTCAAACAAACAGTTCAAAATGGGAATGTTTGAATAATAGTTGAGTTCAATTTGAATCACATTTCAATATCTTGAGTTGAATTGAAACTCTGCAAATTAAACCTTAGGCAAACGAATCCAATTAGTTGAAAATCGAGTCAACTTTTTCTCTCAATTTGAGCAAATAAAAGTTCAACAAAAGATACAAATTTATTCCAAATTTTTCATGATGCATTGAAGCTCGATACAAAAGTAGCAATCAATTGCCTTAGTTGAACCTTCAAAATTATCTCTGAAATCAATACTCGAAGAATGATTATCTTGTAAAGTAAGAAATTAAAAGATATTGAAATGTCGATTCAGAAATGCTCTTCATTTTGGTGAAGTTATTTTTGGTTAAACTTTTTGAACAATTTATTCACCTTTACTCAGCAATAATTAATAAGGAGATAAAGCATTGAAAGCATCAACTTTGCTCAGATTGATTCAAGTTGATATTGTTGAATAAGTTATTGATCATGATGGATAATACAGTGATAAGTGATAACAATTTAACATCAAAATTGATTCCAATCGAAACGAGTTTCAATGTTTCATCCAACCCAACATTTCATCGTTATAATACAACTTGGAGAGATGTAATTGAACCTTCACTCATTGGCTATATTCCCGACTTTTGGTTAAACTTTGAACCTCCCAAAAAATATCAACACTACATACTTGGTGTAACATATCTGCTTATCCTGGTTCCGGCCATTTTCGGCAACGGAGCAATTATATGGCTCTTCTATCGGTAAGTTTCATCAGCAACATTATTAAACTTTATTTTCCTTCAGTGATTCCCTTTGAATATTAATGATAATTCATTGAAATGACGTTACAAGATACTTCGATGATTACATTTTCATTTTAAATTTATAATTTCCTATTTCGTTTACATCTTTTTTTAGACAATCCAAGTATCTTTGAAAACAAGTATTAAATATGCAATTGAATTAGCTTTCTTGTCAAAAGTCATAAGTCAAAATCACAATAACGTAAAAAGATGTTTATATTAGTAATATAATATTTAGCTCTGAATGAAAATAAATAATTTGTTATAAAGTCTTTTCCATGATTGAAGTTTGACTTTTACTTGGATTATATTGTTATTTCAATATATTATCATGAAATTTTATTATTCTAAGATTCAAGTTAAAACTTAATTTTGAAACATTTCATCTTATTTAACAGTTGCCGTAACCTGCGAACTCCATCAAACATTTTAGTCGTGAATCTTGCACTAGCCGATTTGATACAAAACTTAAAGATGCCTCTTTTCATCTACAATAGCTTTAAATGTGGACCTGCCACGGGCGAGTTGGGTAAGTCAACTTTCCTTCAACAAACTCCAGTCTTTAATGGCAGAAGGTTAGACCTTAACGAAGCAAGAAGCTCTAAGGCAAAGGCACTAAACTGGTATGAAGCAAGTGTTAGGTTTTAGTTTTCATTGCAACATCGCAATAAGACGAGTAAATTTCCTGATTTTTCAAACCCAAATGTTCAATCACAACGATTATTTGTACAATCAGAATTCAATCAAAATTGTTGAAATTATTTGTGCAAGAACAAATCTTTCACAATCCAGAAATGACAAAATCATCAAGAACATGAATTTGACAGAAAACTAACAGCACTTGAAGATTGATTGATTATCTGATTTGATTGCAAAATACAATTTCATGTGAAGAACCAAAATCAAAGTTCATACAAGAACTGAAATCCAAAAATCTTATATATTTACCTTGCTTGATGTTTCAAAATAGTTCATAATCGATGAAATAAATAACTCGAAATCTAAATTATAGCTCTATCGAGAGTCATCAATCGTCTCTGATCGTCTTTTGCTCAACCTTTCGAGTTTTCCAATTTCGATGTTTTTCCTTCCAAAAGTTTCTCGCGATTCTCATTTCATCTCAAGAGACTAATTAATAAATCAATTAATACAAATAGAAGGCGTAAAAATGAATAATTTAGTTAATGATCAACAACTCTTTTCGACAAAAACATTATCTCTTCGATCAACTCTGTGTTACATTGTTTCTTAATATTAAATCTTGATTGCATGATGGATAACATTGTACTTGAAGCAAGTCCAATTCAGTGCAAGTTATTCAGCAAAGTACATTTAAATTGCAGATTTGAAACAATGAATGTTAATGTCAATTTATGAATCAAACTGAATATTGAACACTTTCTTTTCCCATGATTGATGGTCTAATTGATTTTGAAGGTAAACCCAGTAAATTGTAACCAACTTCAACGGTAAACAATTACATTTGATTACAGGTTCAACTTGAACATTATTGTTGAAGCTTGTCAATTAAAAGCGTAAACTTGTCAACCTTTTTGCAGCACATTTTACAATAATAATTGGACCAAGTAGCAAATGTCGATTAATGACTTTTAAAGCTTCATGTTTCAAACAATCAAGACGATGAATCTCGTGAGAGGCAACAATTTACAAGTGAATCTCCAATCAATCTGAAAACATGTTGATTAGCTGTTTGATTGTAACCAAATTGAATCCATTAACTTGATTAATTTGTTTACACTCGACACACAATTCACTTGTCTCTCTATGGAGTTTCATTAATGAAAGTTGAAGAAAAATTTGTTTTTTTTCATTTTTCCATCCATTTCGCCATCTCGTCACCAATTTCATGCCAATAAATGAAGAAAAGAAGATTAATTTTCGTTCCAAGATGATCATGAAATCCTCTTAACATATGATTCCATTTGGTTAACCTTTTTTACAAACTTTTCCTTCAAACTTTTCTTCCAATTATTTTTTTCACCAAACCAAATATTGAATTACAGTCGAGACATGGACAATAATTGCTCATCATTAATAAAGCATTATCTGGATGGAATGAAATTAGAAATTGAATTTTATCAAATTTCATTTCAACTCTTGTTTTCCACTTTGATTAGTTGACAAATGAAAGAGCAAAATCAATCGGAAATCAAAGTCGAAATTGAATTATTTAAATTTGGCAAAAAAATGTTCAAATCTGTTTGGAAATTCAAATTTTTTTCTGGAGAAAAAATTCTAATCAATTGTTTCGAAACAAAACAAAGCACTTGCTCGGAATATTTAATGAATCTGAGAAAACATTTTGTTAATGATTCAAAGTTCAGCTATTGAATCGTTCTGACGAATAATTGGAAATGAGAAAAAATCAAATTTCGATATCGTCAGAGTTTTCCATTTGCAGTTGAAACTTTGATTCATCACAACAGGTAAATCTGATGTTTACTGGAGTTGGTGAAGCACGACAGATGTTGGCTGAAATGAACTCAAACATTGAGTTGACTTTTGTTTTTTTTGCCATTTTGTTTCTTCGTTTTTACCAATTCACTTTTTATGTTTGCTTGGTTCAACATCTTAAAGGATCATCAGGAGGACAAAGTAACAGTACAGTAATGGTGGGATTGATACAATGATAATAGACTTTAAATCCAGTTGGATTAACAGGATAAAAGTAAACTGTTGCTTTGCTTCAGGAATCTCAGTGTAAGGAATGGAATAGAGGGAAAGAAGAGGAAAAAATTGAACCAAAAAAGAACCCAAAGAACCTAAAAAGTGAATTAAGTTATTCAAAACAGTGAACTTGTTGAAAGTCAAATGACATTGAAACGACTTTGAATTGTTTTTTTCTTGAAATTGCTTTCAGAATTTTTCATTTCACGAAAACATGTTTCTTATTATTTCTTGCATTAACTTTTTTACTTCATCATTTACTTTATTACAATCATTAAGTTGGACAAAAATGAACAAGAAAAAAAGATTTTTTAATGAAAAAGTAAATTCAAAGATTGCTTGTAATTGAACAAAGGTTCATCATTTAACAAGTTACAATGTTTCACTCTTATTAATATCATTGTTAATCTGATCAATTTCCAGTTTCTGAGTTTGGAGAGAATTGGTTTTCTCTTTGAAACGTTTCCATTCCGAGGTTAGGCAGAGTTTATCAATGAACAATTGAGGCAACATTCGGCTTGGAACATCATTGATGTTTATTGAGAGTTTTTGCTATTATGGATATTTGAAGCATAAAAATACTCTTTTCTTTGTTTTGTTAGAGAGAAGGAAAAAATCCCCTGAAAATGATATAACAATGTACATTCACTGATAAATAGCTTTTTTTGCTTTCCATTTGACTTTTCTGATTATTACATTCAATAGTTTACCAATAAAAGTTAGCAATAAACAGGCGAAAATATCACTCCCAACATGTTGATAAGAATGGTAAGTGCTATTGAAAAGGGGCAAAAAGTCATGAAAATCGTCTTTTCTTCTCGTTCTTCCTCTCCAATAATGAACACTTTTATTGGATAGACAAAGGTTTACTTTTGCATCAATCATTGTTATCTCAGTTCTGAAACTATTCAGGGTTTCTTCATATGTGAAGCCCAAGGCAGATCATTTTTTGTTTCATTGTTTTCATTCATATGCAAACTCGTTATTTTTTGCCTTCATTTCCATTACATTTTTTACTTTCATTATTTTCAGTGATTACAATGAAAACATTGAGAGACACTTTTAGCGTAATTGTCTGTAAAATTGAACCAGTTAATTAGAAGCTCTGTTTTTTGCCTTCTCATATTCATGAGTGTGAAATTTCATTAAAATTTCAATAAATGATCAAAGCTTGATTTGTCTAGATTTAAAATTGCTTGAAATGCTTTTCAATCACAATAAGTAAAGCTTATTGTAAAATGGGATTTGTTTTTACCGTAAACTTCAATCTTATAACGAGAATAATCTCTGAATGAAAAGCTTGCTTTTAGAGGATTGATTGAAGTAACCTTTCAGTTTAACAATTTTCCAATTCAATTCAAAGTCAAGATAATAATTCAGTATAATTTTAATCGTTGGGTTTCCATTAAAACGGAAATTATTGAAAGGATTTATGATAAAGGTTTACAGAGTCTCTTCACTTGTAAATGCCTTCAAGACAGAAATCAAAAAATCTTTAAAATAAGAAAGAAAAATGAATCGAACTTTTATTTTTTAAAAATTGAAAAAATCGTTCATCAAGAAAATTTCAAGTGAATTCTTACTCCGATTAGAAGCAGTTTCAGGTTTATTCACAAACAGTTTTGAATTCAATTTTTCGGGAAATTTTATTTTCTTTGCTCGTTCATTTTTGCCTTGATTTTGCCATTAAAATGAACTAAGATTATCATGCAGTGAGTTTGTTTCGTTGAAAGGCTTGAAAATCATTAAAGTAATATTTACATTTTTCTTGGATTTGCTTGTAATGTTTAACTAAATTACTAAATAATTATCATTAAATTTGAGACTTACATGAGTTGATTAACCATGAAAGGAATGAAAGTTTCATCTTTAGAGTTTTAACTGTTCAACTGATTTCGCCAACAATTCTGATGAATCTTGTTCAAGCTCAATTGAATCATTATTGAGTCAGTTTTGCAACATGCAAACACTTAACGGTTAAGTGTTGACATTACATGGATTAAATTGTGGCTTGGGATGAGATAACAGGGTAATCAGATTCACAAATGAATAAAAATGAATGTTACAATGTTTTTTATTCAATTGTTTTTCTTTGTGTTTTCTTAATGGAAAATATTCAATGAGAATTGATTTTTTTACTGTTTCAGTCTTGCACTTGTCCAAGTTGAAAATATCATGTGAACTTTGATAATCTTGTGAACAGTGAATGTCAGACTTTTTTAAAAGGCAACGAGAAAAGGTTGACAAATTGAATCAACTTCAATTCATTTTTCCAATGATTGAGTAAAGCAGAGTAAATGGCAATCGACTGGAATCACTTTACTCTTTCAATCTGTTGTAATCTTAATAAGTCTAATAGGGACAAAAAAGGATGAAATGCAACCTAAACATGGAAAGTGTTTCGCAAAATTTATCATTTAAGGTAAATTGCAACTTTAACTGAAACTCAATTGAAATTACATGTTCAATGTTTTTTGTTTTTGCTCATTAAAAATCTTCCATTAAAATAATTTTCATTTGATTTTGCGACTAACAGAGACTAAAGTGGCTGAAATAAGGCCTTTGTACAGTTATATTTGTCATTACTTCCAGAAATTAATATAAAACATGAATTGGACTTGAATATGAACTTGAAAAGTTGAAGTATTTACGTTTCATATTAACTGTTGAGGGATAAAAAGACGACAATTTATTTCATTTTTGTAGTCCTAAAGGTTGCTTTTGATGGTAATGATGGTGATGAAAGGGAAAATGAATGATCTCTCGAGAAACCAAGCATGAGCTAAATGTATTTAAAAGAGGTGAAAATATCAACTCTTAATAATGAATAGTGTTAATAGTCCATTAGTGATTTACCATTACCAACAGCATCATGATAATCACCTAGTTTTACCGAGGAATTTGATGGAAGGTTGAATGTGCAATAAATTGGGCTTGTAATCAATCAATTAACCATCCGAGATGAAAGAGTTAAGGTTAAAATTTTGACATCTAAGTAATCTTGTTGATCAAAAATATGGTCAGTTTTGTCTCAATTTCATCCATCCATAGTCTTGAAATGAATCTTTTGTTGCCATTTACTTTCTGTAGTAGTTTGATTTTCCAGCTATTTTTGGATATTTTATTGTAGAGTTAAGAGGTCCAGCGATTGATTGTTGGCATCATGAAGTAAAAGATATCTGAGTTGAATTAAAACAGCAGAGATTTTAATCTTCCATGTTCCTTGTTCCAAATGTTTAAGAATAACATTATTATCACTTTAAATTAATATGTCCAACATGTTGAAGCTCTCGACTCTTTTTGTTTGACATTTACACCTGGCTAACATGATAAATGAATTTTCTTTATGATTGCAATAAATCAATAGGGAATCCAATAAATGTTCAGGTTAAGTCTAATGAATCAATTGAATCAGGTTGATGATGATATTGATGAAGGAAAATGAAAGGTAAAAATGTATCGATAGACATAAACAGTCTTGTTGAGGTACACTGCGGGCTGTATTCAGGTTTAACTGTACTTTATACAATTGGCAAATTGATTTTCATTTGTTGCGATTTTCAATTTTCAGGTTGAGATTTCTTTTTGCAAGCAATCGACGTGTTTTTCAATTCAACATTAATCAATTTACACATAAAGTTTGATTAATGGCTTCAACGATTAATGGCTTGGTAACAGTTGAAATGTTTTTCCTGGCTTATTGCACAATAAAGGTAAAACTTGATACATTCGTCCGTCTTTCAATCTTTTCAACCCAAATTTTGTTGAATTTTCCAAGACTATTGTGATCGCCAAATCTCCAGGTTTTGTAAAAATGCTGATCATCACCTTGTTTCCAACAATCGCTTTAATCGGATTATACGTTAATGTTGGATCTATAAACAAGAGCCATTGGCATTACCAAAAGCAGTAATCATCATCTTTTTGGTTAATAAGGCTGGTTGGTCTTGAGTTTCCCGCTAGTTTGTATCATTGATAGTGCCATGATTGGGTTAGGTACAAAACTGTAACCGTGGTAGACCAGTCAACAGTAGTAAAGAAGATAAACTCGGCAATGAAATAATTTCCTGTTATTTAGTGCTTTGTGTGTGCCTTGAAATAACAAAAGAGGACAAAATGCCAGGATTCAAATAATCTCAAAATAATGTCATTTGGTTGAGAAAATTTACATAATTTCCTGCTGTAAGTCCTGGAGCAAATAACCAACAATAGGATAGAATCATTAACCATCAGAAAATCATGTTGCTTTGTTTTAACAGGATCTCTATTAACTTCAGATGACCGTAAGAATAATATAATTGAATATGTTTTTCATGAAATTGCCATGAGGATGTCTTTCCATCTGGATTTATGCCAACCAGGTCTCGTTAAAGAAAAGCTTGTTACAATACCAACGACATCCAACCAGTATCCTTCAATGAAAAACATAAATACATTAAAATACATTATACATATAAAAACATTGTTTTAATTTGCTTACAAAGAAATGAGTCGAAATACTTAACTGATTTAAACACTCAATGGACCAACACTCAGATGGTAGATTTAAAATCGTTCAAATTATGTTGACAAAAAGTGAAAAACTAACTAAATAACTAAATCGAATTTAAACATGTTTAAAAAATTGAATTTCAGTAAATATTTCAATTAAAAATGAAATGTAAACAAAATCTTAAAAACTGTGGCGCCAAATTGAGATCAAGATTGAGTAAAGAAGGATCTGTTATTCGTATCCAAATTTAATGAAATACTTAGTCGATATCAGATATTAATACTTGATAATTATTGATGAGATCATGTTGTCAAAGAGACTTTTTCTCATTAAAATCAAAGAGTATATATTCTTTGATTAAAATTCTATCTGATCTAAATATTAATTTAAATTAATATTATACTCTTTGATTTGTTTCCGTCTAAATGCCAACACTTGTTGAATATGCAAGCATCAACTTTACCTATTTTTTATCAACTTTGTTTCCTGTTGTGTTGTTTATCTGTTCAGCCTTGTTCAACGACCCTATTCTTCCTTTTGACTCATGAGATGAACCGATTGCCAGCTATCCATCTTTGTTTGGAACGATACATTGTCTCGACTTAGGAAACATTATGAAACCGTTTTCAGTTTCACATTAGTTAGCTGTCACCCAATGCTATGCTATGGTCAAAAATCCTGGTTGGTCTGGAAAAAATGAAAAATCTCATAGGAAACGAGATAACTTTATTTATTGAAAAAGATTCAAAGATAAAAAGGTACCATCTATAAAATTAAATTGAGAATTCCAAACAATTTGGTTATCTTTTTGTCTAGTCATAAATTTGATTATGACGATCCAACTTGAAATTGCCTTGGAATTTAAAAGAATTTTGATATTGCTGATTCCATGAGATACATCATTTCTGCTACTGGATTTGGTCAAGATTTTCCCTCTCTCTAACTTCCATGATTTAGCAGATATTCATGCTCTTGGTAAATGTATCGTTAATTTTGTGTCAGCTGAAATGGAAGATCAAATTCATGGTTTCCTACTTGAAATGAAAAGGTCCAAAGAAAAGGATGCAAATTTTAATCATGAAGTCTCGACTCGGATCAGATAAGACCAGGTTGGTAAGATCAAACCAGAAAAAAGCTCTCGAGTTGTTAAACCTTACTTGGTTTTTATTCAGTGGTAAACAAGTTTTTTGGTGAAAGTTTGATTAGCCTTCAATTATTTATCAGAAAAAGTTTCAAGTGTTACCTGAGCTGAGGAAAAAGATTTCATTTGAAGATGCATCTACCAGAAAGTTAACCAAGAATTCAATGAATGTTTTAAAAGAGTTGAGAATCTTTGGAGGGAAATCACTTGAATCACAACTAACATGAACTGATTCCAAAGAGGTATTTGATTTAACTTATTGAATTTAGTCAATTTGTTCCTGTCTCGACATTTTCAAAAGCTATCTGGCTATCTCACAATTAATCTGTTTCTTGTGTTCAAAACTAAAAATTCAACTTCGAATCCTTGTAAAGCTTTATTCAATCAAAATTGAACTCAGATTGATTTTTAATCTTCTATAACCACTTTATTTTAATCAAAGACTTCTTTTGGCTATTTATATCCTGATCAATCTTGGAATACTCACACTTTTCCTGGAAACCTTTCACATTCAATAGGGAAATATTGAAAATTTCACTTTGATGTTTCTCAATTTGTCTCTGAGTATTATTTGCTGTTCTTGAAGCGTTTCCACAAAAAAAATCTCGACATTCAACTTGTTATAATTTTGTTTACTATTTCATTCTTCATGACTATTGGTGTTCAAGTTTCACCGTTTCAACTTGAGAAAATTTTGATTCAACACAATTTCAGCTCTTCATTCAAAATTCACCAACTCTTTGTATACTCTATTTACAATAATTTAGCAACTTAAAAAGAGTAAACATTTTCAATTGTTATACTTTTGCCGATGTATTAATCTAGCCTGACAGCTGATTTATTTCAATAAACAAGTGACACTGAACACACTACCGTCAACATAAATGAGACAAACAAGAATCTATTGAGAATTGTTGCTTTTCTCCATCAACCTACATCAGAATATGCATCATATTGTAAATAATGTTCACCATTCCTAAATCTTTCATCATCTTTTGTATTCCATGTGAACCTTTTCATTTCCATCATCATTTAGTCTCTATTTAACTTCAATTTTGTTTACTTTTCTTCATTATTTCCTTATTTTTGTGTTAACTTTCTCGCAAAGTTAATAAGCTCTTATTACTGGTAAATTATAATGATAATTTAATATACTAGTCCCTAGTACTTTCACTGAACTTGTCACTAGTATTTACTCCTCAAATTACAAATTATCCACCTCATTTAGACACACAGAGAGACACAATAATACAGAGCTTTTGTTGAGGAAATTGTTAAATGCTCTACTCGACTAGTCTTTAATTAGATTGTAAACTAATTAAGAGCCCAGGCAACACAATTAAATCTGTAAAGTTACAGGTGAATTAAATTAACATCGTTATGGTTAACATATAACCTGAAAATATCAATCAATAGCACACTGGGTTGAGACGCCGAGAGACAGCAAGTTTGACTTTTTAACCAAGAAAAAAAGGATTTCTTGTTCACCTTTTTGATAACAAAAGAAACTTGCAATTCGTATTAGAAGATGTACCAACTAATGAAAGATGACAGGTTACAGGTAAGCTACAGACTTGAGAATAAATTTTTCATCAAGGTTGACAGTTGAATAATAACTTTGATTTTATTCTTGAACATTTCATCCCACACTTGTCTCAATCAATAAGTCAATCACATTTTACCGACCGAAAATACTGTTTACCGATGGTAAAATTCAATGAATGTCAGATGTTTCATTGGTTTAAGGACTCTTGGTTAGGGTAGACCAGTTAGATGAGATGAATTGGGTTGATTGACCAGTGGACATGGGTTTGGGAATGATTTGAGTTACATTGTTCCAAATTGAACCATTTGTTTGTATTAAAGTCAATCTGTAATCCAAAGTAGTCTTAAATTGAGCCAAAATTCTGATCAGACTTCTCTTTTCCATCATGTAATTCTTTAACAAATCCATTTCTGGTGTATCCAGCTATAAATTTGATCAATTGTTGGGGATAGGTCTGCAAAATAAAGGCAATAAATTGATTAAATGAATCGAAATGATGATAATATTCACCAATAAATTGGATTATTTGGTCTGCTTTTCCATTCTTTCAACATTGTATACAGTAGAGTATAAAAATTGTGATGTATTAAAGTCCTTGCAACCCTTCAACCGTACAATTGAAATAAATATGGTACAACGATTTTACCAGTAAAAAAGTGATCATCCTTTTCATGGTGTTAATGGTGATTATCGTCATTATCTTTTTATTCACTTGGAATGTCTAGTTTAACTTTCAATTTCAACCAGCCTTCATTTTATTTTGTATTCCAATATTTACCAGACTCGAAATGGTTTCTCCTTATTGCCAAGGAATGGCAATACAACTCGAAGTGTTCATTTATTAATAAGAGTTGGTTTCCTTTTTTATTTGGATAAGAAGCCTTCCTTTCATCACCTTAACCTTGTGAATACCATCTTTCAGTAACTCAAATCTCGACTGCTTAAGGGCATTTCCATCCAACTTTTTCATTTCTCAACAAGAGCATAAGACAATGAAAGCGTCTCCACTTGAAAATAACACTGAATAAAATATGGATGAAGCTAAAATTGATAACATCTTGTTCGTATTCAGCTGAACTTATCCCTCGTTAGGTAAACTTCATTTTCAATAACTCGATGAATAAGGATAATATAACAACGAAATATAAGAATAATCAAAAACGTTAAAATGTTAATATGATAAAACAATCAAACAGTGTTGAAAATTGCTAAACTAACAGCAAATGTTAACAATTGCTATACAAATAGACAAGATCGATGTCATAGGTTTTCCTATTTTTTATTTTGTAAATAATAATTTTAAAATATTTTTAATGTACATTTTAATTCAAGATTTTGGTTAATGTTTAGTGCCAATTAAAGCAAATTTGCTTTTAGAGAATGATTTGATAAATCTTTTAATTTTACTTCTGTTTTGCAGGCTGTAAAATTTATGGATTCTTTGGTGGCCTTTCCGGAACATCAGCAATCATGACAATAGCCATGATGGCAATGGAACGTTTAAATTCAATTTCAAAACCCTTATCACCCCATTCACGTCTCTCTATGCGTAGAGCATTGGTTATTTCAACGCTGATCTGGATCTATTCATTAATCTTTTCAACTCCTCCTGTTTTCCATCTCTTCAATCGTTATGTTCCTGAAGGATATTTAACTTCATGTTCCTTTGACTATCTCTCAAAAGATCTTGTTTCCCGAATTTACATTTTTGCCTTTTTTACGGCAGCCTGGATTGTCCCCTTAACCCTGATTGTGACCTCGTACGTGGGTATCATCATTGCCGTTGAAAGGAATGAAACCATGTTCCAGAAGACTCAGGATAGACTGTGTGAACGTGCATCCTCAGTGTACCGAGCCTCTCTTCGTGACTCTCGAGGTCGATCTGTCAAGGAAAGTGGTAAAATGGAGATGAGATTGGTTAAAATTGTACTTTCCTTAATTGCTTTTTGGATACTCTCGTGGACACCTTATGCTATCATTTCTCTTCTTGGTCTTCTCGATCAATCTTACATTACTCCAACCTCATCCATGATTCCTGCTATCTTTGCCAAGCTTTCATCCGTTGTTAATCCATACCTTTATGGACTTGGTAATCCTAGATTTAAACGTGAACTTAAACGTAAACTGTGCTTCTGTGTGGCCAATAAAGCTTCCGTTGAACGGCGAGCCGTTATCCAATCAACAGTTACTCTGGGTGACCCAAAAGAGGGAACACAATTTGTTCACATATCTGATGGTAATTTATCTGAAATTGAATTATCTGACTACGAGAATCGATGATGTTACCTTTCATCATAGGCTTGCAAGTGCAACTAGCTCAGTGAAATAGTGAAGAATACGTAAAGAAAAAAATTATTCATGTCTATTTGAAATAGTCAATTATCATGAAAATAAACCAAGTCAAGCAAACTGCACCTTTTTTGAACAACAAGGAACAAAACAAATGAAAACAAAAGTCTCTACTCAAAATACTGAATTATTAGCATAAATTAACTAAATTTAAAGCTATTTTTGTTTGTTCCTTTTCTGTGAAACTTGTATTCTTCACTGAATTTTGTTGATACCAAAGAAATTTATTTGCCAACAAAAGGTATGAAATTGGTTCAATCAAAACTTATTATTTATACCTTTTGCTGTAATTTAGAGCATCCAGCATCAGCAGTTATTGATGTTTATATAAATATTAACAAGATTGATTACTTTGATTGGTCTTAATAAGCTAATGATTATTATATTTATTCTGAGCATTATATTGAAATATGCGTTTAATGTACACTATTTATGTTATTATCAACTGCAGGATTTGGTGCTTAATCTAATCAACGAAAGAACCATCACAATTCAAGGGATAATTTAATCAATGGATGAAGACTACAAAGAATCGACACTATTTTTTTCAACTCACACCAATAGACAAATTATGACAGATACCTGGTTATCTCTAAATTTACTATAAACTCAACTATTACTGAACGCTATGCTGAACAAATGTGCTCTTTCCTCGTCCCAAGAATCAACCAAAAAAGGCTAATATTTACCACTTTTACAAGCAACTCTCTCCAGGAAAAAGCAAACCAAAGACCAACTCTATATCACTTTACACACATAATCCAAGCTTCATCTGTTGACCATCATTTCATTCAAATGGTCAACCTGTTTATAATTGTTAATATTGAAAGTGTTTACCTTTTGTTAGCCTTCTCCCAAAGGGAAAAATTGTCCCTGAAATAGTGTAAAGGTACTGATGAAGTTAATACAAATTATGATAATGATGAATAATATATTATTAACTCAGTAAATGTACAGACACAATGAACACAGTGAAGCAGATATACAAAAAAACAACCATGAATGTAAACTAAATATTTTGCAATGAAAAAGACAGCAATTATGAAAAGATGATTGCGATTTGATATTAGCAAAAATATTAAGTGAAGCAAACATAGGAAAAGCAGATTAATATATGAATATAAATACTATCAACAAAATAATGAAAGGTAAAAATATCAATATAAGTATTAATGGCTAGTGATATGAGCATATTTAATAAAAAAAAGCTTTGTCCATCTTTATCATGACATGAGTTAACCATCATCTTAATGTGTATAAATGTAACCTTAGTTGATCATAAATTCAGTTCACACTGAGTTGTAATGTAAACTGCATAGTTTAAGCGTATTTTACTGAATCCCTCTCAAATAAGAATAGAGAAAATGTTTAATTATTTTCTATTAAACGATCACCCAATCTAAATTGTACGATAATTTAATTATTTTTGCCTCCTCTTTGCTTGATGTTTGTTGTCTGTGTAAAAATTGAAATACAATAAAAATGTAAATACAACAAAATAGATTCAATTGTTGCCACAATATTTATCTGGCACATCGAGTTTCAATAAGTTGCAGTTGTGATGAATCAATGAAATGTATAAATCAATTTCTTCTGCTTCAAGAAGTTATCATTGAATTTAGTCTTGAAAAATAGATTAATTCAATTACTCAATTATATAAGGTTAGATCAGTTAGTGTCTTAACAGGGACAAGCTCTGTTAATTCATGTCAACTACAGATGAACATTTGAATGTATCATTTTCAATGAAAGGTAATTAGTTTCATTTATATTTATAGTTTCCATCTAATCTGACTTCAATGAAAACCATTATAAATGATGTCTTCAGAAAGTAATTGTTATTTCATTGTAGCACAATTTTCATCAATTATTTTGTTCAGTCAACTTATTTTTTTGATAATCTTTTATTTGGCTTTTTTGCTCAGATTTGTATAATAGTCAAATTTAATGAATTTGATGACTTTGAGCAACTATACCGGGCAATGGTTTACAATTTAAATTGATACAACCTATAATCAATTTCGTACAAATTTTCCTTCTAATACAGAATTGAAGATTTAGATGAAATCAAATTGAAACACTTCGAAATGATTGGCTAGACAATTTAGTCAAGTTGATGAAATATTGTAAGCTTAACTAAAAAATAGTATGATTATCACTAAATACATAAACTTGACTGTAATTGCTTTTTTAAAAACATTGCGAAGTGGAAACAATTACGATTACAATTAAAAGCGATAAAGGTAGAAATAATAATTTTCACTGGTGAACTTTTTGGCAACTAAAATGCAATCCTTCCTTGAATGTTGATTTTTTATGTTTTCCTAGATTCCAAGTCAAGGCACAATTGTGTTGGCTTATCTGCTTCCTGGGTAAGTTGATCAACAATTAATTGATGTTTCATCTATACATCTGTTTGCATGTTTGTAAACTGTGCAAATCTTGTGAATCCTCTTTGAAAACTTGTGTATCTTTGATATAATGATGAAAGTAACAGGAGGGAATAAAAATGGTTAAATGTTTCCTAGTGTAGCCAGAAGGTTGATAGATGATCATCATTATGGTTGCTGTTGAAGATGATAAGTTTTGCTTGATTGTTTTCATCTCGTCTGTTGAATAAGGGCACAATTAGACTAATCAACCTCAAGTATTGTTCTCATCGTGCGTTGGATGGATAACAACCAATTCTGGTTAATGTATTGGACGAAGGGGACTTTCAAAGGAAGTCGTAGAGAGTGGGACAAGAAGGGAAACTAACATTATCTTTGAGAGGATAAAGAAAACAAGAGAAAGGAGAAAGAAGATAAAAGTTTATCGAAAGAGGAGGTTGAAATGTGGATAAATCTCGAACTGGAAATCAATACCAATCTTGATAAAGATCTATCCATTTAAGGCTGGAAAATAATGTGATTTAAGGGGAAATATTGGGCAGTATGATGTTTGAAAGGATTGGAGGAAAGTTAAAAAGATGAGAATGAAATTTGTAAGGGTAAAAAAGACAAATATCATGATCTCATCTTAAATTAATGATGGTTGGGTTATATTATATTTCAAATGTAATAACATCTAACATTCAATATTTTGATCACTCGTAGGAGAGGGAAAAGGGTGATGATAGAGAGATGGGGTTAAAAGAAGCTTAAAACAAATATTTATCATGAGATAATGAAAAAATTCTGTCTATGACAAAAGATTGAAGAAAATAGCTGAAATTGCGGGAATAAGAATGATTAGGAAAGTTGATGAGGATGCCAGTCTATCAGCTGTGTTACAGAGAGGATCATAGCATTCACAGGTTTCCGTTTTAACTTGAGCATCAGAAGTTCGATAGCATTCCCGATTTTGATTACGAATACTGCCACAGCTTCGAATTACTCTTTGTAATATTCCTTCTGGTTTAAATGTATCTCCTAAAGGGAAGAATGGAAAAAAATCTAATTAGTAATTGAATCAAAAGTAACTTGGTGTTAAAATTTTGTTGGAGATTCAGAAAGGCATGAATGAAAAACGAAAGCAATGGTTTGAAAAGCTAGACTATGTTTAAGATGTATTACATGAAGGGAGAAAAGGGTTTAAATAGTTGAAATGAATGATTCTAAATGATGTTCAATCAAGGATCCAATTTTTTCCAATCAACATGGTAAATTACACTTGAGTTGGATAGTAAATAAAGTTGATCATTAGTTTGATTAAAAGTTTCATTTCATTTCCTTATTCAAAAGTGATCGTCTAACAATTCAACAAATAATGAGCATTCAGTTTTCAATGCTTTCCCATTAGACATGGAAAAAGTCGATAAGTCAAGAAATAAACATTGGAAATTCAATTAGCACTAATCAATTATTGATAAGAATTTGGTAAATTTTTCAAGAGTTTGAAATTAAACCGGAATAAATCTAGACTTGTTAAGACAATTCAGAATGGAAAAGGTTAACTAACATGAAAATGGTAAAGGTTGAGATTACATGGGATGAGATGAAGCTTTTACTCTGAACAAGACAATAAGTGTAAGACAAGATAACATGATAGGTTGACATGAATGTGAGTAGATGAATTAGATTATCAATTGAAGGAACAATTGGTGACAATTCATATTTCTCGAGTAACTTTGGGACAAAGATAATCAAATAGACTCTATTTTTGGCTTTTTATGTAGACTTGACTACGAATTGCGTTTTAAAAAGCGTAACTGAAGATCTTTTCATAAAAGATTTGAACAATTGGCCTTGTTGAATTTATCTTCGTGAATAAACTTGTTCCTGATTGTTCATATTTTCATTTTTGTTTGCTATTCATTAATTTTAGAAGTAAAAGTTAACGATCAAAGTGTCATTCACAGACTTCGTGATGTTTGCTAAGGAAAACAGGTGAAAATGGGTGTCAAGTTTTCGTGTCAATTAAAAGTTGATGTCTAATTCAATTTGAGAGCCTATTTGGGTGACTTTTAACTATTTTCAGGGTGATTGATACATTGTATTAATTGATTGGAACAACTCAGTCAACAAAAGTAAATATGAATTCAATGATCAATCTATTGAGACTCAATGCACTCAGGCGATATTTATGTTTGATGGATTACATTAATAAATATTGAATGAGGATGTAAAATAAACTACTCTCGGAATTGTTTCAGATATATAATACTTTTTCTGATGCAAATTTTTCATGTTTTTTTTCAGAAAAATTTCATTAGGGTGCATAATTTTTCAGATGTTGGATGAAAAGACAGAAAACGGAAAGAAAGTAAAATTAGTGCTTAATGATAACATGTTTACCCTAAAAATCTGTTGGCTGTTTCTTTCCGTTTTTCACTCAATATCTGAAAAATTATACACACTAGAGAAACATGAAAATCTGGATTAGAAAAAATTCTGAAAGCAGTCCATTTTGCCTATTCTTCTTGACATCCTCCGCATTAAACGTTTAGTGGTGCTTTTAAAGTTGATAAGTGATATTTTTGGTTGTTTTGCTTCTACTGTTTCATCTGTTCATCTGTAGTTACCCAGAAAATGGATTCCAGATTAGAAAGGCTAAACGAAAATTGAAACAGAAAATGGATAAAATATGATATTTATGGTGACAAGGTTGAAACATTAATAAACAATGGATAAAGGTCAAGTAATTTAATTTGACCGAGAACTGGCTTACACAGGAATAGCTAGTGACCATCATTAAATTATCTCTTTTTTTCTGAGAGAAAACAGAATCTCCGATAATAATAATTCACCGATGAACATGAGCATGAATTAAAGAATAAAAGGCTAACAAGAAAAATAAAAGAGCAAACCTTTAGTATGAAGATACCAGAAAAGTAACCTTGAAAGCAAGGTATATCTATCAAAAAAACCAGACTTGAAAGGCTGTTCATCATATGATTAGAGAATAAAAAGTGAACTCAAGAATTATCAAATATAACTCAATTCCCTTCAAAAGCGAAGGTCACTCATGTTAAATGGGCAACATTGGACGACTTGAGTCTCAAATAGGATTTCGTTGAGCTTGAAGCAAAAGGCTTTCACTATTTTTAGAAAATATCATTAAAAATTTAGTTTGCTTTGACAATGTTTAGGTGTCAATGGGTTAGAGGATGAAAAATTTCACAAGAATCAACAATCAGGTAATTATTTAAACTTGAACTGACCCATTTCAACTGTTTTACGACAGAAATAATCCTTGTCTGTAGCAGTAAAAGTTTCAGATTTATTAGAGAAATAATCATCACAGTTCATGATGAACTTAGCCAAAGCTGGGTCATTAGCACAATCTGAATCCTCGACACTGGAGCAAACGTAACACTTCATAGAACTCTTATTTGCTGCTTCAGAAGAACCATTGGTGTCACATTGAACTGAAAAAGAAAAAGAAAAAAGATTATGAGATTTAGTTGATGAAATGGCAACAAAAATTAATATCAAACACTACTTGGATAGAGAAACAAAAAATGGCAGACAGATAGCTCCTCTTAATACAAAACTAGAGATACTCAAAGGTTTATTTATCCTTTCTTTTGACCCTTGGACAGATTTGTAAATTATTTTTCTCGTCTAGATATTTTGTTGTAACTCACGTTCTGTAGAGAAATGTAATTCCTACTCACCCAATTGAAAAGTAATTGCGAGGAAAAAAATGATCAAAAAAAGGTTCATTCTTTGACTGAAAATGTAGCTGTTGAAACTAAACATGTTGAGGTGACCAGTGTAAACAATTGTTTCCTTTTGTGGTTTGGATCAATAAACACACTAATACACTGTTAAAATACACACAAATCCGTGTTTTTATTCCTGTGATGGTTTTTCGTGATGGAAAGTGTTGTTACCTTCAGGGGTAATGACTAAAGAAAGAAATAAAAATATAATATTATTGATGATGATTGTTATTATTGTTGTAAAGATGAAGAGGTAAGGACAAAATAGACTTGAGTTTTGTTATATGATGAAGATGATGACGATGGTTGCTGTTGACGATATTAATGATTGATAAAAATATGGAAGTTACGAAGAGACATTTATAAAAAAGACAAGAAGAAATCAACAGAAAGAAAGAAAAAAGAGCAAAAGACAGGGGAAAAATTGCAGAAGAAGAAAAGTACAATGTTGGATGTTCACTTGGTTCACACCAAAATAGACTCAAAAATAACTTTACACAGACGAGCTTTAAACTTTCTTTCAATTATCATCTTTCTATATCTTCCCATTTTTCTTCTCTTTCTTTTTCTCTGTCTAAATTTGAGTAAGAGGTAATCATTAACGTTAACGGCAAAAAATGTAAACACTTACCAAGCTTAATCTGTTGCTTTCACTTTCAATTTTAACTGTTACTATATCAACAGGCGATCCTTTTGTTCATCCAAATTAAAAGCCAGGCTATTCAGTGGAACAATAATTATTATCGATTTAATTACAAAGTCAACAGTTAAAAGAGTGACAACGTGTTGCTGGTAAATCCTGGTTACATTTGCCTTTCTGGTAAAGATGAGCAATTTGTTTACTAGCAACGTTTTTCAAAAATCTGGTTAATCTGGTTTTCTGCCAACTTTCTCTGTGATTCATCTTTTCTGGCTCACTCTTTCACCATTATAATCTAGTTATTTCAACGGATTTTATTTTTAAATGGTTTCATCTTTTTCTTCACATAATTTGCATCTCTTTACATTAATTATCTCCTACTAACCACTGGTTGAATTACATGATAAGTGAATCTTTTGTTAGTCTTTTTCCTTTCTTCCAATAATGTGCCTCTGGTTTCGCTTTTGTTGAACACAAGTTGATTTTCATTAAGTTCATGATTCACTCTAATCCTAACTCAATTTACAGTTTATTTTAGTTTCTTGAATTTCAATAATATATTCTTATTTCACATGTTCTATTGTTGAAGCTCACCATTGCAAAGGAAATGTAATTGGAATCTGTAATGTTCAATGTATCATGTTGAGTTTTTGTTACAATCATCTGTTTATCCTTTTCTTTCATTTCTTTTAATCATGTTTTCATCAAAAGATTCGTCTTACCATTTTAATCAACATTTATCAAATTTCTTCAAATCCATCTTTCCAATAACCATTGGAATTGTCAGTTTGAGCTCTTAAATGTTATTATGCTGATTGTTTACTCTGATAAACAAACAGCCAAGTAATCAATGGATCTAATGTGAATTTTTATTATCTTCATCAAGACCTCAGGACTGACTTTACTCGAGAGATGATTATATTAGGATGAAAATGATATTAAACAAGAAAAAAGAAGTTCAATAAGGTTTGATGAAGAATAGCTGATGATAGATGCCAGAACAAGGTGAAGAATGTGAAAGTTGTGCAAGTTGAGCATATTTGTACTTAGGACTGTCAATTCAGCAACAGAAATGGTTATTGCTGACGATACAATCAATTAAACAAGATTGTTAAGTGTTACGACAGATTTACGGAAATCTTTTCGTAAACTTTGATTATACCTTCCAATCAAGTCTAGACAAATTGTTCAAGCTTCATGTTGGTCAAAAATTCTTATTACACTGACAATATTGTGAGTATTTCATGTTATTTGATTTCGCATTCTTGCAATGTATGAATAAACAGACAAAAATGTTTAAAGAAAAAAGTTAATAATATATTCAATATTGTCAAGATTTGTGAAAGATGAGAGGATAACATTTTGTTTGGTTGGTTGGTAATATTAATAAAATGATTGCAAGTCTTTAATCGGCTCAAATTTTGATGATGAGGATTCGGTGGAGCGTCCGTGTTGAGTGCAATAATAATAAGCCATATCAATGTAATGTAGTATTTAAAATGTTTCAAAATTGTCATCTTTAAAAGAGTTATCGTCAGAATTTTCCAGCTTGAAGACTAATAAGAGAGTGATATTAAATGATACTGATTAGTTTAGCATTTAGAACCAGGTTAAGTTAATAAAACATGAAAAAGGCAAAAGTTGGTTAGGAAGGCAATTCAATGTACCAATTGAATGTGGAACCAGAAAGGTAAGTAGAGATGAGTACATAAAATGGCAGAATGATGAGTCGAGGTTAGAAAAGAGTTAAATTAATCTAATTAACATTGTTAGCATCTGATCCGGACTGACAATTTAATTGTTATTATTCTGCACACAATTTATGACTTTTTTTCTGGTGTCTATGTCAGCTTTTAACTAAAGGTTTGCGTCTTGGTGTATATTTTTTGGTAATCTTAATAAGCCAATTTGACGTGAAATGCAGTAAAATTGAAATTGTCCGACTTTTAATGTTGACTTTCCTATTCAATGTCTTGATATTCCTTCTTTTTCGTCATTTTTATGTTTTTAGCTTTTCCTTTGTTTAATATTCATGAGTATCATCATCACCATCACCATCCGTTGATTCAAGACCAACTTCTTCGTAATCCTTTTCGAGTGCAGCTAAATCTTCTCTGGCCTCAGAAAATTCACCCTCCTCCATACCTTCACCCACATACCAGTGAACAAAGGCACGTTTGGCGTACATCAGGTCAAACTTGTGATCCAGTCGAGCCCAAGCCTCAGCAATGGCCGTTGTATTAGACAGCATGCAAACAGCTCGTTGAACTTTGGCCAAATCACCGCCGGGTACAACGGTTGGTGGTTGATAGTTGATTCCAACCTTGAATCCAGTGGGACACCAATCAACAAATTGGATTGATCTTTTGGTTTTAATGGCAGCAATTGCAGCATTAACATCCTTGGGAACAACGTCACCCCGGTAGAGCAGGCAAACTGCCATGTATTTGCCATGTCGAGGGTCACACTTGACCATTTGATTTTGTGGTTCAAAACAGGAATTGGTAATTTCACCGACAGTCAACTGTTCATGATAAGCCTTCTCAGCTGAAATAACCGGAGCATAAGTTGCCAGGGGAAAATGGATTCGAGGGTAAGGTACAAGGTTGGTCTGGAATTCGGTAAGGTCAACATTGAGAGCACCATCAAAACGAAGGGAAGCCGTGATTGAAGATACAATTTGACCTAAAATCAAGTTGGGAGTAAACAATAAATGGAAACAATATGATTAGTTTTCAACCTTTTCATTTGATTACAATATAAAATAAGAATGGAAATAAAAATGAGAATAAGGATGAAAATAAGTGACCAAATTGACCATAAATAGTATCAGTAAATCATTTTTTATAATTCAGTTGAACTAAACTCTGTTGACCTGTTTTGACAGAAACCGAGGCAATTTTAAATTATAAAGGGAGGGAATCGTATTGGTCAGAAATGTTAACAAAAATAAATTTAGACCATAAATGACACTTAATTTCCGAGCTAAAAAGAGACCTAAAAATTTAGAATATCATTTGATTGGAAGAGAATTTAATTTCACATAATGATTAGTGTATATTAGTTCATATTTAGATGAAAATAATCAATTTGTTTAACCTATTTAACGATCTTTCAGTGACTCTCTTTTCAATGTATTCAAATTGAGCAACAATTTCAGGGAACAATCAATAGATTTCTAAGAAATGGTGATTGAATTTTTTATCACAATGATTGGGCTTCCATCGATTATATACTAAACGAGGTTATTGTTCAATCAACCTTCGATCTGAAAATGATTTGTAGTTTATGTGATTAGCAGTAATGGAAACGGGTAAAACAAGATAAATATCATCAACGTAAATTGAAACTGAAAAGTCAGGGAAAATATTGGCGAATCACGAAAATGAAGTGAAAAATCAACAATTGTGATTTACAAGGAGCAACTATTATGAGCTTTTATCATGTAATCATAATTACGTCTCAATCGTTAAGAAATAATCAATTTCATTCAATGAGAGATGAAAGGGCAATGAAAACAGACTTCCGTGTAAAATATTAGAAATAAGATTTTCCATAAAAATGAATGATAATAGAGGCAATTTAAATTGACAAGAAATTAAGGTAAATTGACTAATTCAGAGCTAATAAGAAAACCAACATCTCATGATTCAGTTATCCCTGGAAGGGTGAAAAATATTGAAAAATAAACGAAACTGAGATTCGAATGAATGATTTTATACAAAAAATATATTTTGTCTGCTTGAAATGTTGATTGTTGAATATTCATGTTGACTGTTATCAATTACTGAAGCAATGAATAGAAATAGTTTGATAGAAGAAAGATATCATGGAAATGCCTGAAAATTGAAAAAGTTTCAATTTTGATTGTTGGATACTTCAGGATGGAATTTCTGTCCAATATAAACAAAAACTGTTGAATCCATTTTATTCACATTTTTGTGAATAAAGATATTTGAGATTGTTTGGAATTTGAATTTATCATTTTATGCTAATTAAGGTCAACTAGGAAACTGTTTAGTTACTCGAGGGAAAAGAAAATTTGAATTGCCATGAACAGAGCAAGAATTTCAAAGGAATCAGGGAATTTAAAACATTAAAAGAGATCCATATTCAAAAAGGAAAAGTTGAAAGCACAAAAAAAGACTAAAAAAGACTAAACTGTTAACTTTAAGCCAAATGGAATGATAAATTCAACAAAATGAAGTCAATTTAAGCAAAAAGGCAAAAAATGTAAACTCGATTTTAAATAATGAAATGAAAATGTTGAGGAAAAGGCAATTCATCTCACCTATGAGACGGTTGAGATTGGTGTAGGTTGGACGATCAATGTCCAAGTTTCGTCGACAAATATCGTAAATAGCTTCATTGTCCACCATGAAGGCACAATCTGAGTGTTCCAAGGTGGTGTGAGTAGTCAAAACCGAGTTGTAAGGTTCAACCACAGCTGTGGATACTTGTGGAGCTGGATAAATGCTAAACTCCAATTTACTCTTTTTACCATAATCAACGGATAATCTTTCCATGAGCAGACTAGTAAATCCTGAGCCGGTTCCACCGCCGAAACTATGGAATATCAGGAATCCTTGAAGGCCAGTGGCTTGTTCAGATAATTTCCTAATTTTGTCCAGTACAACATCAACAATTTCTTTACCAATGGTGTAATGACCACGAGCATAGTTGTTAGCAGCATCTTCCTTGCCAGTAATTAATTGTTCAGGATGAAATAGTTGACGATAAGTTCCAGTACGAACTTCATCTGTAGATATTGAAGAAAGAAAAATAAAGTTAAATATTAATATTTTATTTACTATTACGGGAAAGGACAAAATTGTTTCCTCTTTTAAACTTAACCCAAACCCAGATTGAACAAATGTTTAAAGACTTAAATTGTTGACATTAAATAATTTACAATATTTGCGGAAAAATTTACATTTCATTTGAAATGCAAACTATTAGATGAAATATTGTTCATTGGCCTTTTAAGCTTTCATTGAACTTGCATCTAAATGGATGGCAATATTCAGATGAACTTTTTATAAATGCATAAATCAAATTGATATTGGGTTATATTAAGATGTCTGTTAAAAAAAGCCTTCAATTCAGGGTCAGACAAAGCTTTTCAATTGTTACCAGTTTTACATCATTTTTCATGTTTTTTACACAAAAAAAATTGAAGGCACAAGTTTTTTTTATATTGACCATAAAAAACAAACAAGTTAACAGGGAATGGAACAAGTTGAAGGTTGAAAAATGTTTCAAGTTTAATGTTTACTTGCATGATGAGTGAGATGGGAAAAGGCGATTTAATAAAAAAGATTGGACAAAGAAGATGAAATGAAAGGATGAAAACCATTGAGATTTGATGTAAAAAAATACATTTTCAACCTGAATGTTGAGTACGTTGTACATTAAGACACAAAATTGACAGATAAAGAAGCAAATTTGGGAGGAAAAATGAGTAACATGATGAATTTTGATTTTCATTTTCAAATGTCAACTGTTAACAATATTCAAATTGTGAAATTTTGATATTTGGCAAGATTAAGAAATGAATTTGAATGATTGTTGACTGGCAGACAAATTGACCGGTTGGTTGGCAAGCAATTAGAGTTGTGTGAATGTTTCAAGTTTGGTGTGATTGGTTTGTCATGGATTCATTTGGAATTCATTGTGAATCTGTTTTTTTGGTTAAATAATCACAACCATAAACAGATTAACATTAAATGAAGATAAGGTTACAATGATTGTTGAGACACGCTTCATGTACAGATAAATGTTTTTATTTGATGAACATTTATTTGCCTTTGAAACTTTCATCTGCCAATTCTGATAGATAGATGAAACCATCTCAATGTTCATGTTGAATGGTCCATGACTTGAAATAATAAGTGGAAAGCGATTAACATTATAATATTTGAATGCAGTGATGAAAAATGGTCAATTATAGTGAGAGGATAATTTGATTAGCCATTAATCAAGCGGAATCTGGGTTTTGATTGTTGCTTTTCATTTACTTGTTTCTGGTTTCAGTTAATGAAAAATGAAAACACAAACAGGATCATTTTTTATACTCAATATTGGACTCTAGTCTCAACAATCGCAGTTGATTGGTAAACACTTGTCAGGGTCATTTTTTAATTTAAATCACTGATCATCAATCAACTTGTCCGTCTGCATATTTTGGCTATTTTATTGTGTCTGTGATGATAACGTGAATAAAATCCTTGAAAGTCCTATCATCAATAAAAAGAGTTGATCGTCTATCATCTTTACATTAACATGGAAAAGTGCAAATAAATCAATCAGAACACAATTCAATTTCAGGTTAATTCTGGCCAATCCCAAGGAAAGGTAATCATTGACGTTTTTCAATAAAAGTCATAACCAGAGTCTTGTTTTTAAATTTCAATATTTGCTGTTCACCAATAAAAGGTTAACCCAAGTAAGGCGGAGTTGTGATGTAATACACTTTTTTGTGGTTCCTATGAGATTGGTGAGAGGGAAACATTTTACCTTTCAAGGAGTCAACATTTTTACCTTAATTATTCACCAAACATCATATAAACCATATAATCATCATCATAATTGTCCCAACATTAAATCGAAGGAATCGAAGAAATTGTATTGATTTTTCTTCTTCTTCTCATGGTTTTGTTTTTTGTTTTACTTTTGTTGTTTTTTCTTGGTTAGTTGTTTCTTCATGTTGAAATCATTTAAGTTGGGTGTACTATTAATATTAATAATGGTTGCAATAAAGGTAAAGGTAAATGAAGGGAACCAATTATCTGGTTATTCACTTGAATCTAGAGTTTCACAATGTTGACAGCTGATGAAGGACAGACGGATGATGATCGACATTTTTGTCATAAATTGTTGTCTGTAACACTAATAGCTATTTTTATTAATGATAATGATTTAATGATGATGATAATGTTGATGGTGAAATTAGTCATTAGTCTGAAAAACTGGTGACCAGTCTGAATGTCTGAAAAGACAAACCCTTCAATCAAAATTATTCATAATCTGTGAGCTGTAAAAGCAAATCAATATTGTTCAAGGAAGATACAAAGTTAAAGAGTGAAAGGAAACAAAAATTCATGATCAAAGTGAAAGATGCTGGTGATGGTTAATGGATGAGATTGAGTAGTTGAGGATGAAAACAGATAGTTACATGCACATGAAGTCAGACAGATAAATGTGAATACAAATAACAATAATGATGGGTAAGAAAAAAAACAATCTCACTGTATACGGTCTCTTGCTTTTTGATCAACAAGATTGCCTTTAAACAGTTGATGTTGTTTTGTGGATCACACACACAAATACACAGTCAAACGCTGATCGTTACAGTCTCGTGCACTGGTAAAGCATCAAAACGCAATATCATTACAGGCTTCCTGTCAATTTAGTTACACTCATCACAGTTCTATTCTTTCTCTTCTTTCTTTTTTCTTTCGTTTTTCTTCTTCTTCTTATTTTGCCTTTTTCATCTTTCAACCTAACCCTTGTCTATCCATTCATTTGGGCTGATCAACTTTTTAGAGTTAAACTTCACCAGACTTTACTCAAACCTGACTCAACCTAAAAAAATTTTTGATAGACTTTGAAACAGGGCGGTCATTATTCAGAGATAAAGAGGATGATGATGATGATGATGGCAGAGCACTCTTTTTGCTGGAAGATGCTCTCTTCGTTTTTCTCTCTCTTTTTTTGTTTGTGTTCCCTCTTGTTCTGTAAAAACCGTGCCTTCTCTATTCTTTCAACCACTTCTTTTCCGGAATGGAATTTATCTTTCTCCTTTTTCTTCCAGTGTAATTCAGACTTTTTCATGGTGCTGAGGATGATAAGGATTGTTGAGAGAGAGTATGAAAGAGAGCAAAGTAGTAAGGTAAAAAACTTGTTGTTCAAAGCTGACCTTAGCAATGACCTGAGCATTGTTGTTGAATCAAGTTTCAAGTTTTCTTTTTGCTTGAGAAAATTTCGTCAACGTCAGCTCGGAGAAGAAAAGAGAGAAAGAAAGAGAGGATTAGATTTAAATTTGAATTTTAGCCTTTTCTGGGTAGACAATTGGTTAGTTATATTAAAATTTGTAGACAAGTTAATTTGAAAATTGTATAAAAGTGCATTTAACCTGATCCATATTATGGTAACCATGTTAATGGGTAAGCTTACAGACAAAACATAGCAATACAATTAGACGACTTTTTGTTACAAAATATAATTTAACCTGATTGTCATCAGAATTTTTTCAACAATTGTTAAAGTGAAATGAAATTGATTCATTAGGAAAGCCGCTTCAATTTAAACAGACCAATTTGTAATCACTTTTAATAGGATTGCCGGCTTGAGATAAAGAGTGGGTTAGAAAGATTATCTTTTTTCACATCTTACTAAGAGTTTGAGATACTTTGAGGTGTAAAGCATTAAGTTTCACCGGTACTTTAACATCATTTTATCTGTCGGTGGAAAGGGAATATTGAAAAGAAAGGTTTTTAGGCAAATTGAAAAAGATACTTTACTGCAACAGCTTTAATGGGATTGGAAAAAAAGAGTGACTCACAGGTCGAGATAGCATTGTTTACCGGTAAATTCATTGCACGTCTGGTAAATTGAATTTACTGTGGTAACATTCAAATTGCATGCAGAGTTTCAAGTTAATGGCTAATTTGTGGATATTTAATGGTTTATTATAATATAATTTTCTGTTCTTTTTTGTCTTTAACTTTGTTCTAATTGGGCGTTGGATCCATATTAAAAGAGAAAGGATGAAATGTTAACACAATAAAAACTGAAAAAACTTACCAACTACAGTGGGTTCGAGATCGATGAAAACAGCTCTTGGGACATGTTTCCCTGCAGAAGTTTCACTGAAAAAAGTGTTGAATGAATCATCACCGGCACCAACGGTTTTATCACTAGGCATTTGACCGTCGGGTTGAATACCATGTTCAAGACAGTAAAGCTCCCAACAGGCATTGCCCATTTGGACTCCAGCTTGGCCGACATGGACACTGATACATTCTCGCATTTTGAATCACAGTCTTTAGTCGGTTAAAATAGATCACAAAGAAGGGTTTGGTTAATTAGTAGACAAATGTCAGGTAAAGGGTGAAGAACAGAAAGAGAGGCAAGAAGAGATTATCAAAAAATGGAATATTGGAAGCAAATTTAGCTGAAAAACAGTTAGTCAAGAAGACAACAATTAAGAGAACGGAGTAGAAAAAGGAAGATTAGGTGATGAAAATGTGAAGATGAAGTAAAGATCACGGATAACTAAGGTTAAGATAGATTTGATGATTCTTTTCTTCTCAACAATCAATCTGGTTCCTTGTTACCTGGTAGACTGAATGAGTCTTGGAAAACACTTGAACGGGAAAAGTCTTTTTTTGTATTTGGGTTTTGTATTTCGTGCGTTGCCATGGTTTTCTCTTGTATCCCTCCCTTTCATTTCTTCTTTCTGTCTTTTCTCACTTTCGTCTTGCTGTCGACTTTTTTGTCTGTCTTCATTTTGCATAATTGAATGATTTGAATGAGATGACTACTTAATTTTAACAACTAGGGCAATCCCAGTACCTGACACTTGAACACCTTCCTATTAAATTTACGTCATCAGATTACTCTCTACACCTCTGGGCTAATTAGATTTACTAATTTACGCAATTACATCCAGACTCAAGATTTCAATTTCATGTCGTGATTACACTGAACTTTCATAATTGAAACCCGTTTTTACTGATTCCTAAAAATGCTCTCCTAGATGTGATAATTACCTGCTTATTTTGCAATTGGTCAATTTTTTTCTGTAAAAGCCATTAATGGTTTTAATTTAATCTATTCTGAGCTAAGGCTAATTAGGAACATATTATAATCTTTCTTATCCTTATTTACAAGAAAATCAAAGAGAATTATCAATAAATCAACATTTTTCCGTATTCAGTGTTGAAATATTGGTTGATAGCGAATAGAAAATAAAAACAATGCTTTGCTATTAAGATGAATAAGAGATTTCTTTATAATTTTCGGTTGCAAAAGAATCACCAATTGTATATTATTGTTTAGCAATATAATTATCAATTTAAATTTATTTTAAATTTTATTTTAATCATCACTTTCTTCTTCATCAGAAGAAGCAGCCAAATCGGAATCCTCTACTGCACTGTCATCCTCCCGTGTCACTTCCTCTTCGTCTGATAAATCCCAAATATTATTATCAGCAATAATTTTAGCTTCTTTAACATCCAACTAGAAAAAAAAGGTGAAAGAAATTAATTAATATTCATTTTAAAGTCAATAGTTGTGCATTTTCATTCATAAATAAGTAAAATTAGTAAAATTATAATTACCTTGACAGGTTGAGATACATCACAATCAACATAGGAATCACTTTTGACAATTATCCAATAACTGTAAATACCAGGTTTATGAGGAGCTGTAATCTTAAATTCTATCTGCTCTTCATCAACAAGATTAGTAACTAAAATCGGTGTTGCTATTAAATCAATTTTTTTCCTATCGACCATGTAAATCCACCAATATTCCTGTTTATCTTCAGGAAAATATGGACAATGGACACTGTGTGATCGCTTGGATTTTGTTTCGAGAATTTTTTCTCTCTTAAACAATTTTTGTTGACATTTATTCCACTCTTCGTCATCATCGTCATCATCCCCTCGTGAAGTGGAAATAGTGGGGGCTGCTTTTTCGGCTGTTTTAACTTCATTCTTTGTTATTGGTTCAACGTCACTTTTAGAGACATCTGTTTCTTCACCACTTTGAGAAATCTCTTCCTCAGTTACATCTCCTGCTTCTTTGCGTTCTTGAAGCTTAGAAGCAGGCTTTGATTCTTTCAGAATTTTCTCAGCGGCTGCAGCACTATTATTGGATTGGACGTTAAGCTGACGTGCTGCTGGTTTCATTGGAGGTTTTGTTTTCTTTTTCTGTTGTTTGGAAACCTTTTTCTTACCCCTATTCTTAACCCATTGACTTTGCTTTTTAGCTTGAGGAGATTCTGGAGCGTGTAAGTCACTATTAGCGATATCTTCGGATCCATTCACTTCTCGTTCTGCTTTATCTGGATCATAGTCTTCAGCACGACTTTTGTCAATTAACACTTTAATTGCATGCCTTATTAAAGTTACTGTGACAGTAACAATAGCTCCAGCAGTTATAGTTGTGGAATCTTCATCATCCACAACTTCTGTTTTAACATCTAATTCAATAAAAGGCATTCGACTCATTACTTGGATAATATTATGATAATGCTCATCAGTAAGGCTTCGCAATAATGACCTTCTTTCGTCTTCTTTCATGGTTGCTAATTGTTGGATACTACGGATGGTTCCACGTTTACGAGTATTAAAGAATCTCAACATATCTTCAGTGATATGGGGTAATTGAAGAAGTGGGCTTTTATTGTCCCAAAGAGCTTGCACTACCAATCTGCACAGCTTCATAGCATTTTCAAGAGTATCTTTGTGCGGTTTACGTGAAATACGTCCAGTAAGTGCAAGAATAGTCAATTGTCCAGCACATTGTACAAATTCTTGAATTAAAAGAGGACATTTTTTCACAATGATCATTTTATCAATTTCCAATGTGGTTGGAGGTAATTTCATTCGGCTAAGATGTGCATGGAGTAATGCTCGAGCCTTCAATGAGTATGGGAAGAATAATGGTTTTTCACGGTTGTTGTCATTAATGTACGGCAGTTCTTTGATCAATTGGTTCACTTCAAGATTATCACTAGGCCTTTCAATGATTTCACTGTTCTGCCGACGATGGAATTCACAGGAGGCAGCGATAATCATTAATACTCTTTTCAATGGCATCTGATGAGTTTTATGAATGAAATAATAATAAAGTGAGGTGGTGTCTAAAAGTACTTGATCTGCTCCATATTTAACGGACCGATACCACCATATACCTACAGCGGTTGGCAGAGCAACCATGAAAACTAATGCATAAAGCCCTAAAACCAAGATTGAATTTTCCTTCTCAACGATCCAAGAAGGCAGGGCAATACCGAAAGAGGTAGCACCAGGTCCATCCGGGTTACCATAGAGCTGCCAATTTTTCCGGGCTTCATCATCTGTTAATGCAGCGTATGCTTTTGTTAACAGGAGAAACTTTTTCTCGTCTCCAGTTTCTTTGTCAGGATGATAAATAAGACTTAATCGACGATATGCCTTTTTGATTTCTGCGGTCGATGAACTCTAACAAAAACAGAAAAGAAGAGAAAAGTTAAAACAAGTTATTATGGATGCAGTCAAATCTGTTAAGATTCTGAGAGTTGAAAGGATAGGGAGAAAGATTGAAGGGCAAAGGGGAGATAATATACAATTAATGGGTTTTTAGCAATTATATTAATTATCAAGGTATTATAATGAGAAATTTGCAAATTGTTTGATATTGCAAGAAAATTAACATACAGGATCAATACCAAGTATCTCAAATGGATCCCAAACAACATAATCGTGCTGAAGATTGACAACTTTGTAAGCTGTGAGAATCATCGCTATCCAACCAAGAAGGAGTACGGCTTTACTGTTAGAGATAAATTAAAAAATTGAATGATACTAAAACATTAGATTTCAAGCAAAAAATTGATCACATTTGAATACATACATAGCTTGATTCTTAACATTTTTCCACGGCTCCCGTGATTCAAGATAATTTGATTTGATGGCGCACGGACCACAATGACAAGCGTTTATATCTCGCAATTTATCTTTATCTGTAAAATAGAAATTAAATTAGCAATACAATTCAAATGGAATAAGCAATGAGCTTAAATGTAAATTTACCTTTCTTTTTCTCATAAGGCCATAAGTAGTATGTGCAAGGGATAACAACTAAAGCCAAAAATGAGAGAAGGAAATAGAAAAAGGTACCGCCACTTTCATCGTACTGAAATTTTGATCCAGTTCCAGGTGCCATGACTGGTGAAAATAGAAGGTAAATCAAAGCAAAAAAAAACAGAATCAATATGTGTAAATTCACAGGAGAGATTAAAGGGAAAACATGAAGAGAAAGAAGAGTAAAAATGTAGTCTTACCTTAGTTTAAAGTAGAAAGTAATTTAATAAATATATGAGATATTCAAAACACAATGCTTCGTGCAATAATTGGGTAAAAAATTGATAATGGAGAGTAATTTTATGAATAAATATCACTCAATTAAATAAAAAATAACGTTGTTTGGATGATATTTGATAGAAATTTATCCAAAAGAAGAAACTGATCCCCGGTAGATGTGTATTTGTGTCTATTAATGTTTGTTGTCTTTATGATGCTGGATAACATTTAAATTAACATACAGTAAAGACAATCATTGATGTATAGAAGACGCAGTAAAATGCTTACTGCTAGTAACGATTAAAATTGATCAATGTAAATTTACAAAATAAACAGAAGAAAAGGGAAAGAAACACCATCAATTTCAAGCCGGATTGAAGCCCGGATTGTTATATTTGTGTGTGAGTTGCTTCTCAGTTGCCAACTCATGTTTACTATGATGTTGATTGCTATAGATAGAGGGCGACAGCAGTAGTTATAGCGATTTTCTTGTCACTTTTGAATGAAATTATTTTGTTATTAGTTCATCTCAAGATTATGAATTTTGCTGAACCACAGATTTATTTCTGATCATTGAAATGAATAAGGGATAGTGTAATTCATAACATCATTTAAACCAGTGGAACAAAAATCAAGATGCTTTTAAAAAAAGTAAAACCTTTTCTTCTCGAAAAAGATGGTTAAACTTTTACTGTTGATTCGTTTTGGGTTAATGGTTAAGTCATCTTGGTAATCATCAATAACCGTTACTATCATTGATAATTCCAAGGTTTGAATCTTCAAATTAACATCCAACCATCATCTTCATTGTTAAAGTAGCTTGAATGGTAACGTTGGTTTTGCTGGTTTTGATTTCATTCGAGGTTGGATTGTCTTACTTTGGTAAATGTTGTTTTTGTATTTCTTTCGCTTCGCCATCTTTTCCTTGTAACTCTTGTTTTCATTTCAATCTCGTAATTTTTGTGTCTCTCTGAATAGGATTACAGCTGAGAAGAGGAAAATCAATGACCAACCGATTGATATGGCAAAGCCAAACATTACTGATTGATGGTTTAAATCAAGTCCTCGAGAAAGTATGCTGCGTAATGCTTCAGTTGGTATGGTTACTGGAAGCGCTAGGCTTACTTTTTTCAACCAAAACGGGAGAGATTGAACTGGCCAAAGAGCGCCGGAAAGGATAAACATGGTTAATAACATGCCATTACTGATGACGGCAGCCATGAAAAATTCGGAACACATTGAAGAGATCATCATTCCATGAGTTAAACCTGTCGAGTTATAGGAGAATAAATCAAAATTTAGATTCAAAATTATTCATTGAAATTTGAAAGTACAACATATTTATAACTCTACAATCTGAATTGGTTCAAGAACAAAATAGTTTCAAATTTTTCATTTATCCAAGATCTTCGTGATTATAAATCCACGGTAAGCCTCAATTTAAGCTTTTTTCAATATTTTCCGGGAAACAAAAAATTATCAATAAGACTTCCATAACTCTAACAATTTTTAGGAAGTATTTTCCATCTGATTATTTTTATTGCGCTGAGTTTTAAAATCTTATCTCTAATTTTTGGTTTTGCTTTCGTTTCTTATCAACTGACAATCTTGAAAACTATTTACTCAAGGTTTCCTCCACTATATTGAGTCCTTAAAATATATCACCTCTTCCTGAAACTCTTCAAATTATCTCTTGTTGAATGTGTATTCATGTGTTGTAAATTATTCAGTCTCTTACGTGTTTCAATAACGCTAACAATTTGCACTTTTTCATTTCAATACCTTATGGTTTTTGTTTGTATGGCATTTTGTTTTAATTTTGAGTAATGTTTTCTCAGCAGCTCAGATAATTGTTTAGCTTTTTCTTCATTTGTTTAATTTGCATTTCTTTTTTTTCATTCCAGATTCCCATTATTACCTGAGACACTTTGAAGGAAAAGCAGTGATAAACCTTGGAGAAAAGGTCCATTACAAGGAACATCAAAAATGAAAAGAGCAACAAGGAAAAGGATAACCACTGAGATGGACATGAATATTATCCTGGCAATCAAATGGCCTAATATTATATGAGTCGTCGTTACTCCAGCCACAAAATTACGTTCAAACATTTGACGAGCTCGTTCAACTATGATTAAAAGAGAGATGAAGAAAAAAAGAACAAAATTAGTTTAATTAGATTGGTAATTGGTAATAAAATCAATGGATAGAGAGTTTTACAGACCATCAAAGGTTAACAAAGGACAAGAGGACAAGCAATTTGCAAGCAATCAAAGCAATTGGGGAAAAAAGTATCAAATTTGTTATAAATGGTTTAAAGGCAACAAAGCAAACAAAAAATTGAGTCAATCACAATTTTCTCGCTTGCTTTTCACTTAATTGTGGATAGCAAGTAAGAATCGTAATGATTAACAGTTGAACTATTGTATGATCATAATTTGGAAAAACAATTGACCTTGACAAAATAGGCAAACAATTAACTCGAAAACAGTTTCTGTTTGTTTTCATCATCAATATCATCATCACATTAATAATTTTGCCTATACCTGAATCGGGTTAACAGTTGTTGTGATCTTACATTTTTTTGTCTTAAACTTTGATTGAACTGTAATCAAGAGACAATCAAGTTATCAAAGTTAATCACTATTGATGTATCCAGTAAATCAAGTATTATAATTACAATGGATTTAGTTTGATAGAAGGAAAAAGATCAAGACTGAAATTATCCAATTTTCCCAATGAAGGTCTGTCACAATCACCTTGACACGGTTACATTAGATTAACGTAATTAATGTTTAATTATGGTTATGATTGGTTGGAAATTAAGAAAATGATTCAGTTATTTGAAACAAAAAAATGACTTTCTTCGATTACCAGGTTGGTTCAAAAGTTGAGCTGAATTAATGCATGATTTATTATTATTGAAATATTACGTTATTGTGCGTCCTGTTGTGTTATCGATAGCGGAACAATTTAACCCTTATTGTAATTAGTTTTACTTTTTGCAAGGATAAACTAAAGCTCACTTGATTCTTGTTGATCAACATGACAATTAACCAATTGTGATAACTCAAATCCTTGATCATTGTCTTAATTGTAATCCAGTGATAGCTCCGGATTACTTCACACTCCTTCACTCCATCAATATTGAAAAATAACAATGTTGTTTTTTCTGGTGGCCATCATTATTATAATTACTATTGTAAAGTTATAATGAAGTAAATTTCCTTACAGTTGAACACGGAATTAACGGATTACAGTTAACGATATCACTTGCTGGTTAATCAATTGAAAAGAGATTCCAAAAGGAAAACCTTGTTACCTTTTAAAATACATTCAAAAAGATAGTAAACGACAGAAATAAATTTAATTCATTTGATGATGGTTATGATCCATTGTTGAAATCTTAAGCTTGATTAACATTTTCTTGGTGATCAAAATATGGTTCATTTGTTAATTAGATCATCAATTTTCATGTAGATGAAAATATCAATCAATTTGATCTTCAGATTTCATCAAATTTCAATTGCAGACTATTAATACAAAATGTATAAAAAATGAAAATTTCCAGAAAATCAATTGAAAGGTTAATTGAAATCGTTTTTGATTTCAACATTTGGGTTATTGAATTTATATTTATATTCTGATCTATCCATAAAACTATTATTGATGAAAATTGCGATCTTTTTATTTCCATTAAGCTAATTTTTTTGAATTTTATCTTGTCTCCACTAATCACTCTGAAAGTCTTTAAATCGTGTCTAATATTTCATTTTTCATACAAATATGATTGGGTTACGCTCAGTAAATCAGATCAGTTTAACATTAATTTTAATAATATTTGAATCATAAAATTCATGGTTTGGTAAACATACCTGTAAGAACCATCACAGTCAATCCGAAGGCACAACTATAAGTTAAAATGATTAAAGTTCCAGGAATACCATAATCACGAACAGCGAAATAGTCTCCTGGTCGATATTCACCAAAAACGGCTGATTCTACTTTAATTGGTGGAGTGAATAGTTCAGATGAATATCCAAGATCATTTGAGACTTCACGGAGAAATTTTTGAATAGCAATATTAAGTGACCTAAGTAGGGTTACAACTAGAATCTTATTTGTGAGATCAGCATAAATTTTTATAGTTGAATCGTTGACAACGCGATCAGAAATAATCTCATTTGTATCTGACCGTTGTATCAGTGAATCGGAAAAATTGGGTTCAAAATGTAAAGCTGCAAGCAATTTGTTGGCTCGAACTCCTTCCAAGGCTTCTTCTAGAGATGAATAATTTTTTAAACTAATGATTGATTTATCAAGATGAGATAAATAGACTTCCGAAAGGTAGGCGGGATTTTCATTGTTAACCAGTGCAATTGGCAGTGATTTTGGGGTTCCACCAACACACCAACAGAAGAGGAACAAGCTAACCAAAGGAAGGATGAATTGAGCAAATATGGCTGATGGTTGACGAATTGATTGGATTAAAATTTTACGAGTAACAGCATCCAATTTGGTATACCAATGGGCATTACCAGAGTCTGGAGCCATATCTAATGAACTACCAAAAGGAGATTCTGGTTCTGCTTCATCTGAATCTCCTTCTCCATTCATATTAGCACCACCGATACCTCCATTGTTTCCAACTCCTCCAAGACCTCCTAGAGTTTCATCCCAATCCCTTTGGTTTAAAGGATACTTCGAAAAAAGGCCTGATCTTTTACGAGACGAGGTTCGTTTCCATAATTTTGATTGCCTTTTTTGGGCTGCACATAACTTGTAAAACACATCTTCAAGACTTTTGGCATGATAACGACGGATTAAAGTTGATGGCGGGTCTTCAGCTAATATGTGCCCTCGACGCATAAATCCAACCATATGAGATCGCCTTGTCTCTTCTATGTAATGAGTTGTAATAATTACTGTCATCTTTTCATTTTCTGTCAAATGAATTAGCACATCCCAAATACGTGTACGCAAGATTGGATCAACTCCAACGGTAGGTTCATCTAATAGTAATAATTTAGGTTTATGGACTAGGGAACAGGCAAAGGAGACTCTACGCTTTTGTCCTCCTGAAAGATTTTTAATCAAACATGATCGCTGAGGTAATTCCATAATGTCAATTAAGTAGTCTATCCGCTGTTGAAGTAGATCATTATGCATAAAATAAACACGACCAAAGTAGATTAAAGTTTCCTCTATAGTTAAATCGTCATAAAGAGCAAAGTCTTGTGGCATGTAACCGATTCCTGGTCCTAAATTGAAAAATAAAGAAGATATTAATCAACTGAAATTTCAGTTAGCGAGAAAGGATCAAATACACTGCAATCCAAATGGTTACTGATTACAATGAACCAATGAATACATGGATACTTGAACCATGAACTTGGATAATTCTGTTGGAAGAGTATCACAATAAATCAATTTAATAATTTTCTAACCTGGAATAAAGCTTCCTTTTGTTCCAGGTTTATATCCAAAGACACGAATCAATCCTTTTTGTGGTTTAAGACATCCAATAACACATCGAAGTAAAGTTGTTTTACCACAACCACTGGGTCCAAGGAGGGAATAAATTGCCCCAAGAGGAACTGTCATATTGGTACGATTAAGAATATTAACAATCTTATCAGCACTTCCAAGAGTATAGGTGACACTACGAACTTGAACAGCACTAGGAACTCCTGGGTCAAGAAGAAGTCGCCTTCTTGGATTAAGAATAGCCAAAACTGGTTGATCAATGGTTTTAATCTCTTCCAAAACATCCATATTTGGTAAAGATGTAAACTCACGATCACTCATTTCATTAATGACAATCATGATTAAGATTTTTTACTGGGGAAAAAGGGGGCCTGAAAAGGGTTTCACTTAATAATTGATATAAATAGTATAAATGTATTAAAGGGTGCTTGGCACTGATAATTAACAAATCACAACAAAAAAAGCTTAAGATGATTGAAGAGGAGAGTGAACAAAAAAACAGGTAAAAGAAGAAAACTCTTGTTGTTGATGTTATTTTTTCGATATGATTACTTTTTCGGTGTTGCTGATGATGGTTGAACAAATAGACAATTAAGTTATTAAAATCGACTGATACATACTTAGCGAGTTACTTGTTGGTGGAAAAGCTAAACATCGTTATAAATAAATTAGCTTGCTGAAGTGGTAGAGTTTTGTTTATTGTTGAATGTAAAACCATTACTAATTAGGAAAGTTGATGGTTAGAGACGCTAAAAATGTTGATTATGATGAAAAATTAAGTTGAGCTTGAATAAAAGATGACTGTTAAGTTTAAAATAATATGGTTAGCTCACAACACATTTCAACGGTTAATCTTTAGCTGAAGGTATTATAATATTACTAATAGTTTACTTTGAGCTTTTTCTCATTGGTTTATCAGCTTTGGATATTTCTTTTGTTTTGCATTGAGAACCAAAAATGGCTAAGTTAGCCTTTTTGAAGGATTGAAACAAATGAAAGGAAAGTTTGTTAGCAACATTTGATGGCGATCATGATGATGACGAGAGTTACAGGCGGAGAGGGAGGAAAGATTGTGAGTCAGTAATACAATTAAAATCAGTGACACATTTTTGATCGAGTACACAAGCAATCACGTTTAAAAAATTGTTGGCTAAAATAATTGACAAACACATTGGTTGGTGCTTATGATTGTTACTGCTGTTGGTAGTCGCGCAAACAGTTGTAGTGGTAGTTATTGTTGTCTTTATTGTTGCTCTTGTTAACTGTACAACGTTGTTGGCGGATTGTTACCATGTAATCAGTCAACCATTCTAATTACCCATTTCTGATGAGTGAATTTATTTAATACATTCAATATTTTATTGATTTGTGTGTTGTAAATCGAAAAGTGTATTTCATAAAGAGAAAGTTTGCCACCAAATTTTGCTCTTTTTTTCCTCTTTTGGTGCTATTTTCTGGTATTTTTGGTAGTTTAATTTACTCTCAATATTTTTCAATTATTCAATTTTTCCTCGCAATTGTAAGAGGTCCATAAAGTATCGCATGCGATTCAGGCTAAGTATAAGTTTAAATATACTTATTGCTGTAGAAAAGGTAATGTTACTGAAAATGTAAGATCAATTATATCAATATTTTACTCAGAAAATTCATTTTTAGAAATGGGATTTTAATTTTAATGTAATCGCTGAGCTTTTGATTTATAAGCGGCCAATAGCTTGAAGTCTCGAAATATATCCTTCTGTTGATGTTAAAATTTTGTTGGTCCAGGCAATTGATAGCTGTTGGTCATGCTAGACATGTTTTGAAGGTACATTTCACTGTAGTTTCTGATTGTAAGCATTTTGTTTTTGCAGCAGCTCACCCGAATATAAATAATTTAAATTGATCGAGTGACAATATGTATGATTCATTAAGTTGATTACTTTTTGTCTCCAAATTGACATTCAGGTGAAAAATTGTCCAATTGAGTCGCAAATCCTTGACTCGATTAAAAATTATACCTGGTTTTCAATTAGGTTGCAAATTTGAAGGTAAGAGTTGAATTGGTAATGATTTGTAATCAATATTCAGACTAAATTGAAACATTGATACTTTTAGGTGAAAGTCAAGTAATTATGAGAAGACAAACCAAGAGCAATCAACCATCTCGGTTTTATCTACTGTTGTCTTTAATAATTGTTCAACATTTTCATGATCATCAAGCTGATGAAATAGATTCAAATCATTGGTTGGAACGTAGTCTAACGTAAGAAGAAACTGGGATGAAAAACTTGAATGAAAATGATTTTCTTTAATTTTCTTATAAACGTGTCTTAGTTAATCTTAAAACATGAAAATGTAACTTGAAAATGACTATTTAATGAAATAGGTGACATTCAATTGTTTGCATATTAAATTTTGTAATACATAGATGATAAAATTTTGAATCTTATTTAGATGTGTGTCTTTAGATATGTATGTACATATCACTTTGGGAAAAAGGTAACACTCGATAGAAATAAACATGATCCATGCTGAGGTTATCATGAAGATATCATGGCTTGGATTGTTTTTCTACTCTGTTATTTCATCTAAAAACGTTACTATAAATTGAACTATTATTTGATAAAAAGGTCCTGTACCCGATTAGGCATGGAAGAGATGAAATTGGTTAAAGACTTAGGTGCGAGGTAGCGATATCCAGCCCAAAGCATTATACTTAGAACGGAAATTTTAACACTTTTCTCTACAATTTTAGAGGTTAACGATTTCTCTGGAATTCTGTAAAAAAATTGAAAAAAATGAAAGGTTAGAATAGGAAGATTTTAATATGAATGCCAATAAAAAATCCATATGATGAGTGTTTCCTTACTTTAATAAAGGTGGAATATCAGCATCGGTTACTTTTCCCCAGCATTCTTTGATACCCGGAACGTGTCCAATTCCTACAACACCAACAACAACGGATGGAACTAGCTTTTTGGTCTGAGGACAAGGGATCGGCGATGCAGCCAGTTGAAGAGAGTACGTTAAATAAGTATTACGTTCATCAACAAAAACTTTGCTTAAAGGTGGATATTCTTGAGCCATTTCATTTAACATTTGATCTAGAGAACTCTTTTCTTTGCATCTTTCAATTTCTTCTTTAGATATTGACTCATTATTCGATAAAATTGAATAAATTAATTTCATCTTTTGCCAGAAATTGAGGGAAGATATGCCACGAGTTAGAGTTATATGGACCGGTCGATCACCTAAATGAATTACACATCCTGGAATTTGTTTAGCCTAGATATAATGGAAATATATCACATATTAATTTAACCCTTGTAAATATTTTGGAAAATTTGGAGATTTACCTCGCGAAATGCGGTTCTGAATTCGCCACCAGGCAACATGCCGAGATGTTTAGCCAATTGGGCTGATAAACTAATCAGAAGAGCTGAAATAATACCCTGGACGAAACCATACTGAAATGTAAAAAACAATAAAAGCGTTAAAATTATATGCAATTAAAAAATAAAGACAAAGTCAATCGGTTCCTCGTTCCAATCAAAATCAAATGAGATGAGAAACGAAGCAATCCAAGTAAAGATGACAATACAGCTATAGTTAATTGGATTTAATGATTTGATGCAAATTTTTAAATTTGCTTCGAAAGGTAAAAGGTTAAAAATCATATGGTTTCACTAACTTGATTAATGTTGCTCCGTATTTTCGATACTCCCATATTTTTAACTTCTTCGAGAACAGTCTTTTCATCATATTCAAGGATATATAACCGGCTTTTACATAACTCTAATACAACAACGTTAGGCCTAACATGGCGGATGACCTGAAGAAAAAAATAAACACAGATTACTAAGGTTCCTATTAATGGATAAACTCAATGAGTATACCTGCTCAACGTCTTGCCAACTCTTTTCGCTGAAATGGGCAGTCCCAATCAGGTAAACTTTACTTCCATGCGGTCCTTCTAATACAGTAACAGTTTCAGGTAATTTAAACTCTTTTGGTGCTTGTGTAGGAGCTAAATATGCAGTCGTGAAATCGTATTCATTTTCAGAAGAGTCTGTTCCAACACTCTCATTCTCGCCATCACCATTTTTCTTAATTTTTTTCTGCTTTGATCCATTATCCATTTCTGTTGATAGTGATGGTTGATCTGTATTCAAAATAAAAAGATAAAGGACAGGATTAATACTCTTATTTCATTTCAATGATAAACAAGGTTAAATAATCTGATGACAAGAAAGTGGTGGCAAATTCATTTAGAGACAATAAATTTGATATAGATAATAATGATGAAGCATATGCAAGATGGTCATTGGTGTTAAAAAAATTGACTTACCTTGTGATTCAGGTGAAAAGGGTAAGGTAGCGGGTTCATTAGACATGATGATAGTCACTAAAAGACAATTTCAGTGAAGTCAATTGATTTACAGTTATAAGCAATATTAAAAATATCACAGAGTAATATAGATCATCGGTGAGACAGAGTTTACATAGAAATGAAACACTAAACAACAATCATATAAATGATATAGAAAAGAACAGGATTGGTGAAGACTCTTGCTTTTAATACTGTTGTCTCCTCTATGGTCTGTGCTAATTAACACACAGCCACTTATTGTCCTTTGAAAATATTCAAAAAGTGAACGTTAGTATAAAATCTCAGCACTGTGTGAAATATTGGATGAGAATGAGAAAAAAATGAAAAAAGATGTTTTAAAGCTACAAGAAAAATAATGTGCACATCAGGTTAAGGATGAAAACAACATAAAAACACGTCACAAGGCGGACAAACAAACCGGATTAAATGGGAACAACTATTAATTTCGATATATTTACCCTTTTCTTTATGATAAAGCCATCCACTTGACTCTACTCATCCTTTTATACCTGAATCCCTAGCTTTTGTTGGTCGAGGGAAATACAATTTTAGTTGTACATTTACTAATGACCATTTTTACCAATAAATCAGGCTATTGTGATTAATTTAAGCAAATCTAGCTAGGTTACCATCTTTATTAGCTAAATATCCCCTTGCCAGGCTACAATTTGTTAATTAAACAAATTAACCTTCCTAAATTCGTTTCCTTGAATTCGTGAGTATTAATTAATCTATGAAATTTCTTTAAATATTGCTCCTCAATCTTATTTCAGCTTGAGAATTAAATTGATTAGATTTTTTACCGTTCATACTGTTTCGTGTTCTTCAAATGTTTCACCATTTATATTAATTAGAAAATGGACAAAAGTTAATTTCATTTTTGATAAGCCTCCGTTAAGAGTATGCATGTATTGCGGAATCAATAAACGTTAGTAATTTGATTTTAAAGAATAGACAGTTTCCTATTTGCTAATTGTTTCAAATATGATTAAAATGAAATTTTCAAGGCATACAGATGAATAGATAAGAGAGTATAGAGATTTAAATTTCTTGATCAATGAATAAACTGAATACAATGTATATTCAATTGTATACAGTAAAACATCTGATTAAACTAGAAATGAAAAAATAAGTGAGGATGTTGCCGAATTGGGAAGTAAACTGTGTACAAGTGTGAGTTTCATATAATTTGTTGGCACAAAATTGCCTGCAATTGTAATTTGATTAGATACAGGTGGATGATCGCTTTTGTTGCTTTCTTTCAATTTTGTTGTCGCTTTCTTTTGGTAAATAGCATCGAGAATAGGTTGTCTTTTGGCTGCCTAGAGTTATCTTAATTCAACAATTCCATTTTCCCTTTCATAGTCAAGATTAGCCATTCTCCAAATCAGCCGAATCTCATCAAGCGGTAAAAATCGAAGAAATTCAAAGTGTCTTTCATAACTGCATGCGACTGAGTTTTTGAGATTGTAATGTTTGATTTGAATGGGTCGAAGGTGAGTTTTGTTCGGATTGAGATTGTTGAATCTGAGTTTTTTCCGTCAATCTTTTATTCAAATCTTGTTCTTTGGTATCTTTTTTGTTGACAAAGTCACTTTGATTGATATATTCTTTTCATCCTTTCAAAACGTTGCACAAATGCTGGTTTCGAGGTTCGATCACCGTCCTCATCAGACTAAACATTAGTTATGAGCGGTCCAAGGTCTGATTCTACATCTGGTACTGTTGTAATCGTTTTGAAAGTTCCTGATTTGGTACTACCACTTCCACTCGTTGCTGTTCCACTGGTTCCATCTAAGGAAGATGGCTCAAGTGTTTGGCATTTTGAGCTATGAACTTTTGTTGAGGCGTCAACATCATCATCACCAGTCTATTCTTGTTTACAGTGTTCTGATTGAATCATTTTGGCTTCTTGAATTATGCCAATCAACGTGCTAACTGGTAAAGCTCTATTAATAAACTCATGTTTAAGTGGACTGCCAATTAAAGCTCAGTGTTCAGGATTTTTGACAGGACAGCCAGATAAAAAATCCTTAAACTCAGTTGACCAGGATGGGGGTGGTTTGGTAGGTATCATGAAAGTTGCTCTCATGGGATGTATATCACTGCAAGACGGTTTACCCTCAGCCATTCCTAAATTCAATTTCAACTGGCACTTGTTTGATTGCTAATATTTGCCGGATTCCTTGTGTAATGCTTTAAATACAGATCCATAGGAGCCTTCGCCTAATTTACAAATCATATTGAAACCCTCTTCCAGTGGACGAGTCAAAGCTTCCTCACTTAGTTTTTCAAATGTCACCATGATTATCGATTAATCTTTAATATTTAACGATAAAAAATTAGACTATACCATTTGATTTAAAACAAATAAACACAATTGAAAACTAAAACTTTTTAGGTTTTGTGTTTGTTGTGTTTGCATATTTCAAGTATTTTAACGATCGAAACTTTAGCGCCATCTCTTAGTAATGAGAAAATTTCGTGATTTTTTACCAAAGATTTGATCCTCTTTTTATCCTGAATTTCATTAAAATTTAAAGTGATCAAATTTTTTCCATGACTTCCCATAATAAGAAATTCTCTTCATTTGAATTAATTGAAAACAAACGAAGGTTAATTTGATTTTTGATAAGCCTCTGTGATGAATTTACCGCTGAACCAATGAGCGTTTTGTATGTTGATTTAATAAAACAGATAGATAATTTTTCTAATTTCTCGTAGCTTTAAATACAATTAAAACAAAATTTTTAAGGCATAAACATGATTGGGTTAAGAGAAGATAGAGATTTTTACATTTTTCTGTAAATGAATAAACTATACACGGGATACAGCTAATAGGACTTTTGGTTTTTTATCAAACTAAATCCCTCAAACGAGGTTCATCCATTGCATGCATGTGTCCGTTAATCACCAATTGCTGTTGGAAATTGATTACTCCCAGTCGATTCATCTTTGAATAAATATATTATAATCTCGCTTTATACATTGAGTTGAATTTTGAAGATTTTTACAGATAACTATAGTTTGAATGCGTGATCACAGATGTAGAGAAATAATAGATCCAAGAAAGTTATTTACAGCGGTGTGGTGGAAGATTTTTCATTTTTTGACTTTTTCAATTCTGGCGTAAGGATAAATCTATTGAAATCTCGATCAGCTTGTGTTTCATCGAATTGAGATGATTGAAACCAATTAGATCCATACATAACTCTTTCTCTTTCTTTTTTGACACTATTAAAATAGCGAAATATATAAACTGTGTGCAGAATCTCTACGAATACCCCAAGGACGAAAATCATTACTAGAAAGTTGGCCACAGAAATAGGCTGTCCCATTTTCCAACGAAAAAAACTTCTCCATGTCAAATCTTCAAAATCTTGAGCTGTTGCACGATTGTAATTTGCCCAATAATGCCCTTGGTTTCTCATAAACTCTTGGTGAGCTCTATATTGTTGATAATCAGAATAGTTTCCATAACCACTGTGTCCCCACTTGCTTTGAGAATATCTGAGGAAACAAAACGAAATTAATAAATTGATTAATACTAAAGAAATTGATTCAAAAAAATTAACTTACCCAGCTTTAGGATATTTTATACTTTCATCATAAACCTGGCGCTCAGTGGGATCATTGAGAACTTGGTAGGCTTCATTAATCTCTTGGAACTTATTTTTCAATTGAACACTGGATAAATGACTTCTTGCTACCGAGTCAGGATGATATTCTTTACTTTTGTCAAGAAAAGCTTTTCTAATTTCTTTTCGGGTACTATTTTTATCGATCCCAAGAACATCGTAATAATTTTGTTTTCCTGATGATGACGATGACAGATATCTAGGATAACAATGGTACCCAAGAACTGTCACTGACTTTTGTTTGATAAGACTACGACAAAAATGCATTCACATTAATTACAATTGAACGAACTGATGAAATGAATTCAATATTAACAATTCCAATTCTTAAAACCAAAGCAAGTTATCAAAAATTGGAATTTATTCAGGGCTTTAGTGCCTAAAGTCAGATGTAAACAATACGATGCGCGCTCCATCTCATGAGTGAAACTCACAAGGACAATTGTGAAGAATAGTAATCTGATTTTTTATGCGTTGTTGTTTATGTGAATTTACTTTTAATTTAATTGTAACTCTATATTGATATAAATTTATCAATTAATTTATATTTATTTTGTGAATCCAACTCATTGAGAAAATGAATTCAATTGGTAAGTCAACTCTATCTTTCCTTCTATTGAAAAGGACTAAAATATTTACTAATGGTGTTGATATATTTTTTACAGCTGCAGGAAGATTTGCATTGATGAAGCCATCGCAAATGGCAGTGGTTATTTATGATCGTGGAGCCGTTGCTTCTATTTCAACCACTACTCGATGTAACAATGAGTTATCTCAACAACAAGGACAGGTCAGCCAATCGAATCAAAAGTCAGCAGTGGATTCCAGCGGTAAGAGTTTAGGCGTTTCACCATTTGTTGGTACCCATTCAATTGGAGAGTTTGCTATGGCTCGAATGGATGATCTTACCAATTGGGCCAGACGTGGTTCATTATGGCCTTTGACTTTTGGATTAGCCTGTTGTGCCGTTGAAATGATGCACATAGCTGCTCCTCGTTATGATTTAGAAAGATTTGGTATGTTATTCAGAGCAAGTCCTAGGCAAGCTGATGTCATGATTGTCGCTGGTACTCTCACAAACAAAATGGCTCCAGCTTTTCGTAAAGTTTACGATCAAATGCCTGATCCTAAATGGGTTTTGTCGATGGGAAGCTGTGCCAATGGAGGAGGCTATTATCATTACTCTTATTCTGTTGTTAGAGGTTGTGATAGAATCGTTCCAGTAGATATCTATGTTCCCGGATGTCCTCCGACTGCAGAAGCATTATTGTACGGTTTGCTTCAATTACAAAAGAGGATTAAGCGACAAGCCACTGCTCAGGCTTGGTATCGTTCTTAGAAAATGTGTTATTTACTCTTCTTGATCAGTAGCATAGTAAATAAGCATGTAAATAAATTTAATGGTAATAAATCGTTTAATTGTTTAACAATATTTTAAAGAATTGTTTGGATAATCTTTCTTGACGTCCATAAGTTGAAAATCTAAAGTTCATCTTTCAACTTGAATGACAAAGCAAAGGTCACAAAACTAATTGTTGATCAAACTATTCATTTAATTATTAGCATCTATCATGAGTGGAATCAACTTAATTTTTTTCATTCTTTTTTTGCCAACATTTCCCTTCTCTCTCATTCTTGTTTCAAAATAAAGGTTGAAAGATGGCAAGGTTTATCAATAAAAAAAACATTTATCACATTAGTTTGAATCTAACCGGTAATCAATTCGGATGGTTCCTTGTAATCAGTGAATTGTTTTTTTCAAGTGGATAGGTATTGTAGATCAACGGAGTTTCCCTTTGACACACATTTAACTAAGCCAACTGGACTCAATGGTATTGAGTCAATCATTATCATCAAGAAGACCTTTCTCTCATCATCATCATCATCTCCTTTCCTCCCACCCAATCAAATGAACCAATCTCTTTTTTCTCTATTATTATTGAATTTCTTCCGATCAAACTTTCATCAGGTTCAATTGATGAAGCTTCAAGTGTAACAATCAAACCTTTTCAAGCAAGTTCAAGTCCCACTGTTTTCATTTTCAACCATCTTCATTTAGATTAAATTAAACCATCAAGTTAACGTTGATTGTCTTTGTTATTTAACAACTTGTGAATTTTAATTTTCCCTTCAAGAATGCCAATTTATTTTACTCTTAAGCGGTTCATCGTCGTCTCATTAATTGCCATTGGAATAATCTTAAGTCGTATTTCATCCGTACTAAGTGAAAATTTTCATCATCCAGTGATTTTTCGTAAGTAATCGACGATTCTTTATCATTATTCATTGGTATTTACATATTATTAAATCGATAATTTAAAGATCCACTTTAAAGTTTTCACATTATGGAATAAAAGAGTTTGATTGTAATTAAGAATTCGTAATTCTTGTTCATCTCGAATCAATTCTATCAATATTAGGAATATCATTAATAAAACAACTGAACTTCAATAGCTAAACCAATCTTAAGATTGTAAAACAAAATCTGAAACATTGTTACTGAGCTTTAATAAACTATTAATCGTTAATTGGGTGATATAATCAAATATATGTGATATTGACCGTCCAAATCAAACTGACAATTTAATGCTTGACATATCCATGATTAGTAATTGATACTGAAGTTCAAATTTTTTATAAGATCAGTAATAATCATCTTAAGCTCAATTATAAATCTGCTGATATAAAATGTATAAAACTTAACTAGGTAACTCTAGCTAATATACAATGTAAATATTGACGGTTTAGCGGGCGATTTCAAAAGATGAGTAGAAAAAATCCAATCAATTAATCCGAACAGCCTTGAGCCTTTTCACATTAGATAAGTTCACCATAAATGATCCTACAATTACTCGATAATTATGTTGAATCAATTGTTTGATGATTTCGATACTAATACCTTTTTTCTGGTTCATTGATTATTGTCAACACTTTCACACCACTTTTGTTTACAACCAATCAAGACCATGAAATTGATGTTTTTTTAGTGATTCAGTAACACTTCAACTTCCTGACTTATCTTTTTTTCTCATCATTTCATTATTCAATCTTCCTCTCAATGAAGTTTAAAGATGGGCTAAAAGGTCACAACTATTATCTCAAATTGAAATTGCTTCTGATCAATTTATACCTTTTTATACAATTTCTCTCATTTTCATGATAGTTGCTGGTTATATGGGAACCCAATTGAAGTATCAACTGCACAAAGCAAACACGAGTCCATTTTTTTGCCAAAAAAATTTGTACACAACTCGAAGTTTATGGTTAGATGCTTATCAGGCCTTCTCTCCGGTTAAAAAATACTGCTGGTTACATTATTTGTCCCTTGAATACGATCCTTGGACCCGATCAACTAAAAGTCCTCCTGGAGTGCAAATTTTGGTTCCTCCGATGGGCGACACACAATCAATTGAATACATTTCACCCTTTCCCTTTCAGGTTCGACCAAGTAAGCATTGAAATAGTTATACAATGATATCTGATTGTTTCCATCTTGAGTGTATCAAACAATCAAACGATGAGTTACTTATTTCCATCAACGTTGACATGAGCTGTAAAGAGATGAAAAAGAAGCGATAAAGATTAGAAAATAAATTTTGAAAAGAGCTTTAATTAACCTTGAATTAATAGAGATAATCATAGAAGAGGAAACTAAATTAACTTTGACCAATCTAAATTAAGAGAGAATAGAAAAATCTTTTATTTGAAAAAGTTGACCAAGCTGAATTGAGAGACTGACATTTCTGATTGATTTATTCATTCATGCAAGTTTTAATTTCACATTCTTACCTATCACAACCTAATCAAATTATAAATAAAAATGAATCGAAATATAGCCTACAAAGTAATAACAGACAACTTGACCCCAAAAATGATAGTAGTATATAGAGATAATTAACTTAATTTCATTCTGAATTATTTTTGACACCTTGAACTAATCAATCTTTTCAAATCATTTCTCTCTCTTTTTTGCTTTGATTGAAAAAATCATCAGCTGAATACTATATAAATATCATCAACTCTTTGGAGCGATTAGGTTATTCCAGAGGATACAACATATTCGGAGCCCCATACGATTGGCGTAAATCTCCTCGTAAGTCTTTCGATTCAACACAGTGGTTAAGAAGATTTTTAACATTCACATTTTTCTCGTCCTTTTAATCGACTATTTAGATGAACAAGGTGACTTCTTTGAGTCTCTCAGATACCTGGTCCAAGAAATATACGAGAAAAATGGAGGTAAACGGGTCATACTTTTTGGTCACTCGATGGGAGGTAATTTTGCTTATCTATTTCTTCGTAAGCAAAACGTTTACTGGAAAAACCATTATATTCGAGCCGTTGTGTTTGCTGCTTCTCCATGGGGTGGTAATTTTAAACACATGTATGATTACCTGTATGAAGATGATTTTGCTGCTGATTTGATACCAGAATTTCGCCAAGTAGAACGAACTTATTCCTCTTTAGCCTTTTTACTACCCAACAAACGTATATGGGGACCCGATGATATTTTCCTAACCACACCAACAGCTGATTATACCGCCTTTAATATGGAAGAATACTTTGCCCATCTCAATCATCCAAATGGTTATCAGATGTACCTGGATACCAAAGATTTGATGGATCCTTTTGTTCACCCCGAAGTGGACATCTATTGTATACCTGCTGTGGGATATAAAACACTTCGTCAAGTTGAGATGTTTTCAGATAATGATAAGACCAATCGATTCACCAACTACTCTCAGGGTGATGGATTTGTTAATATAGAATCTGCTTTAGGTTGCCTTAATTGGTTCCCTTCAAAGAAGTACAAGTTTTATTTGAAACTTCTTGATTCCAGTCATCTGGGAATGCTTCGAGAAACTGAACCGGTTAACTTCTTTGCCAATTTAATATACAGCTTACCTTAAGGTGAAATGGTAAAACGATTCCTTTGAATAGAATCTCTATCGACATTCCTTTTCCAACTGATATCCTGAAAGGTTAGAGTGCCATCACGAAATTAATGAATACTGAATTAAATTAAATCACATATAATTGGTGAAAACATGCAATGCTTATTAAGAGAGGTTATAGGCAAACAAAAACACGGCACTTGTCGCCCTCCATTAGCAAAAGTTTCAGTATACAGTTAGAAAGAAAGTAACTGAAAATGTATGCATTAAGAGGTGTTCAACTCTCCAAGCTCAGAATCAATGTACCATAATTTGACAATTAATTTGTTTGTTTCTCGACTAATCGAGTCTGTAAATATAAATTTTCTAATAAATTGCTTAATAATTTAACCAATTAATTTACTTCGGAAATTGTCGTTATGAGTGGTTCGAATTTTTCAAATACGGTTTGTTTGTTTTGTTTTACTGCACCAAGAATATTAACAGAAATTGATTGATAACTTTGTTTAATATTTAATCAATATTTCCAACAAATGGAAACTTATTAGAGGATTGAGTGGTATTAGTTAATTTAGCTACAAATATAATATTAAGGACTATAAAGTACACTTTGTACTCAAAAATAATCGATATAAAGTTTATTTTCTACATCATTTCAAGCGGTTTAATCGTTCTTGCCAATTATGTCCTTGATTCTTCAACATTAACATAGATTGGTTGGGGATGAGGTGGTGATAAGCAGGGTGGGAGAAGAGAGAGTAAAGAGTGAGAAGTTGATAGCTTACTTTTTAGTGAATCAAGGTTTGATAATCACATAAATAAGGTTCAATTTCAGGCTTTTACTTTCAGTGTTTATCCTCTGTAACATCTGACTTTTTTCAATCAACCCATTCATCGTTATTTTTCATAATCTACCTTTTACAATGTCTTTTTCCCTGGTTTTAAAGAACAAAGGTCCATTAGCTCAGGCTATTGAAAAGGTTGATACTTCAAGCAGTGTCAACTTGGAAGCAACTTTAAAGGATAATGAAGTTCTTATTCAATTTATTGCTTCAGCAATTAACCCTTCTGATGTTGGAGTGATCGAAGGTTGGTATCCTTCTGCTGCTGAATTACCTTTGGTGCCTGGTAATGAAGGAGTAGCCAAAGTCCTCAAAGTTGGTCCAGGCGTTTCAAAATTGGCTGTTGGTGATCATGTTATTCCTGGTAAAGGTCTCTTCGGTACATGGAGAACTCACGCCATTGCCTCGGAAAATGATTTATTGTCTATTGACAAAGATTTAGACATTTATACTGCCGCTCAGATTATGGTTAATCCACCAACTGCATACCGTATGCTAAAAGACTTTGTCACTTTAAAACCAGGTAAGTCTAATAACCCATTTTTTACTGTCAGATAAAAATTTAGTCAATACAGTGATTAAATTATAAAAGACAATCAATAAATATTGTAATCAATTGTCATTTTAAAAGCAACATTTATTTTCTTACTCTATCAACAGGTGATTGTGTGATGCAGAATGGAGCTAACTCAGCTGTTGGCTTGCTGGTAATTCAACTCTGTAAAGCTTGGGGATACAAAACAATCAATGTTGTTCGCGCTCGACCTAATCCCGATGATATGGCCAAATTAGTCAGTAAATTAACTGAGTATGGAGCTGATCATGTTGTTACTGAAGAGGATATAGCCAATGATGAAGCCATGAATGAAATCTGGTCCAGTGGAACTCCAAAACCTATTCTTGCCTTTGAATGTATTGGCGGTGAAAATGCTAACAATTGTATTCGTCATTTGGCTGATGAAGCTACAATGGTCATTTACGGAACCATGACCAAAAAGCCAATTGAGGTTCCTGCCGGACCAACCATATTTAAACAACTTCGCTTCGTTGGATTCTGGTTAGCCAAGGTTTACCGAGGTAATCCTGAAGAATACCTAAGAATGAGTGCTGAACTTGTATCAATGTTTAAATCTGGTCAGTTGAAAGCTCCAAAAGTGGTTCCAGTCAAGATGGTAGATTACTTGGAAGCCTTTGAAAAGTCAACCAACGGGTTCAGTGAAGGAAAGGTCGTTCTCACCACCGAAGTTTAACGTAATTCAAACCAAAGTTGACCAAAGTCACTTCCAAGGATAATTTATTAATCCCAAATAATTTGTAATAGATTGGCAACAAATTGAAAGATGTACTATCAAAGCATTTTTTAACACAATCTAAAGATCACAACGTAATCACCTCTACTGTTTTAAGAATCAAGACAAACTCAATTCAAATTAATATGAATTTATTAAAAATATGGAAAAAGATTAAATTTGGTTTTTAATTTAGAGCAAGATGGGTTCAGCTCGGACTCAGTGAACTCAAGAAATATGATGACGAATTGGGAAAGGATTTATTTGGAAGTAGAGTTCCAATTGTTCATCTAGATTATTGAGAACTGAATGGCAATGAATATCCTGTAAACATTGAAAGATAGGAATAGATTATCCAGATCATTTTAATCAACAACAATATATCTTTATCAGCATGGAATTCATATTAATTTTTATCATTAAGCTTTTTTGCTCCTTTTCTCACTTTACTCAGACCTTCTCTGTCTACAAACTTGAACAATTAGCTGATTAACCATTGACACTTGAAAGCAAAAATAGTCTTTCGATTCTCCCTCAATTAATTGATTTAATGATTTTTCTTTCTCTCTCTCATTCAGTAATTATTGATAAGCAAAATAGTGATGGATTAACTGACATCGACTCTTCATGACTTTATTTTCATTTACTATTAGTTTTCATCTCTATCCTAGTAGATTGTATTCAGTTCAATCTAATAGGATTAAATTATCATGAGCTTACTGTTCATCGAAGTAAAACACCATCAAGTTAATCAACTTACACTCATACAATCGACTAATTGTCAAATAACCAATGGGATTCTCTGACATACTATTTTCATAAATACATAACTCATCCTAACTGTGTATTGTGTTTAACCCATTCCCAAATAACTTATTTTCATCATCTGTTTTAATTTAATCATCTTTATTGGAATGATCTCTCATCCTTATTACTTAATTAACCCCATCTTAACAATGAAATCAAAGTCATATAATTTTTTATTATTCATCATCTTCATCCTTGCCTCTAGTCCAATAATTGTCTCAATTGAAAATGGAACCTCAGGTACGTTAAATCCTGAAGTCAATTATGTTCCTCTGTTTATTTTTTATGTGTTATTAGATGTTATTACTTGTGATTAGCCCATATTCAATGGTAAACAAAATTAAATCAGTTTAGATGGTCTGAGAAATTTAGATGCGTTTATAATCGTGAAGCGTATGTCTATTGGATTGCTGTGCTTTTGGGTTTAATTGAGTCACAATCTATGTAACAATCTCATTTGTATTTGTAAATAGATTTAATCAATAAAATATTCAGAATAATCAGGAAAAGTTAGCTAAAAATGCGTGGTGGAAAAAATTCAAGAGATTGGACGCAAACTGAAAATGGAAACATCAGATACCTCGTATATTAATATCACTTTTAATCAGCATGTGAAACAATTTGTCACATCGAAATTCCATTTTTGCTGTTTTCATCAATAAATCTATTCAGCAATTGATATAGCTTGGAATTTAACAATAATATAAAGTAATTTTTAATTGATGAGAGGTGATACTTGAACATGTTCATTGTTTCATTGTGTAATTCATATTATCGATTTGATACAATTGTTTTTGGAGAGTCAAAAAATGTAATCATAATGTAAATAGCTTTAATTGAGACAACACACAAAAATGACATTTAGACTAGAGATTGGTTTTAATGTTAAATCTGTATGGACGCAAGGTCTAACACGGCTTGTTTGATTCAATTAACTATCGGGTTGCCATAGTTGGGAAAAAACAAATTAAATCATATTAATTCATATTTAATTTTCTGTCCAGATATGGTGGTAACCAGTGCATGGAAGAGGATGCTTGGTGAAAATAGACCTCCAACCGATGACGATTATCTTTACGTAATTGGTCCAAATGCATGTATGAATATTGTTTATAAGAATCCACCGCAACCTAATTGTGATACGACCGGCATTGAAATCAGTTTCATGTATTGGGCCAATTGGAATAAAACTAAATTCTCTGTGGTTAAAGAGGGAACTGAATTATTTAGATTGGCTGTGATGCCCTGCCATCGATCCATGCCAGCCACCAAATTTATCCTTTTTGATGATTTTGATCCATCCACTTGGAACTATGCTGTTTATACTGCTGCCAGAAACAACGAGTTCAACTTTAAATGTGATAAAAGAGTTGACATTGAAGTTTGCGATAATGAGGATTACCAGGATAAAATAGAGCCAACCGATAATTATTTGGTAGCAATTAAGGATATTAACTTGAAATACATTTGTGTATCGAAAAGTACGTTCAAAGTTAAATTGACAGGAAATAGAGAAAAGTATCTCAAATCATTTTCATAATTGTGTATCTTCCATCGTTTATTTAGATGCTCAATCTTTACTTTCAAATGAATCGTGTAGTAGTGATACTGAATCCCCAGTTAGATGTGTGGATGCTACTTGTACTAAAGATAATTGTCCATCAACATTTACAATCAAGGGTGGCTTTTGGTCATCAGAACGAATACCTGAACGCAGTGAAAAATTTGGCGACTTTTGGTATACAGATGAAACACATGAGACAGCGTCAATTATTTTATCCGAGAAAGATGACATGATGGCTTGTGTTGATCTTGCATATTGGATAACTGGTAAAAGTAGTATTCGTGTCGATATTGGTGCGATTACCCTTGATTTTGATACAACCCTTGAAACTGAAAGTAATAAGTATAAATGGAAGACAATCACTTTATGCCCACGGTGGTTTGCTCAGGGCCAAGAGCATCAAGGAGCTAATGAATCAGAAATCACGTTAACATCAAATATCTTCAATAAAGATGATTTGGTGGCCTTTTCACTTGAGTATCTTGGTTTACGCCGTCAAAGTCAATACCGAACAGTCAACAATTTTCTTCATCATTTTAGTCGTCCAGAAGCGAAAGGAGAATGGACAATTGTTCCCTCTTTTTTGGACACTTATGCTGATAACTCGACAAATTTCTTTATCGAATTAACTTTTCCCGGTCAAAAGGACGGTAATTCATATATTTTTTCAAAATGGTTTAAATACAGTCCTGGACTAAGATTCCGTGGTGTGTTGAATGCTCAACAGCTTTTCGGAGCGTTTTCAGTAACGTTAAGTCTCCATGAATCAAATGGTCACGTTGTCTTTTCAAGAAATTTACTCAAAATTGATGATGATTCTCCAGACGAGATGAGATCTTTTAAACATTTAAACGTTAAATTTGAAAGCTTTGCGACCAATGCTCTCAAAAAATCAACATTTTGCTATATTTTGATTAAGGTCACTTATAATTCAACACAGGAATCTAAATTAATTTTGAATGAGGCTGATGTTGGAGATGGTTGTCGTGAAGGTGAATTAAACTGTATGGGCCATGGAACGTGTATCAATTTGGAACCAGATCAATATAAATGCGATTGTAATCGAGGCTGGACTGGATATCATTGTGAAGCAATCAACTTTTGCCAAACTGTTGATCCATTTACTGGATTTACAGGGGATCAATTTTGTAGCCAAGGTGAAGGAACATGTAATCCAATGGCTTACAGTCCAGATTCATACACCTGTGAATGTGAAATAATGAGATATTGGAATTTAAATAAATCATATTCTATGGATAAAAGTAAACTCATTCAGATAAAAGGAAACTGCGAACCTGTGTCTAAATGTGTTGGTATGATTGGTATCTGTCCGCATGGTTATTCTTGTGATGAAGATACCTGGTCATTGGAAAGGCCATGTCAAGTATGTAATCAAGATCTAGGCTTTACCATGTACGAAGGGAAATGTGTTAAAATGGACGCTTGTTACAAAAGATGTGGAACAGCTAAATGTTTTCCATTTGGTACCAATTATTATTGTTACTGTGACAATAATCATGTGTACGACGAAAACAAGCAAAGTTGTGTATTTCCTGAAGGTTGTTCCCCTTGGATAGCTCAAAAGTTGGGCTGTAGTCACTATTGTACGGTACCCAACGGAGTTCCTAGCTGTGCTTGTCATAGTGGTTACAAATTCGTCGCAAGTGATGGAAGTTGTAAACCGCTATTCAATTGTACAATCTCTTGTCCAGAAGGATCCGTCTGTGTTCTTGATAGTAACAACATGTCAACATGTGTATGCTCATCTGGCTGGGAATGGGATGAAGGTACTGGCAAATGTGTTGACATTTGTAAATTGGCTGATAATGGTAATCGAAAGTGGCTTAAGTATGTCCATGATACTTGTGGTGGCACTTCCCGTTGTAGTCTGATCAACAGTCGTTTAACATGTATTTGCAATCCGCCAACGGTTCGAACTATGGATGGTCTTTGTGAGCTTGAAAAAATTTGCTTCCCAGGAAATAGAGGTTTTGTTGAATGTAATACACGTAATGCGTTGTGTGAACCTCGATCGGACGGGCACACTTTTTCTTATCGCTGTTTATGTCCACCGGGTAAAACTTTTGTAGATGGATTTTGTATTGATAAATGTAGGAAAATGAAGTCTGAATGTGAATCAATGAACGCTGTATGCCGACTCATCGATGAAACAGAAGGAAGCCATGTTGCAACGTGTGTATGTCGACCAGGTTTTGTAATGAAGTCAGGTTATTGTTATTTAGCACAACACGCGATTAAAGCGACATTCTTGGTTAAAATATCTGACAGTAAATTGCATAGATTTGATACATCCGCAGACACTTTGGTGGAAACCTTTTGCAACAAAGTTGATTCCAAATTTCTACGAGATTGTAATATATACACTCGTGCTGTTATCAATCAGTGGTTCCAAACAGAACACGAATCATTCATGGATCGTATAGTTGCCCGTTACGTTGATTCAATCTTGGCTCCTAATGTTAAAAAATTTGCCAACCAAATGATCGACTCTGTCACCTTGATGTCCTATGAAAAGGTTAAAAAGAAAGAGAAAAGGGATACAAATATTGCTACACCATCTTATTCATTAACTATGCCAGCCAAGCACGATAGTCGAGCAGTAGGTGATTTTAAAATAACTGTTTCATTACAATTAAAGAGTAAATTCATTGGTTTTTCGCCAATGTTGGCAATGTTTTGCTATGACGTCTTTAGTCCGAATGATACAAGGTATGATTATTGCATGATTCCGTCAAAAACACTAGTTCGTAAAGGAACCTTTGAAGAATCTGATTTAAGACCATGTAAAGAACGTTCCATTGATTATTGTCCAAAACAATCAGCCTGTCTTCCTGACCATGATGAAACCAAATATAAATGCGTATGTGATCCTGGATTTACATCACAAACTGCTATGAAATTAGACATGGAAGATCCATCTTTAACTAAACACTACTGTGTCGATGTTGATGAATGTTTTGCTGGTGAAACACTGTGCCAGGGCCATTCGACGTGTGTTAACACTATCGGATCATATAACTGTGTCTGCGATGACAATTATATCGACGTTTTAGGGAAATGTACAGGTAATATATTTAACACTTCTTAAAAATCTAGCTAACAAGTTAGCTTTATGAGAGAGTAAACAAAGATTTATAAACTCTGTTCTCACTTGAACCTGTGAATCATAGACAATGTGTTTACTTTCAATTGATGCTTTGAAGAAATGTTTTGTGCAAGTTTGCTCTCACAATTATCACAATTGTCAGCTATTATTTAATTTCTTATGTTTAATTATATTTTATCAATAGAATTATGTGAATTCCAAGCTTGTCAACATGGCGAGTGTGTGATTGCGGCAAATCAATCAGCCTTTTGCAGGTAAGGTGTCATTGTTTTTTAAGCTAACTCTTTAGTCCTTAGATTTGTTTGTTTTTTGTCTTGTTTAACCACAACAAAATTTAAGAGTCATTAACACAATATTTATATTTGTGCACATATTTAGGTGTGATCCTTGGTATACTGGTGATAAATGTGAAAAAATCAACAAAGTTGCTGTATTTTGGCGAACAATGACTATTGTAGTTGCCTCATGTTTAACATCGATTATAGTGATTTTCATTGTGACGAGTATCATTGTTGCTCGAAGGTCAGTCAAGCACAAGCAGTCAGCGACCATCACTTATCAATTGTAATGAGTCTCGATTTGTTTGTGAAATTTTAGAGTAAATCTTACATTGTTTCCTCTTTCTTATCTAGATCAAAATCACATGCTGTTGAGAATGGGTACCTTAAAAATCGTATTGAGCTGACTGACTCGATGTACATGGTAAGTATTTATATAATACAATAAACAATCATCCCAATATCATAGAAATATTGAATAGATATCAATCTTGCTAGCAATTACCCGAAAATAAGCTAAAACTAACTATTCTTTTCTCTCAATTTTCAGCAACACATAAGACCAACAATGCGAAATCTTCGGCATCAACCAATCTCTACAAATTTTGACCTGCAAACCTAAGGATCTGCCAAACTCTCGATGAATTTTATCTGAAATGGTTCACCAGTGCTTAAAGCCAAGATGAACTTCTGCTGTGATTGATTTGCTTCCCTCTAATATCTTATGAAGATGGATCAAAGTCTCTTAAACATTATACCCATTGAATTATGTCTCATAAACCAAGGATATTGGTAATCTCTGATTGTATTCCTGGACTGAAGCAAGCTAAACCAGTGGAAATATTTATCAGACCTGGTTGTTGATAACAACTGAAAAAATGAACGGAACTAATTAAAATGTCACCGTCAATATTGTATATACTCAGACCTTTGAGAATTTCAATCAACTAACGCCTTGTAAAGTAATTTTTCCACCAAAATCACCTCAATTGAAGCCAAAACCAAATTTTATACCTAAATACTGTTACATTGCGATTATTTGAGAAATCCAAATAAAAGGAAAAATTTCTTTTATTTCTAAATTTCTAATCAATTCTTATCTTGCTGTAACAATAACTCATGGCCAGAAATAATCGCACAATTGTTGAATACCAATCCAATGACTGATAGGCAATTTAATAACACAATTGGTACAAGTCAGGAAACAACAAGTGCAACCTTTCTTGGAATCGAGTTTAAAGCAGCTTAATTGTTAACCGTCACATTCAATTTTAGATGAAAGCACTTTATTGTTACAAGATTTTTTCGACTGATAATGATTTAATCAAGAAGGAATCAAGAAAGGTGACATGAGATGAAACAAAACAATTTATCAATACAAATCTGTAATCATCGAGACACCTTATTTTGTACCCAAAGAAATTGAAATAAATCAATTTAAGGTATTATAACCTGCTTTTTGGATTATTTTTACCCATCCAATCTAATAATACTTTCACCTATTTTTACCATTATCTTGAACACACATGATAATCGTAAGACACCAATCTGAAGCTTACAGAAGGCTCATCAGTTCCAAGATTTAATGATAATTTTAATAGGTTCATTACGCAATTTAAATGACATATAAATCAATGATGAACACGTCATTCCATTAATCACAGATTAATTGATTAATCTTAGTATTATGTCGCCGCAATGAAAATCGCTTTCGTACTCAATGTACCAAATTTAATGTAATGAAACCAGATTTCAGACTAACAATTGTAAGATTGAATATTCAACTGACTTTTGGTCAAATTGTATTTCAAATCAATGGCTAGCATTAATCGTAATAATTTGATTAATATTGAAATTGAAAATTAACTTAATGGATGAGAGATGAAAACACTGAATTACAATTTACTTGAAGCTAAACATTTTCAACTCTCACCTTTTTTTAACAATAGCTGAGTAACAAAACAATGGTTTAACGTTGAATGAATTTAGGCCAGATTAATTGATTGTTTGGTTAGTTGAATCTATTGACAATGAATAGCCAGTTAAAGGTAATGTAATTGACTTATGGGTCACTCTCAGGATTCCAGGAACGATTGATTGAAATTGCTTTTCTGACCAATCTTTCATTTAACTGACAAATGATGTTATTTCCTGATGATGACAATTGTTAACATTATTTGAGAAGAAGAAGTAAATTAAGAAATTAACGATCATTAACCTTTTTTTAGTTTAACCAATTGATAATTAGCATGACTGTCAATGAAAACGGTAGTTTGTAACTGTTAAGGTTAACTTGATTGTTGGATTGTTTGCATTAAACGAAAGTTGAAAAATTGTAATTCCATTGTTCCTATTGTGATGTTCAATGTTCAAATTAATTAATGATCTTAATTTGCTTCCATCTTTTCATGATTAACTTATTGAACACATTCAATAGATTGATGGATTGAAAGGTAAGAAATTTTTCTCCCATTAAATCAATGTTTACCTCTTAACTCAACACACGCTACTCAAGATTATTGATTTAAATTCAACTAAACATCTTACTTGGAAGCTCATTGATCAATTCAAATATTTATAATAGGATTTACTATTAAATTGAGTGATTAATGAAAGTTGAGTTACAAATAAAACAGTAATTGTTACACATCTTAATATTCATTGAATCTTAACACACAATAAGCATGTTTTGGAGATAAATTCATTCCAACATTTTCCTATCTCTCAACATCTGTGAATCAATGATTTTTGACAATCTTATCATGTTGGCTAACAGTTATTCAGAAGACAGTTATCTTTTAAATTGTGACAGTCTGAATTTACGATACTTTATGTTGGCTTAACAGGTAACAACAAAAAGCTTTATAAAATGGGTGATTATCAAAGGGTAAACTTACTGAACTATGGCTGAATGGGAAAGTTAATTATGTTTGATCAGGTAAATTGATTAGAGTCACTTATTTATCAGATGGTTAGGAATCAGCTTCATGTAAGACTAGGGTTGATGTTTAATAATCTCTTGGTAACCCTGAAGGAAAAGTTATTCAACCAGTTTTGAAAAAAAACCATGATTAGAGTGAATGACTTTGATAACTCACATTTTCCACTTCATTTGAAGCATCCAAAGTTTAAATATCAATTTTTAACATTACATATGATTGAAATCAATAATCAGTTATTTTAATAAGCCAAGAGTTTGAAAAAGAACCTAAAAATTGCTCATTTTTTTCAGTCGATACACAAAGTAAGCGAAATGTGTGGCTAATTTTGGCATCAGCATTTCTTTGGCAAACCTTGAGATTCATTTTGGTTGTTTCATCCTAAATAACTAATTGGGTTTTCCTATTGAATAATCAGTGAAATGTATACCAGGCAATATTGAAATCCCAAGAGTTGTGAAAAACAGAAGACATTAGGAATTTTAAGACTAATGACTTTGAACAACATGAAGAACGATATTGAGACGGTTCAATTTGTATATTAATATTGTCATTCATGCTGATACTGCACGATTATGAAAACTGGAGAGGTTAAAACTGTTGAGTGTTTATAATCAGGTTTAAGTATTTTGTTAATCAGCATTATTTTCCAGTACAGGTTTGGTTAACACGATCGCCAAGTAAAACTCAAAATTACATCAACTCCGAATTGTTATATCTGGTATTTTATGGTAGATTATAAGCATATGGTTTGATTATCCAATTATCTGATTCAACATTTGATCTAAAGGTTATAAAAGATTAAATTGAGGCACTAATGAAACTTATAAATTAACTAATTAATAAACTTGGGAAAAGCTAACAATTTTTTAAATCATATTTTCCTTTTCTATTTTTTACATCAATAGATGGCGTTGGTACTTTTAGTAGCGTCATCTATAGGGTTGTTGTTAAAATTGAGAATAGCAAATTGGATGTTCGGCTCACTCTTCACTTTCAATCAGGTAAGCCCTATTCGTACAAAAAAATATCTGATAAGATTCTAATCCTTGGATATGTAGTAGACTTTTATTTGGCTTAAGAGTACGGCGCGTCTGTTTAAACTCTATGAAATAGTGTCAAAAACTTGATTATTTAGGTTAAGATTTGAGACTTTGTTAATTTGTAGGGACTAATTACCACATTTATGCACAAAAATTGACAGAAATGGGCAAAAAACGGGTAAAAATTAATTTCTTTGAAATTTAGACTCTGTTGGTTTGTAGGCACATGAGAACTGAGTTCATTTGTGCAGTTTAAAGATTCCTCTGAGGAAATCGAGGTCAAAGTTGAACTTCGATTGCCTTTTGTTCATTTATGAAAGGCAATCGAAGCAAAAAATTAAGCGCTTTTCAATTTATCGACCGTTCTTTTGATTTAGCCATTGGCATAAAAAATATTCAGACCAGTTTTGAACCCTCAATCCTTTCAAAATCTTAATGCTCTAACCTACTCTTTAACCACTGGACTGTCTAAACTTATTTTATATTCAAGTTTAGCTCATTCTAATTATTGTTAACCTTTTTAAATCAAGCTTAGTGTTTGAATTACACAAGAGATGGCGTTGAAATTCGCATTTGTACAAATAGGCAAAAAGCCTATTCGTACAAGTTTTTTGTACGAATAGGCCTTTCCTTTCAATCATCTGGCTAAATGGAAAGTAAATTTTATCTTTTTTTGCTCCACTTTTTCATTGATTTGATTTTTTTTGTACATATTATCGTTGAATCATTGTCCGTTTGAAATTGTGCTTGGATAGTTGGAGTGTATCATCAACTACCTCCAGTGGATAACTGAAAACATCTTTAACTAACAGTATCAACCATCACACTTTTCCTTTATCCTCTTCCTCCTCCTCATCATTTTTTTGCCTAAAAATGTATGCTAAAATTAACAACATCAAAATCATCTTTTTAGTGGGATGTTCCATAGGAGTTTTTATTGGTCTCTGGAAGACCCTTTTAGCCCTGTTGACAATTTATATTGTCAGCGGTGGTTGGACTTTTCTTAGAATTATTGTACGTACAGCTTCTCGTGATTTGAAAAGCCTTTACCGTTTAGTCAAAACCAAAGTTTCGTTGTACCTAATGAAGAAACGCAATGCCACCATACCTCAGCTATTTCTTCAAACTGTCAAAAAACATCCTAACCGAGCTGCAATCCTTTTTGAAGATCAAGTGTGGACCTTTAAAGATCTTGATGATTATTCAAATAAGGTAGCAAATGCTTTTCTCGGCCTAGGTTATCAACCTGGCCAAGAGGTTGCCCTTTTCATGGATTCACGTCCAGAATTTATAGCCCTTTGGTTGGGTCTTTCAAAAGCTGGAATAATTACAGCTCTCATTAATGCCAATCTTCGTTTGGCCACATTAGTCCATTCAATAACTGTTGTTAAATGTAGAGCTGTCATTTTTTCAAGTGAACTTTCTAAAGGTAAGAAATTTATCTTATAAAAATGTATTTAAAGATGAGAATCTTTGATTTAATTTTCACAATTGTCATGTTAAACAGTTTGAAAAATCACTATCTCTACTTTGCATACAATTGGTATAACTGTTGTCTCTTTTTCTCACCAACTCTTGTTTTGTTTTTGTTTATCCGGTTCACTTGACTTAACGTTAATGTGAATTTTTAGCGCTCATAACCTTCTCCTTGCTCCGCTAGGCGCTATTGATAAATTTAAATTGAAAATGCGTGTTGGTGAAAAAAATTCATTTCTTAAATTAATTTCTTCTTTTTTACTATTGTTTCTTTTTTTACAGCAATCGAAGAAATAGCTCCAACCTTGGATAAGAAACAAGAAGGAATGCAATATTTATGCCTAGGAAAATGCGACTCCAATATCATTTCAGCTAAACCACTGCATAATTTGATTGATGAAAGTTCGTCCTCACTTCCATCGACCGTGTGGAAAGGCAACGTTAATGGTAATTTGACTTTAATTTTCTCTACAACATTTTACTGATAAATATTGCAAGAGATGGAAGAAACTTGATTGGTAAATAGTTAGGTAAAGAAGGTTGGGAATTGAACAAGTATTAATAACTAGAAAGGGGTTTAACACATTGAGTAACATCAACGATAATTATGTTGATATGTTGGATAAGATTTAGTAGTTATACTGAACATGAGTTGTTAAAAGTTAATCAGTAACAAACAAAATAATGAAACAATCTAGAAACATTAGATATCTATGTATATTTTCATGAGGTGATATCCATGCATCATAATAGAGTAGTTAGTAATGCTATATTTTATCGATTAGTTACATTCAAATTGTAGGAAAAAAAGGAGGGAGGAGAGGTAGAAAAAAATGACATTAGAAGTACTAATATCACGAAAAAAATGTTTTCTTAATTTAAATTCATTGCTTTAAATTAATATTTAATCCAAAATTTTCTCATTTCATGTTTTCTTTCATTGTCTTGTGAACACTTGCACTATCAATCACTACAATGTCATTTGATTCATTGCAACTTTGTCATATTTTAAGAGTGGTACTTTGATTTACTAAGCACGCAAACAATTTTCATTTATATTTTATTCTCTTTTTTCCCTCTATCCATGTCTAGATCGTTTGTTTTATATTTACACATCGGGTACTACAGGACTACCCAAAGCTGCTATCATCAAACATAATCGTTACTATTGGATGGGTGCTGCTCTCCGAAATTTGATTGGATTCCGTCCAAATGAAGTTATCTACAATTGTCTTCCTCTTTATCATTTAGCTGGCGGTTCATTAGGAACGTGTCAATGTTTAATTTTTGGTGATACCATTGCCCTTCGAGCAAAATTTTCCGCTTCAAAGTTTTGGACTGATTGTATCAAATATAACTGCACGGTAAGTTAAACCAGAACCTTGAAGAGGAAACCTGATAGAACCATAAAAGGAGAGAGAAAGCGAGAGAAAGCGATGTTAAGGGGTAAAAGTAGGAGTTGAAAAGGAGACGAATGAAAAATATTTCCTTGTTTAACAGGTTAATTTCATAAGTTAACGAACTATGTAAATTATTATAATTTATTAATGCTCCTTATGCTTCTTAATTTGTCAAGTCAAGTACTAACCAATCTTTTAACTCTTTGCTCTCTTTTTTCCAGGCTGCCCAATATATTGGTGAAATATGTCGATATCTATTAGCTCAAAACCCTAAACCAACTGATACTCAGCATAAAGTTACTTTAATGTTTGGCAATGGTTTAAGGCCTAAAATTTGGTCCCAATTTGCCAATCGATTCAACATTACTCGAATCGGTGAATTTTATGGTTCAACTGAGGGCAATGCCAATGTCAGTAAGTACCGTCATCATTATTTCAAGCATTAATTTTCAATGTTTACATGGTTTAATTGACGTAACATTTAATTTTAAATTTTTAGGAATAACACTTTACAATTGTTAAGTGGTTAGCTTGTTTGACCACTAAATTTTCTTAATTTCATGAAAAATCAAACTCACTTAAACCTGGTTCATGGGATGTTCCCTCTAATCGAGAACTTTAAATTCATGAAAAATGAACAATAAGACCATTCAAATGACCACTCAAGTCAAGTTTACAATAGACACTTAAAAATTAGCCTCAATCGATTGAGAGAGGAAAAGTGATTCAAAAAAAATAAATAAATTGAAATGAATGACTAAAACTGAAAATAAACTAAACACTTGGCCTTCTTTGATGAAGGCAGAGGAGTGCTTGAAAGAGAGACGAGAAAAAAAGAAAAGCGCTGAAGAAAAAAGTAAATTATCATGATAATGACGAAAATCATTGAAAATCTCTTTCAGAATTGATAAGTCAACCGTTAAATGTAAATGTTAAAAGTGAAGGTGTTTTTTGCAGACCTTTTTCCCTCTCACCTTTTCATTAACATTATAAATGTTGCTGAAATATTACGAGTTTTTGTTATCATTTCTCATCATTCATTATAAAAGTTCTTCCAACTCGATGAATCAACCTTTCCTCAGGCTCTTTAACTTTCTCTTTCATTCTCTCTTATTCCGTTTTTCAAGATCATCTCGGTCAACTAATGCCAATCCAAGCCTTAAGGCAATCACTTTTAGTTTGCATCTAATGTAACATTTGAAAGTTTCATGAACATTTTTTTGATTAACTTTGAAATTTAGGTGGATGAACAAAAACGTAAATGTAAATAAAGGTTCATTTTAGTTCACAATTAGGTTTCGACCGAGCAAACTTAGCACAAGCAACCTTTATACTTTCCATGAACTTACTCGGAAAGTTGTTTCATTAAATCTTTTGGACCTTTTCATTTCTGCTGTAAAACAAAAACCTCAAAACCAGTAAACATTTTCACATTTAACTTTTAGTCTTTGCCATCACAATTTAGGTCAATAACAGGGCTAACTTGAAGGTTAAGTGTAATGTAATAAATAAATCTGAAATTGGGAAAATTACTTGAGCAAAAATGAATTTTGTTTCGCCACTTAACTGTTAGCTAATTTTGTCAGTTTATTGAAATATTAATTGACAGGTTACCATCATCTCGTTGTTAAACTACTCTAGAAGGAAAAGTTCACCTTAAATTGAATCAACAAATAGTCATCAACATTCAATATTAATTTTGTTTTTCTCTTGAAACCGGTTGACCATTAAAGGTGTTCAATTATCTTCATTGTCATCACGATGTTGACTTTTCATGAAATTATTTGTAATTCAACAAATTTTAGTAAATTGTTTCAATATTTATATTTTTCTTCGTCTTCAATGCTACTCTAACACTGTAAAAACTTTGGCCTTGTCTTTCCAATATATTTCTAGTTTTAATTTAGTTACCAATTTTGTTTATCAATTCATTCAATCAAAATTTAATTATCTTGATTATTTTAATTGCCACTCTGCATGTTTTTGTACTGTCCAGTCATTTTTTGAAGGAAAGCTCATTAGGATGACATTGAAATTGTTTTTCTCTATTGATTGATTCATGAAAATTCTCAATGAATGTATGACTAATTTTTCTTTTCTTATTTGCTTCTTTTTTTTCTTAAAGTTAATGTTGACAATCAAGAAGGCTCATGTGGCTTTATTTCACGCATATTACCCAGTGTCTATCCAGTGGCATTGATTAAAATTGATGAAAACACTAATGAACCTGTTCGAGATGCAAATGGAATGTGTGTTCTCTGTCAAGGTGGTGAATGCGGTGAATTTGTTGGTAAAATCATTGAATCGGATCCCTCACGAGCATTTGACGGCTATGTTGACTCTGAAGCATCTAAAAAGAAAATTGTTCGAGACGTTTTTCGTAAAGGTGATTCAGCCTTTCTTTCAGGCGACCTTCTTTACATGGATACCTACGGTTATCTGTATTTTAAAGATCGTACCGGTGATACTTTCCGTTGGAAAGGTGAAAATGTTTCAACCAGTGAGGTAGAAGCAGTTATTAGTAATATTTTGGAATTGGTTGACTGTGTTGTTTTTGGTGTTGATATTCCTGGTTGTGAAGGTAAAGCTGGAATGGTAGCCATTTTGGAGACTGAGAAAGGCCTTGATTTAGATAATTTCTTACACAAAATGCACAAAGTGTTGCCCTCTTTTTCAATACCGGTGATAGTTCGTATTGTTTCACAAATGGAAACTACAGGAACATTTAAATTGACCAAGACCAAATTTTGCAGTGAAGGATATAATCCACAAGTTGTTAAAGATCCGTTGTATGTTTTGGATTTCTCGAAAGACAAATATATAAGGATTGATGAAAATGTTTATAATGATATATTAACATCAAAATTAAGAATTTGAGAGAACTTTTATTTTCTTCAAGAAAATCGCAACAAACGGCAAAGCACGATATATTCAAAAGTTATCATAATCAAAAAGAGGAACACGAGATCAGGATAAAATTTACCAAGTTAGGAAAATGTACAAGCAACGAACAAGCCAAAAAGAAAATACTTTCCAAACCAAAGGCTTCATGTGGGATAAACAGATGAAAATGCTTCTTCATTTATTACTTTTTTCTTCTCCTTCTTGTTGTCAAAAGTCATCTCCATTTCATCAAGAATAAGGACTTTGAAAATTATAAGATTGTTATAAGATGATTAATTTTCACGACCTCAAGTGTTTTCTACAATATTACCGAGCTATGCTTCCCATCATCATCCATTATTTCTATATTTAATATCATCAGTCATCTTCGCTGTTTTCTGAATTCTACTTTTTTTTAACAAAAATCATCTTACGGCAAACTGACATGTCCATAAGTCTTTGCTCGCTCGTCTTTTTCGCTGTCTGTGATAGAGTAATCAACTATTTTACCAATTTGATGATTTAAAGCAACCAAAAGGAAGAAAAAGTCCAAGCAAAAATTGTTTTCACCACTTGGACCCCAAAAGAAATCTGGAGATGGATTTAAAGCAACTTAGAGAGAAACATTTATGGAAAAGAATGTGTATTTTGTTACAATCAATCAAAAATGGGCACAAATGGATATCACCTAGTTTATCCTTTGATTGACTAGTGATATTTGTGAGTGTAGATAACTGCGTGGTCCATGTTCCTGGAAGTAAAAAAAAGATATGAATATATATATTCAAAATATATATATTTATGAATTATAAATAGTATAAATAATAGATGTCAGATTTTTAAAGAAAGATTTTCAGCTCATATTGGATACATTAAGTGGACTAATGAATTGTGAATAGAGAAAATCTAGTGTTTTTTTTCATTGTAAAATCCATTTCAAACTACAATTGAAACTAATGCCAGAGTTTTTATTATAAGATTGACAACTTAACATGTTTTTATTACCAATAATTGAGTAAGAATCTCACCAATGAAGATTTAAAATGAACTTAAAAAAATAGTCTTCATTTCTTACTTAATTAGATTTTTAACTTCACAAAATAGTTTCAGTTTTTATTTGAAATGGATTCAAATTTATCCTTTGTCTTATTTTAATCACAGATTTTATCTATCTTAATTTATTTGATTCTTGTCAAATTGTTAATATATATGTCGATATGGAGTTTAATTTGATTTGAAATGGTGAGAAATGCACTGTAAAAAGTAATAAGGAAAAGTATATCATTCAGACAAAGCCTACAATGATTGTGATGCCGATGATGGTGATGATGTTCAAATTGAGGAAACAAAAAATAGATACAAACAAGGTTTATTACTAAATGGTTGTTAAATATTTCATCCAGTGCCGTCATTGTAATCATTTGATCATCACTTTCGTCATCCAATATCCCAATATTGTAAATGCTTTTCATTGTTATTATTATTTCATCTTTACTTCATAAAACTTACCAAGCGAAATATTGTTCAACCTATCTTCAGAACTTTTGTTTATTTATAATGCAATTGTAATTCCAGTTTCAGGTTTATTGTCATTTATATTGTACTATTATTATCATCATTATCATTATTATTACAATTATTTCAATCTGAATGAAACAAAAACTAAACATTTATACAATGTCTTACTTTTTTTGACGGGCTAATAACTTACTAAATTACCAAAAAGCTTTACCATTTTTATGGTTAGTTGCAAATGTAATCCTGATTTATTAACAATTTTCTCATCAACTGACATCAAAAAATGTATAGTTTCTGTAATCAAGTTTATTGTTTGATTATTAAGGGAAAGGCGAGTTTAATTGTGTTTGGTTTTAACACTCAAAGTACAAAAAGGCACAGACTTTGAATGTTGATCGTTATTGGATATCAAACAATTCATCATGACTGTCAGTTTGACTCAGTTATTCAATTGAATGATTATTCCATCATTATTTGATCATGGAAATGAAATCTCAATTTGATCATCTCTTTCAATCAAACCTGTGGAATTCAAAATTCAATCAATTGGATTATCACAGGATCAAGTAATAGTCAAGGTGATTATTGTTTTATCTTATGCTTCTAAAGCAAGGTCTGACTACAATAGAGGTTAATGTGGCACCTAAATCTCATTTTAGCAACGTTTTTGCTGTGATAGACTTTTACCTTTTCACTTGTTTCAAAATTTATGGCGATTAAATGCTTGGTAATATCAATGCGTCATTATATTTGATTAACCCATCAATCTATTTACGCAAATTTTTATTCAATATTGAGCAATTATATCCAATTTTAATCAGAGCAAGTACACATTGAAATAATCACCATTTATTAAAATCACAATACTTTGACTGGAGGTATCAATGAATGGAAAATCAAATTGATAAATTCCAGATTACTTGAAGCCAATTTTGAGTTTTGTTGAAGTCGAAATTTCAATAAACACAATAAACATTATTACAACCTCAATTAAAAAACAATCCAGTGGTTTCTCGATGATTAAAGATGATAAAACTTCCAATCAATTCCTTAATGTAACAGTGATTGGCTTCATTTTCACGTTATAGAGATGTACATTTCAAGGTAAGAAATCGCTAGTTTTGATTGATAAGCTTTCGTGTATAAATTGCCTTCAGGAATAATCAGTCTTATTTATTGCTTTTAAACAAATTCTCGAATAATTAATGGTTTAAATATCTATAAGCACAATTGAACGAAAATAATGATTTTGAAAAAAGCACTTTTATTTTCCAGATATTAATGTTATCGATACTGGATTCGATACTTCCCTATCTGCTACTTTGAGTCTATGAAAAATCTTTGCTTGTTTTTAAGGTCAATTGTCTATCCAGTTAGATTTTGTTTAATAATATTACTTTAATCTCTATTGTGTTGCCCATTTTGGATCATCATGCGTCTTTTCCGAACCCTTCTTTACAAAGGTATGTGTTTATTGATTTATTAAGACTACAGAATGATGAAATGTAATCATTTTCTTTCTTTGCTTATGCAGTTACCGCTGAAGATACATCCAAGGCAACCCTTGGTAGGCTTATGTTCAAATTGAATGAATATTGCAAGTTTGGCTTGTATCATGATGATGTCTATCCTGATGAGGAACACGAAGCGGTGACCCGAGAGGCTGTAAGGCGACTACCATCAGAAATTTATCATGCACGAAACTTTCGACACATCCAAGCTATGCAGCTTGATATTCAAAAGGAATACCTTCCAGAAAATCAATGGACTAGCTATGAAGATGATTTGAAAAATGGAAGATACCTTCAACCTTATATAAAAGAAGTGACTGCTGAACTCAAGGAGCGAGAGGATTGGGAAAAGAATCACATGAAATAAATCATCGTTGGTTAAAGAAAGTCAAAATCATATAAAATTTACTAGTTCAACAGCCTGTGAATTTTTTTTCTTGTAAAGGTTATAATACAATGTAAGGCTTAGTTATGCTATTCTGTTAGAAATAAATCACAATTTGAGTTATTGATGTAATTAAATTAAATTAATAATGTCTTGCTCTATTTTATAAGCACTGAATCTACTAAGTTATAACCAATTTTACTAAATGAGACTCGTCCAAGGCAAAGTTAAGTTAGCTGGTTACAATCTTGTACAGACGCAACTTTGTTTCTCTAATTATCAAGATTCTTTTACTGAACCTTTGTAATCCTGAAATTATGCTTGAAAATCCAGTTATGGTTCGAATTACGATTTTTATTAATATTTCCTTCTTCCCTTTAACTTCTGTGAATTAATAGAGACAATTTGACTCGTATTTGATAAGAAACATAGTTTGTAAACCAGTTGAATAAATGATTAGCGGCAATTGGAATATTTTTCTTCACATTTTCCTGAAATTTGGCCAAACTGTAGGGCTTCATGATAGGGTCCGATTAACAATTTGTTACCATCCTGCAACTGATGTAGCCTGTCAAAGAAATATCATGAGAGTAATAAAGCTAGAAATAAAACTAATCTGTAATGGTCAAGGAAAGGCGAGGTCGACTACAAATTACGAGGTTCTTTTAATTTTTACTGCAAACTGCTTTGAGTGCAAATGAGTCCATTTTGCTGGGATTTATAATCGATTGTGCCTTGCCTTTGTAATCATTTTTAGCTTCTTACCTTGTTAAATTTGTAATGATAGACTTGATCAGATCATTTTCAATCATTTGACTTCGAGAGATTTGACAGATCAATTTAGCAAGGCAATCTTTTTCCTCTAACCAAGAGCTACAGAGAAACAATAACGGTCAGCAGTTAATCGAAAAAATACCAATACATTTTAATAAAAATTAGAGCTCACTTTTTAAGCAGATGCAACACCATTTGATTCAATTCAGTTCTCCATTTATTACTGCGCTTAGTCCGTTGAAATGGAAACTTCAGTTGTTTATAGTTGTAACCAGATCGATCAATTGTATTGTTGGTCAATTCGGCTGACTCTTGGTAAACTGTATCTTCGTAGACGGGATCATCGTAATAAACTGGTAAATAAGCTGGATAAGCAAAATATGGTACTTTTGAAGTTAATCCATCTTCTTTGGAAACAATTTGAGGCTTGAATTTTGATTTAATCAGATTTAGAAGCTCAGATTGATTAGATTGCGTATCATCCTCAACTTCTTTTATTGTTATGGTGACAGGAACCAAGATTGTAGCAAAAACATTAGATTTGTCAAAGAAAGATGAAAGAGGAACGTTAAACTCAAAATTAAACGAAAATTTGGGCTCAAGTGAATAAGTAAGTTTATCAAGTTGATCATAATTAATTGAAAAAATGGACTTGACTGGTGACACAATAAGCGCATAAATAAGTAAAAATTTGTACATGAACATTATACTCGTTAAGTTGATTCACATTCAAGTAAATTTAAAGCAATAATTATTGATCTCAACTAAAAATCGGACATTGACTTAAACCTCGAAATCTGTCCATCATCGTCTTAATTATCTTTCTTTTTGATCATAGACAGATGATAAAGCTAAAATATAAAGGAGCCAATCTTTATTGGCTATCATGGCTATTATTAATCAGCAAATTGTGTAAATAGTCAGCAAGAAATTAATACATCATTTTCAAAGTCTTTATTGGCAAACAAAACAAATTAAGGTTTATGCATACAGAAATGTAATAATTATCTTGGTCCGTTATATGCAATGGTGGTAATGATTAGCAGATAAGCGTTGGTCATCATTACCAGATGAGTTACTCAGAGTTTTTAGCCAAACAGCCAGACATTCAGCATCTTCCCTGATTATTTCTTGAGGCCGAGGATAGCGGCAGAAGAGGAAGAAGATGACGAAGAGGAAGAGGAAGAGGAAGAAGAGGTGGTTTTAGGTGGCGATAAGTTAAGAGGTAACCCACCAGAAGTTATGAGTTTCATTGCTTTAGATGGATCATTCACCAATTGTCCAATGGCTCCACTTGTTGTTGATTTTATTTTGTTTAGTAGCGATTCAAATTGTTCAATCATTGATGAAATACCTGATTCAGCATTAGCAATATTTCCTAATTGTCCAAGTGTTAAACTGGTTGGACTGGAAGGGCTGGTTAGATCATCTAAAGACAATAAACTGTCAAAAAAACCTTTACCAGTACTGGTTGAAGAAGCTTCAGCCGTGGCCATGCTATTCGCGTTTGATGAACTGGATCTTTTGAATCTTAATTTTGGGTTAATACCATTTTGAAGATTAAAAGAGCAACATTGATGGATAAAAGCAAGAAAAATACAAAAGAATACAATTGATTTGATCATCTTTACCAATGGGTCACTTTACTTCTAATAAACTTGGTCAATATGTTGATTGTTGCAGGTTTGCTAGATAATTAACACGAGTGATTAAAAGTACTTTATAACGCTACTGTATTATAATAATTGATAAAGGATGGTTGCTTTCATCAGAATCATTGTGGTCAATTTACCTGAATCAAGCAACGCCTTTACCATGATTACAATTCACTTCGTTACATGGTTATTTTAAATTTAACACTAAATCACTCACTGATTGACAGGCTTGTAAATTCAAAAATTGTCCTGTCTAAAGGTAATTAGCTATCCATCGAAATTTGATCCTTCATTCAATCGGCCAGAGGTAATCTTACTAATCTGTAGCATTCAAATTAATTGATAGATTTCCATTAGATTCATATCACTAATTAGCTTTAAATTTGCGATCTATCTTGTGAAATTAGTTTATGAGACTACAATTTGATTAACCATAGAAAAACAAATTGTCTAATATTAATTACAATTTATAAAACCTGAGCAAATACATTTTTCTCATTCGAGGAAATAACCAAAATCAAGACTGGATTCGTTTTTTAAATGATTGATGTTTTTATTGGCTTTTTGTTTGAAATATTTGATTAGGTCACAAATAGAATAGAGTTTTTTTAACTTTATGAAGTTCCGTGAGTGTGTTCGAAACGAAAGAAGAATGTTACTTTAAATGAAGTAATGAGAGATGAGTTTCATGAAATATTGATGATAGTGATTGAATGGTGGATGATCAGGATGAAGATGTTATTATGTTGTATGAAAGTAAAAATGCATGACATTTTGTTTTTTTTTAATTTTTTCACTTGTGTTGATTGTTTTGTCGTTTTTTTCTCTTTCTTTTTTTCTCTCTGTGTCCTTGGATGTAGAGTTTGTGTGTTAGTGTGAGGATTTGATGTAAGTGTTGATCCATTTTGTGAATTTTGAAACATTTTTGAGTTTATAAGTAAAAGTGTTAACATCCTTTCCACCTTCTTGCTCATGCGATCATAAATTAATTACATTACAGTGTAATACACTTTAATTTAGGCTCTATCATATCGTCTCCTCGAAACTGGCCATTATTTCACTTTGTAAATTCATATCTATTTGACCCGCAAGCTAGAATGAAAATAAGAAAATGCATCAAGTTTAGAATGGAAAATGTTTTGATTGTAAATTGAAAAACAGAGAAAATAAAATAAAAGACTAACCAATTCTCTTTTTCTTCTTTCTTGTTCTTTTAACCTTTGACGTTCCCTCTCTTTAGCACTCTGGTTCGATGAAGGTGATGACGAGCCAGAGAAAGGTGAAATACTTCCCATTTGTAAAGGCTCAGGAGTACTGATGGGAGCTTCGATATGTTGAGACTGAGGAGTTGGAGGAGTTTTTTGTGGCAAACCAGGAGCAACTGGTATTTGAGATCGGCGAACCCGTTCAAGGGCTTCTTCCTCCTCTTTTTCTCGTTGTCTCTCTTTCTCTTGACGAGCTCGTTCACGATCAGCGGCCTCTTTTTGTCTTCTTCGTTGTTCCTGTTGTTCCATAATCTGTTTTTGGCGATCTTGCTTTTCTTTAGCTTGTTTTTTAAATTGCTGAAAACTATCTGCTAATTTAACAACGGAAGACGCATTTGAAGAAACTGATGATTGCGCTAATGTTGACCATTGGCTCAAATTTTTCAACTTAGGCTCATTGGATTGCTGCAAGTTGAAAAAAACAAACATAATCAAATAGATTAAAATAATCATTAATTTACATAATATTTGTTTAAGGGCAGAGGTAGAAGGGGAGGGAAACTCACCGGTAAGGACTTATTGGCAGCACTTGAGGAAGGTGTTGATGTTGGGGGAAGACCTTGTCGATTCAATTCTTTCCTATCATTAATTGTTGGAGAAGCATTTATTGATGGAGCTTCTAAAGATGAAGAGTTCACAAAAGGACCTGAAATACACAAAAAGTGCATTAGAATAATGTTCAATAGATTAAATAAAAAATAACGAAATATTCACTGATTTGTGCGTCTGATTAAATTTCCCCAGAAATTGCAGTTGAAATAATATCGATGAAGCATAAAAATAAAAAATTATTAAAAACAAAATAGAATAGAAAACAAAAATAAAATCTAATGGAGAGTAATGAGAAAGCCGATTGAAAATGAATTTATACAGAGTTAGATTTTTTATAGATCGCGTTAGTAAGAAAAAAAGATATTTGAACTTTAATAATTATATTAAATTAAGTCTGATATGAAGATTGCTGATTCGAACCAAACGAGATCAAGAAGGAATGAAGTTTTATGGAACATATAATACAATTCGACTAGATTTTTGCGTTTTCCATTCAATTAGATTGACAATAAAATAGTAATTGTTTTTTTTCTTGCATTTTGTACCTTTCTCGAGATGTGCGTAGATGGTTAAAAATGAAATACAATTTTTCAAAGGTAATATCAAAAAGTATACAAAACTAAACAATCGAATATGACTTTTTGAGCAAAAACCTAGATATTGATTATAACAGGTTAATGAAGTAAGACAACTTGCACATGTGAGTTGTTTGATTGTCGAAATTTGCATCAACTTAGATGATGATGGTGATTATTAAATTATTATATTTATGATGTTATGGATGAAGTTATAATCATAAAGATGAGTGAAGCTGTTTTGATATTTATGACAATAGTTGAACAAAAACAAATGAGATTACGCTAAGTGTATGATGAAGAAACTGGTGACATTGGAAAAGTTAAGTAGCACGAAAACAAAAACAAAGTGGAAGCTAATAGATGAATTGAAAGACGAAGCTATTTGGAAAATCCATCAGAATGAGTCATTTCTCATAGAGATTACAAAAAACAAAGTTATGCTTCATCGATGTCATTTCTTATTTACAAAATCTGTGGCGTATTTTTGAAGCACTCGCCGATATGATAAATTTTATCAAATCTTTTGTTTTTTTTATATTATCATGTATTGAGGATTAAGTTGGTTGAAGATGAGCAGTGAATATTCGTTGTAAAGATGGTTGAGAGTGAAGAGTCGAAGGCAATAAAGTTAACTCACTCTTTGCACCTGATTGTGGTACAGGCTGTGAATGAGTTACAATTGGTAGTGGTGGAGGTGGAGCAACTCCTTGTTGTATCGATTGCTGTGACTGGGACATCTTAGGTGTTGTTGACTGACCACCGTGGATTAAAAGTGATGGTTGACTGACAGGCGCTGTCATTTGGGGTTGGGGTTGTATTTGTTGCATTGATGGCGGTTGAGGCTGAAGTTGATGTGAAGTTGGTTGAGGCGTTGATGTTAAGGGTGGAGGAGTTTGCATTGGACTAGACAATGAAGGTGCTTGTGGTTGTCCAGTTGCTCCTGTCATTGGGAAAGACGATGTTGGAGGTAATTGACTTGAAGGTCTCTTAGCTACCGCTGAAGACGCCGTTGTAGAAGGCCTTGAAGGCATCTGTAAATTTCATTTATAATTGATTAGTTAAAATTGATATAAAAAAGAGCGCGATTTCATGTTCACAATGCTATCGAATCAGATCACGAATTATCTAAAATCTATCAAATTATCGTATGAAATTTTGACAGTTTAACCCTATCTAACATTAATCTTTTTAGAAAACACGAATAATATATTATAAAGCTGAGATATTTCTGATTCTAGAGACCCAATAGTAACATAAATATGACATTGTGAAAACATGATCATCCGAACGGAGGTTAACAAATTAAAATTAGCATTAATAAGCTAATTCGTTCGGGCGATTTATGAATTCAACAATATCATCCTACCTGAGGGAGGCTGGAGTGTGACGCTACAACAGGAGGTTTATTAGAAGTGGTGAAAGGTGCTACAGCACTTGGATGCTGTGGAGGGTTAGTTGCATTCAAACTTGAAAACGTTGACTGGGCAAGATCATGGACAGGATTAACGGAAGCTGACGGAGGTCCATAATTCATAGAAAGCCCAGTTGGTGTAAAACCAAAAAGATGAGATTGAGAAGGAACATTGGATGGATTGACTGAGTTGTTAGTATTATTGTTGAGGCCTGGTGATATTTTAGCCTGTTGTTGCGGCAGTCCCCCAGCATTAGGTGTTTGACCAAAATTGTTGTGACTCATAGTCATGGATGTTGTTGAGTTATAGAGTCCATCATAGGCTCCAGGCAGAGTACTTGTCGAACCGAGATTTGGAGCTAAAGGTCCCATTTTGGGGTCATTCATTAAACCAGATTTACCAGCAGCTACCATGGGTTTCTTCTTCGCGGGTGATTCTGAAGAGGAGCATGGAGTTTTAATTTAACAAAATTTGCATCCAAATTTGGCTATTTTTATGATATTTTTATGTATATATATATATTGACAAAGTCAAAATTATTTCAAAGACTAACATACAAACAGATAGTTGTTAAATAAGCTTTTTACTTCTTTTGCTTGGAAGAGAATACAGTTTCCAGTCTTTTTTAAAAGGTACAATTATGTATAAAAGTGTAAAAAAGCATTCCTATTCTTTACCATGCTAGAGAAGAGAGAGAGGCTTTGGGAAAAGTATTCTTCACTCACGTCTTGCACCCAAAATTGAAACTGTGCCTGAGTCAACATGTAATAACATTTAAACTACTTTGTCCATCGAATGAATTTAAATCGAGGGAAATTAAGGGTGACAGATAGAGAGTGAGAGATAGTGTGAGAAAAAAGAGAAAAGAGAATTATAGAGGCGAGAGAATATAAAGCTAACATATTGCTCAACAACCTCTACAGAGATCTTACTAAAAGGTGTTTATTATCGTCTAAATTGCTCAGATATTTCTTCTTTCGGCTAGACGATCAAAGATGATAAATGAAAATTTACAATGAAACTAAATGATATTTATATGCATGACAGTATGATTTGACAGGGATGAAGGATGAAAAGGAAAAGTGAATATGATTAGAGGTAAAGAAATGGATAAGATCATACGGAAAATAGGGATTGCATGATCCTAGTAAGCAGAAAGAGAGAGAGAGAGATGAAGTTGTATTGAGTAAAATGGTGCCTGATAACAAAAAAAATTGCTAATTCTCTTAAACATTCTGATTCTCATTCTGTTTCATTCTCAAATTATTAGAGATCATTTGAATATTATGTTTCAACATTGTTTTGTGCTCTTTGTGAACTCTCTTTACTCTCTTCAGTCGTCAAATTATAACTGAGGAAATTAAAGGAATTGAACTGCATAAAAATAAGGTATTGGCTCCTTTCCTCATAACAGTGAGCTCGCAATAAGATTCGCTCCTCACTAGAATATTAATGGTATTTTTTCAAAGATGATAACATGGCATCAGTTCGTTGGAAGAGAAGGAGATACACTGTACTCTTTCTTTTGGAGATTTGCTACTGATATTGATCAGCACACTGATAAAAAAAATGGAGAAAGATGAAAAGAGAAAGCATTTAGCTCAAACTACAGGCAGAAACAAAATCGAGAAGTATGGTAATGTAAAAAGGAAGGATTAAGGAATCTGAGGGCAAGAGAGGTAAAGGGCCAATAATAACTAACAAGAAAAAGTGGGCAAAGAGGATGACAGAATAAAAAGAGACTGATATATTGGGAAGCATCAAAATGCTGAACAAAGATGCAACTCAATTCTCGTCTTTTCTTTTTAAATAGTGAGTTTAATATTTGTGATTCTCGCAGTAAAAAGATTTAAGAGATGAACTTGCGATGCCAGGGAGAAGAGTAGATGACCAATGATGACATAGAGTGATAGAGGATTGATGGTAACTGAATTGATTCACAATAGATGGTAGAGTGGTGGTGTGGTGGTGGTTGGTTGTTTTTATTTGTTTTTCAATGTTTCTAACCTGATTCAGAATCACTGCTATCAGATGAGCTACTTGTACTGGAACTGGAGCTGGAATCGCTATCACTTGAACTTGAGCTGCTTGCGCTTAACCGTGAGCCTGCTACGATGTCCACGTGAGAATTCTCTGAATCTGTAAAAGCGTAAGGATCTGTAAATAATAAGCGGAAGGTCAAGTTTTGGTCATTCATGGTTAATGGTTGAGTTCAAATGATCAACATTCCATTAGTTAAAGACCATATTATCCCTTTAAAAATGAGATAAGGGACCCAAACCCTTGGAAATTAAGGAAAAGAGACCTCACCTTTCTTCTGTTGTTTTTTAGGATTTGTTGGAACACCAAGTTGACCCGATAGATCTTGCATCTTTTTCTCTAATTCTTGTTTTCTTTCTCTCATTTGTTCTTCTTTTGTTTTCCCAGCTACTTTATTTTTAGTGGCTATTTGAGGTGACACAGAAAGAATGGAATTAAGCCCGGGAATAGTGAGACAGGCAAAAAAGGAAAAAATAATGGATTAGAAATATTGCAGTCATGTATGGGGTTAAATAGACAACTAAATATTCTTACTGTATCTTTTCCTAGGTTTTTTCGTTAAACAAGAAGCAACATAAGCTTCTAATTCACGAAGCGTTGAAGGCTTGAGAGTTTCAAAATCTATTTCAATTTCATCTGGATTTGAATCTCTTAAAGAAGGTTCTCTAGATTGAATAATATGAACAACGTTACCAAGTTTTTCACCTAAAAAGAAAATGCAAACAATAAGTTAGAAAAAGTAAACAAGTACGAAGAAAAAAAACTTACCTGGCAATTTATTAATATCAAGGCTAAGTTGTCTCTTTTCATCATAAGACATTGGTTTAGCATTATCTTCATCTTCACTATCGAATGCAGGTACAACTTTACTAGTCTTTTTACCGGCTTTACTATTGGTCCGTTGTCTTTTAGCTGGTTGTCCAGCTGATTTTTGGCTCGCTGGAGTTTTAGCAACCCCAGAAGAACCACTTTTGGCCTTAGTTTTACCCGCAGATGTAGATGGCACTGGATCATCTCTTATAAGTCCTGTAGCAGCACTAGAAGTTGAAGCTGGAGGACCAGAATTTAAACCAGGAGCTGGTGGAGCTAAACCACCACCAACTTCTTCCATCCTAAAATCTAATTTATCACTGTGTTTCTCTTTTTTAGATTTACTTTTAGATTTTTTCCTTTTCTTTTCTTTTTTACTAGATTTCATTAAGACTGGTGTTAATTGAGAAATCTGTTCAGTTATTCTTTTAAGTTCTTCTTGTAATTGTTTTAATTTTGCTGAGTTTTCGTTTTCAGAATCACTATCACTTCCCGAACTACTACCCGATGAACTTCCACTAGAACTTGAGCCGGTGCTATCACCACCGTCATTAGAGGATCTAATAGGTTCATCTGGCATTTTGGCGTATCTCATTTCAAAGACATCCTAAGGAGAGAATTAAAGAAAATAAATTAACGTATGAAAATATAATCAATAATTACAGTTGTGACAAAAGCATGAAACCGAAATTCAAGTAATATTTGAGACATCGGCGATTAAATTTGTCTGCTTAATCTACCTCACCTGTTTATTAGAAGTTTTGACACGGATAAGTCAACTTCTTGCCCAGACTGAGGTGAACAATAAAGTAAAAAGATAATCTATTTACCTGAAGTTTACGGGCCATTGCTACTATTTCATGATCAGGTGGATTATATTTATAACAGTTGGTAAATATCAATCTAACATCAGCAGCGAAATCATCTGGCTTTTTATACTCTCTTTTTTCCATTTTCGTCTGTAAGTAAATAAAATTTTATAAGTAACTTGTCAATTGTTTTAAGACCGAACTGCAATATAAATTATTAGACATTTTAATTACCTTGACTGTTCCCAAATCCATTGGGTGTTTAATAATATCATGGTAATCGGATAAACCTAAGGACTCAGCATCAACTGGTTTATAAAATGGCCAGGCATAGCCTGCATGTTTCTTTGCGAATAATTCTTTAAGAATAGAAGAGCAATATCTCATTTGTTCAGAAAGCTTGCCTTTCCTCGCTTTAGAAACGTGCTGTGCGGTATCTGGTAGATCTTTGGAAGGTTTTTTGATAGGTCTTCCACTCTCTCGTCTAGTAGACATCTTATTAGAGGGCTCATAATTGACTGGAGGGAAATTATTATCAAATGATGAGATACCAGTTGTTGTATCTGCTTTCCTTTTAACTCCTTTCGCAGCTTTCGCTCCTTTTGTCTTGGTTGGAACAGTTTGTACCGGTGTTAAAGGACTTAATGGATTTAATTGTACATAAGTGACTCCTGGTGCTGTAAGGACAATAAAGATTTGCATAAGATTGGGTCAACAAGATTGAAAGGATAGTCTTAAATCATACCTGATGATGGCCCCAATAAATTCGAAGTAGTTGGCGTTGAAGGCTTATTTAAATTATATGCACTAGGAGGTTTGGTGTGGGGTGTCTGATTAAATGAAGGACTTTGGTTCACTAGTGTTTGGGGGACATTTGGAGGTAACGAACCAGTGGCAGTCAATGGAGGTACAATATTCTGATTTGCTGGTGTCTGTGTAGCTGATGGAGATGGTAACATTGAAGGGACGGATGAGCCTGATGAAGAAATGGTAGATGCTCCTGGAGCAGAGGGTGAGCTAATTGGAGATAGCTTACTGTTCTGTGATGCAAGTGCATTCTCGGGTACTCCGTGGACTGAACCAATTCCAGAGTCAGTGAAAGCTAAAATAATAAAAAAGAGAAAGATAGATTAGGATTAATGACCAAAGTTGTTCAAACACAAATACTCTAATGAGGCAAAAGAGAAGTAACTCATTTGTTAAATAGGGAAGATCTTTGACTCAGAACTAAGAGTCCCGCCAATGTAATTTAGCTAACTTATGCTAAGAGCATGCTATGATATGTTTGAACAGTTGATGAGAATCGTGACAAATAAGCTATCATTCAAAGTTAAGGATATGATAAAATGTTTACAAATGAACTGATGGTCTGTAAAGTGATGCCTAGAATATACTTACATGAAGGAGTTAATGGTGCAATAGATGATGGCGTTGTTCCTCCAACTATAGATGCATTAGATGTGCTGATAGAAGCACCTAAAGAAATAAAAGAATGAGTCAGAATTGCGATCATAACGAAGTGTGTTGAAGAAGCGGTAATTATTCATCAACCGGTATAAATTTCAAACCGGTTCATTTGTAAGCATTTAGCATGTTCATTGGCTAAAGGTTGAACATGTGGAAATTGAAGGTTAAATGAGTAATTACAAGGTTGGAGAGTACTTTTGAGGGTGGAGGAAAAGGAAATTGCGTAAAATACAATGTAGTTAGCAAATAATGATGAAGTAATTTATCAACAGAACATGTTGGCCACACAGTTATCTTTGCAAAATGTAATAAGACTCACCCCTACCCCTGATAGGACCTCCTCGGCGACCTTTTTTACCTCGACCACCCTTTGATGCTGGCATAGTGATTTCGACCTCCTCTTGTGGCATGTCCCTTAACTGAGCGTTAAACGTTTTCTCTAATGTTTGAGCCATGTAAACCACATCTTCACCCGGTTTGTTGTAAGTATAACAATTTTGAAATAACGTATGGAAATCATGGATACACTCTTTCGCTGAATAATACCAAAAATTATCTAGCCTTTTCTTAATTGTACCTAAATCCATTGGATGTTTTATTATAGTATGATAATCTGGTAACTTGAGTTTAATAGCGTCTACTGGAGTCCTGAAGGGCCAAGCAAACGGATGCTTGTTAACTGCTTTTAGTATTTTTTGGTTGATAAATTGGAGCTGATTGGTATTTCGGTGGGGTTTACCGGGTGGAGGTATAAATGGAGGTTGCACAATTCCATTAACAGGTTCATATCTAGGCTCTTCTTCCATTTCGTCAATCATAGAATCAAACGCCCTTTTGTCTTCTTCTGACAATATTCTGTCTAAATTTGATTGAGTCTGAAGCGGCTGATTATTATTTAACTGGGCAGCTGGACCGTCTTGAGAGGTACCTTCATCTTGATTTTGTTCTTTATCTTTTACACCACCACCAGCCGGCTCCGGTTCGGACCTAATTGATTGTAACAATACATTAGACCCCATTCATCAATTTATCCACAGAGGGCACGAATGAAAAGCAATAATTTTGGAAACACAACACTATTAGAGTGAAAGCGAATGTGTGCGTGAATTTGTATACAAAATTAATATATACATTAAAAACAGGGGGAAAGCCTAAGAAGTACACACACATTTATATATACCAAACGAATTAGTGAGAGAAGGAGAAAAAGGAGAAATAGAAAGTAAGAAAGGCAAAGAGAGAGAGAGAGAGATGGAGAGAGAGAAAAAAAGATGGGGGAGAAAGAGAATGTGAGAGAGAGGTTGAAATGATGAACAGACATAGAAAAAAATTCACCAAAGAGGCAAATAGATAAAGGTAAAGGTTGCCTAAATGATGATGGTGCTGTGGTTAACAGACTTACTCACATTTTATGTGTCCCACGGTTGTTGAATAACCCACACACTCACACAGAGGTGAAGAAAGAAAGAGGAAAAGAGAGGTAAGAGAAAGGGAAATGGTGATTCAGAGAAAGAGAGGAAAGGAAAGAAGGAAGAGGGAAAGGAAAGAAAGATAGGAACACAGAGGAAGGTAGAGCAACTATACAACAATTTTGATGGTGTTGACTTTTTTTATGCTCCTTAATTGTCACCACTAAAATACCCCCCAATTATTATGATATCACAGGGGTCCTTGATTGTTACACTTTCACTGGACACCAAATATGCCAATAAATATTAACACAATTGATGAGCAATTATTAATTACAATTAGAGATGAAAATCAACACAACTCCGGAAAGGAAGAAAAGAAGGGACAAAGAAATAAAACCGCCATCTTCTGGTCGGTTAAGACTTCTCGGCTATACTCCGCGCAGTGATTGGCTGGAAAAAATGAAACGCATGTCAATTGCGTTAAAATTACAAATTATCTCCAATTTTTTTCATTCAAAAAAAAATTTACTTAAATTGTAATCACTTTTTTCACTTTTTATTTTACAATTAATAAACAAAATTTCATCAAAAATATTAACTTTAAACATTGTTCAGTGAAAAACGTTTATTTAAATAAATTAAAATCAACTATTTACCTTCAAATATACAATCAAACGTTGCTCACTTTCTGTACAAGAATCTTGTTAGCACACCTTAAATAGCGAGATAATTGTTACATCTTGTTCAATGGCGGCATATTTTGAATCTCAACTTTCCAACGTTTTTTCCTTCTTCTGTTTTTATATGAAATTTTCCCTCGAAATTGCGTCTTCTCCCAATTTCATCAATCTTTTTTTCTCTAATTATCCTTTTATCACATTTCCTTATTCTACTTTTCGTCTCATGGGAAACAGATAAGCTATAATTAAATGTGTCCACTGTTTAATCTAATCTAAGTTAATCGCTTAAATTAACACCAAGATTAGTTTGTTTGCAAGATGCTAGATGGCAGATTTTGTCGCACTAAATCCCTTCTGGTAAATGAAAAAAGCGCAATTTTCATTTGGCTAAGCGAATGCGCTAAAGTAAAATTTGTCAAGTGCAAGTTAACCTTAAAATTATCCAATTGTTTTTGATTAACAGTCTAGTTACATTTATAGTGATTTTAAATTGTTGCAAAATATTTTTTACTTTTCTAATCAGCTAATCAAAGTGTGGCTTTTTTTAATCTCAATGTGAAGCTTTTCTCAACAGCAAATTATTTCTAATCATCAGTACATTAACTGTTTTGGCTCTGTTAAATATTGTTGCTTCAATGTGTTATTTGTTGTTTAAATTAACGGTTATCTTGTTGTGATACATTATCAAATCAAAAGTAAGCATTATAAAGTAAGATGTTACTCAAATTGAAAATGTCAAAATGTTTTTGCTTGCAAAATTGCCAAATCTTGACATTTTTACATTGAAATCAATGATAGACGTCAAAAGAAAAATGTTTCAAAGGTTAAATAAAAGGCTTTTTATTGTAACCAAATGAAACAGTGTTGATATAATTATCCGGATAGATGAACACTTATAGCAACAATTATAATTGTTTACTCTTGTGTCAATATTTTCTAAGCACTGATTCAAGATTCATAATTTTATGCTTTCCGTGCATTTAACTGTCAATCAACATTTGAACAGTTATTCAATTGTCATAACAAATACCCAAAAAACATTTACAAAAAAATAAGATGTCAAAGGAAATTGAAAATCAGAGTCGATGAAATGAAAGAATAAAATTAATCTGATGAATCTGTATCAGAATCAAGATAATTGTTCAATATGTAGGTGGAAATGAAAAACGGTAACAATAATTTTTCATAATAAAATGATGCCTTTTTTGTGCCTTACAGGATTAAATGTAATACAAATGAGGGTAAACTTTGCTTATGATTTTTACCCTTAAACAGATTATGGTTGACAAAAGGGAAAGAAAAAGAAACTCTAAGTCAAAAGTAATTGAGAAACGGAATGAAAATGGATCAGAGTTTGGTTATTAAATTGACACTTCTATTATAACATTAACATTAGGCTCATTATTATTATGATGAGGATCTTTATTTCATCCATAATTTGACTTTTTTGTCCTTCCATCGCCCTATGATGATCAACACTTGAAGAGGATAAAAGCATTAAACCAAGTAAACGTGAAAGAGGCCAATCAATCGACAAGTTGACTTTACTCTCTAACTTCAATGTCCTTAGATTTTTGGCTTATGTATACATTAATCATAACTACATCCAGGTTTGATGGTCAATGCGATTGATTGTTCTCTTGAATCAGGTGAAAACAAGAGCCAAGATTAGGACGAGTTCAAATGTTCAGCTGACAATCAGAAAGGCTTTTTGGTAGGAGAATCAATCATATATAAAATGGGAATGTTGAGATTTTGACTTCGATTCATGTCTCCAGTTGTATTTAATGCTCGAGACTTTGCTTTGGGTGAATTATTTTTGGAATTGATCGCCAATTAAAAGTAAATTATATTCCTCTTCGAACTTTTTGGTAACAATTAAGTCTAGATTAAGGAAGAGAAATATTAAAAATATTAGAATCGAATCGATAAAAAAAGGGTAAATCGGTAAACAGCCTTTTATAATGTATATGCAAGGTGAATTAGATTTGGTTGTCATTGAATATAACTTAATTTAGTTACAGAGGAGATAAATTGTTGCTGTATATTAGAGCTGAAAAAGGCAGCGATAGGATAAAAAGAAGTGAAAAAAAATGAAAATGATCTCAATCCGATTAACTTTATTTGAATTATAATCCTCCGTTAGGTTAAAGGCTCATTTGTTAAATCATCTATTGAGTGATTAGCTGATTTTATGTCTCACTTTTTACACGGTCAAACCTTGAATTAATATGTTTCTTCACTGATTTAGTTAATATTGAATTTAATGGCAATTTGTCTCCTTTTTTATGGATGGGATTCCCTTTTAACGCTTTTTTAATACTTACAATTGTTCCTTATTTTCTTGTGTTGTTGCCAGCTTCAAAAAATTTTCCTTTTTCATGGCAATTAATTAGTTGAAAATTTATACTTTATCCAAGATAATTAATCTGGACCATGTATTAATCAAAGTATGGGTCATACTAATTACGATTGTAACAAATTTTTCCACTGAATGGTCCATCCAAGTTACGGACATTAACAGGCAACTGTATGCTTTTGAGTAAATATGTATCCTAATTTGATTGATGAAATAAAAGAAAGGTAGGAAACAATTACCAAATAAATATTGATTTATCAACATTAACTCACATTGTCCAGTATAATATTTGTGATAAACATTTATAATAAAAATGATTTAGTAAGTTGGAAATTATAATATCAAAAAAGCAAACATCACAAAGAAGCATTGAGAAAAAAAGCAACAAGAAGTAATCACCACATTATAATGTTGATCAACTCTAATGTTGTTTACAAATTGTAAGAAATCCTCTTTTCTTGATTTATAGATTGATACAAACAGCTAATAACAATCAACTAATTGGTAATAATGTTAAACAATGTAAACACAAACAAAATAAATTGAACATTATTCAAAATCAATGGCAAAAAAAATCAAACACAAATCGAGCAGACGAAGAAGTAATAAGTGGGAAAAAACGAATGATTCATTTTCATTTTTAGTCCGCGATTTTTAAATTGATTTTAACTTTCAATTTTTATCATAATTTATCAATATAAATGCAATTTAAACACAATCATATGCTAATATTGTTATTATAAGCAAATAAATAAGATAATAATTAAGGATGGAACCGTGATTGTTATTAAAAGCAATAACAACAATCCAGTGAACATCAAGTTAATATAAAGATTACATCCACACGCGTTTTCCGCCGCGTGTTAAGACACACTTCTCGATGTGGTTAAATCTAATGTACTACTAAGGTCAAGTAGTATTAATAATATTTTGATTAAATTGTATCGCAATTGGTAGTTAATTCATGAAATTATAACGCTTTCAATGAGTGACAATTTTTTGCTTTCCATCTTCAGAATCATCTTGATTACTGAATAACTCACAATGTTATTTAATCAAATTTTGCTTTTTTATTTATCATTTTTGATATTATCTTTTCGAATGATAATACTATAGGTAAGAATCATAACTCCCAGTAGGTATAGGCTCAGAATCTTAATATCATCATTGATATATACATTTCTTTATAGAGTAACTTTAGTCACTTTGCTGAATATTTTGCTGTTATTTTGAAGATTTTGTTTCTAGTACCAACCTTCAGATTATTCAGAACAATTGCAATTAATTAGTTTATCATTAATAAGGCTAAGCATAATTGTTAGATCGTTATATTAATTGTTTAGCTAATCATTGTGTGTGACAATCACTTGGTTGAACAAATTTTGAAAAAAGCGGATGTTTTAAGAATGAAATGATTGGACGATTCATTTGGCTTTATTTATCTCTAGATAATTTTGTTTGTTTAATCACAATACAAATTGAAGTTTATTATTATTCAGATTTAAGTTTCGATTTTTAGCTTTGATTAGCTTTAAAAATATAATTAAATTTAATCATTACTTTGGTGTCTATTTACTGTGAATTTAAGTTAACTTTGATATTTGGTTAAACAAAAGATTGATCTGGAAAAATATCTTTTTGGTAAGATGTAATATCTCCTTTTATGTTTGTTATTATTTGTTAATTTTAGTGACTTTAATGTATTTACATTTGTAATTTTGTAGATTGTACATTAAGTATGGATATGATTGGATTCCCAAATTGGCGATGATGAAGTCGAAGAGGAGGATGAAGTGGATGATGAAGATGATGTATCAATTATTTGGTGGTTTTGGAATGATCCGGTTGAAGGATGAAGTGGGATTCTTGGTGAACAATCTTTAGCTGATGTACCTTTTAAAATTTCAGTCATAAAAGTGATGTACATAACGGCTAACCTGAGAGTTTCTATTCGTGATAATCGTTTCTCATAAGCAAAAGTTGGAACCTTTTTCCTTAATCTATCAAAAGCCGTATTCAAATGAAACATTCGTCTTCTTTCACGGATATTTGCTGCTCGTCTTTGAGCCATTGTGGCAACCCTACGACGGGGTTTAGACGGTTTATGACTAGTGTTACTATTAGTATTTGCGCTGATTATTGTGTTATTGGAGCTGGAGCTGTTTGAGTTAACTGTAACCGGTAAAGCGCATTGTGGCGGACACTCATTGGTACAATTAACAGCATTCACTGGACACAAATTATTTGTTATTGTTGATGATGAAGACGTCGAGGGTGATAATGAAGAATCAGGTTGACTAGATATTTGAATAAAGTTACCTGTTAATGAAGTTGACGCTGATGGTGATGGGACTAGACAAGGACATTTACTTTTTGGACAAGAGGGTGCCATCGATGGACAATCATTGGTTGATGATGTTACTTGATGAGCTGTTGGTGAGGCTGATGAAGACGAACAATGATGATTTGGTGGATATGGAATGTAAAGATTATTATTTAATCCCATTTGGAATGAACTGACTGGATATGAATTGGATAGATTCAGATTCTGTTGCGGTTGGGATTGTGAATGTTGTAAATGGTTACGATGATGATTGTGAGGATGGTTAATTTGCTCATTTGTATTCCAATGGGAGTTGATTGAATCCGAAAAGTAACCATTGGAGAGATGGGAAGAACAATTTGATTGTGATCTAACAATTTCATTGTTGTGTAAATTTGTAAATGGTTGATACAATTGATCTGAAGTGATGTTCAATTGAGATGTTACTTTAGGAATTAAACGGACTAAAGGTTTAAGTTGGGGAGAAGCAGATGATAAAGTGCGACTTGATAAAGGTGATGAAGATGTAGATGATGATGAAGGTGAGGAAAGCGATGATGTTGGTGAGGAAGGTGATTTACTGTTGATTGTAATAACTGTTGATTTAGTTGGGTGACGTTGACGGACACGAACATTTGTGTTGTTTCTTTGGGCAGTTTGATTTGTTGGTGAAGAAGGCAAATGGGACGATGAAGATGATGGAGATGTTGATGCATATGAAGAGTTGGAAGATGAAGTTGATGTTGATGATGGAGATGATGATAGGATAAAATTCATGTTTCCTGTAATGTGAATATTATTGAAGAGTTCAGTTTTAACCATAATTATTGTGACTTATGATTCCAGTTTTGCTTCACTTTTTGATCACTTATGTTGTACATTGATGTATATATTTATAATTGATGAAGTTAAAAGTCAATGAAACTGAAATTGATTAAACATTAGTTGACTTTTCTTGTTACCTTTTTATTTTAATTGACTATTTGTACTGTTGAATGAAGCGTGAAAATACACAGAGAAACAAAAATTGACATCAATTGGATATTATTTTTGTTCACATTTATATCAATCGAGGATACATTATAAAATAAATCCATACATTTATGAAACTGTATATAAATTGATGTGAATCAAGTTGAGCATTAACTGATTTGATTAACACACAGTTGATTTAAGGAGGCAAAATACCTTGACTGAATGTCTTGGCAAATAAACCAAACTGAAGGTAACAGCAAGCAAAGATTTGAAAACAAATAATTTCAACTCTATAGCTTAGATCTTGTTATTTTATTAACTAATGAGCTAGTAAATTAGCTGACTAATTGATTGATATTGATGTATAAGTATTTAGAAGCACAGTTAAATAATTGAAAACAATTTGTTGAAAGACTGGATAAAATGGAGTGAGATTATCCTGCAAGGTTGAAGTCAATCCTTAAACAAAAATCAATCTCAAGTGATGTTGACCGGAGTTTATTTCCGTTCACCATCAAAGATCACAAATCTCTCTTCACCATCATCCTCATCCCCATCTTTATCTTCATCCTCATCGTCACCCCCATCATCATTGGCTCTCTCCTTCTTTAACAACCTCCTTTCCACCCTCTTTAACATATGCTTTGCTTCTCAATGGTAAAACGTTTTTCCCTTTGAAACATTGGTTACATTGGTATTAATATATGCTTGATATGAAGCTAAAGATTGAAAAAGATGACGATAAAGATGATGAAGAATGATGATAAAGATGAAGGTGAGGATGAAAGTGATTCCAAAAGACTCCGCCTTTTAATCATTTGCTTCCGAGATGGAGATTGCTTTTAATAAAGCGATTATGTCTTTTATTTTGTTCACATTTTATTAATATTTAAGCTTTCATTTTCTTGTGGTTCTGAGCTTATTGCGATTCCCTTTCTATCTCTTCCTCCATCATCATCATTATCTGCAAGATTGAGCTATTAGTTGATGATATTTTACTGTCTTCCTCATAATCATTCACCTCGTTATCCTTTTTTCCCCTGCTTATTTTTTTCCGATCAATGAAATGTTCACTCAGTCAAACATGTTAAGCTTTTCAGTCTCACCTTGATAATATCACTGTTAACCAATAGTAAACTGAATTACTCCTTGATTCGCCATTGAATCTGTTTCAACGCCCATTCAAATAGGATGAACATGCGCTTCCAACAAAGCTTTAAATGCTGAAATCATTGAAATCAGTTGTATTACTTCACTGATTCAGTTGAACATCTTTTTATTTCTGCTGATTTCCTAAACTTGTATTAATGTCTCTGTTATCTAAATCAACACTTAAACTTGTTACGTCTTCGAAATGCTTTGCTGTTAAAAATTAGATTGGATCACAATCTGCTAATAACCTGTAAATATTTTTATCTTCTACTAGAAATTAATGGATTAAACTTTTCTGGCAATTCATCGAATGGATTTAATTATAAACTCAAATAAATAATAAACAAATAGTTAATCAAATTTGAATTGTTCTCCTCGAAAACTTACTTTTCTAGTTATTATTTGGATACAAAATTGGTTAAAATTGTAAAAATTTTAAGAGTATATTCACAGTTTTACTTTAAAGTGAGAATCAAAATGCAATTATTTTAGATTTTTTTGTAAAATTTTTAATTGTGTGAAATTAATATCCTCGTAAACCATTATAAGCTTTGGTTTTGGAAGGCTCTTGAAGTAATGCTTTGATCTGATTTCTCTGTTCTTCAGTTAATTCACCTTTAGGAAAATCAACATCAAAAGTTATAAAAAGTGTTCCGTGGGAAAGATTGTTTTCATAATTTGGCATTCCTTCATTAGGTTTTCTCATTCTAGCCCCTGGCCAGGTTATCTTGTCGCGTTTTACGTTGATTTTGTGACCATCAAGATGAGGTATTGTCATTTCAAAACCAATTAATGCGTCAGTAAGAGAAATTGTAACATTAGTGTACAAATCGTCGCCTCTTCTCTCAAAAATCGGATGTGGAGAGGTTCTCACTTTTATCACTAAATCACCGGGATCACCATCAATATGAGGTTCTCCTTCTCCTCTTATACGTTGTTCTTGGCCGTCTTTCATACCAGGTTCAATTTCAATTTCTAAAAGTTTTTCTTCATTGACTAATTCTTGGTTAGGGCACTCATCACAGACTGATTGTTGCATCATTTGGAATCGTCCAGGTCCCAGTTGGCGGGTTACCATTTCTTGTCTACAATTGCATTTACGGGTACCACTTGTTTGTTTGAAGACAACTTTGTTTCTGACAAGTTCAACAAAATTACCAGAATACAGCTCTTCAAGAGTCACCCATAAATCGATTATAACATCACCACCTTTCGGCGTTTCTCTTTCTTCTCTATTGTCTTGTCCAAAAAATGAAAAACCGAAATCACCAAAAAAACTGTCATTATAAAATACAAATAAAATTAGATTAGAAATTCTGTTATGATCGTAATCTTACGAATCCAAACAAAGATAAAGAAAATTAAATTACCTTGAAAATGGATCGCTACCTCCAAAAGAATCCCTGTTTAAACCTTCTTCTCCATGCCTATCATATGTTTTTCGTTTATCGGCGTCTGATAAAACCTGAAGAAAAAAGGCTTTCATTAAAACTTAAATTAACAAATTATGTTGAGCACTAATGCCAATTTCTAATCTTGAATAGCGTGGCAGTAACTATGAAATTTCAGTTTTCATAAATCAATATACACAATTATGTATTGCTTGTGTTTTTACCTCATATGCCGCTGCTAAATCTTGGAATTTTTCTTGAGCTTTTGGATCATCTTTATTTCTATCAGGATGCATTTCTTTGGCGAGTTTTCGATAAGCTTTTTTAATTTGATTTAGGTTAGCATTCTTAGCTACCCCCAAGATTTGATAAAAATCTCTCCTGCAAAAACAAAAACAAAACCAAATTAGAATGGGTTTAGTTTGATATGAAATTTCAAACATCATCAAAAACATTTAAGTTAATTGTTAAACTTTGAAAAAACGAGAAATAAGTGATAAAAAAATAAACAATAAAATGTTTCTTTAGTTAACTTACCCGGCTAATGATTCAAAAATAAATACAAATATAAAAACAATAACAGGAATCCATTCCGGAGATAAGGTTAGCCTCATGGCAATTATTTGACAATTTCAAAAATTTACTAGATTGACACTCAATAAATAAATAAAATTTGATTAACTAAACAAACAGGTCAATTTCATATAAATAATTACAATTAACTTAATTGTCAAATGAGCAGCTTAAAGTGACGAGTATTAGCTTAAGCTTAGTAAGCATAAGCAACTCTGTTTATTGCAGGTTTCCAGTGTTTTAGCCAAGATGGCTGAGTGACTGTGTACACCCCCTGGTTGCCAGGCAAAGCTCGACGAGCGAATTTTAAATATTAACATCTATGTGGATGAATTTAATTGTATTATTATTGGTTAATTACATTTATATTTTGGTCAAGTTGTTTCTTTTAGGTCATTTCTTCTCCCAATCAGGTCACAGCCATGTTTTTATCCACTGTCACTCAAGGATGAGTTGTTGCTAGAAAGGTTGGTTCTTGAATTGGCAACATTCACGTTTGGTGCATTTATATTTCACAAGTTTGGTTAGTTGAATTTGTGTGTATTTGATCACAACTGTACAAGTTAGTTTACAAAATATTTATATGAATGGCACCATTAATACAAATGAAATCTCTGTACAAAAAATTGAAAATCAAAATTATGGGGAAAATTTAGTGACGATGACTTTTCGTTCTGCTCCTTGATTCATCTCGGCGTTCTCCCTTTTCCCTATCTTTGTCCCTTCGATCTTTTCTTTGGTATCTATCTTCATCGTAATCCATCTTTCGACTTTTATCATTACTTCTGTGACCAGAACGATCTTTCTCGTGGTGATCATTACCATAACGATCATCTCTAGGACCATACTTTGTAGGTCGATCCTCACCATAATGATCCTTTGAATGGCGATCTTCATCATCATTTCTTTCCCGGCGTTTTTCTCTTTCTCTTTCTCTGCCCCTATCTCTATCTCTATCTGTATCTCTGTCTCGGTTTCGGTTGCGATCTCGATCTCTCTCTCTTTCTCGATCTCTTTCTCTATACCGATCTCTGTCCCTATCCCTTTCTCTATCCCTATCTCTGTCTCTATCACCGTCTCTGTCTCTATCTCTATTTCTTTCTTTCTCGTCTCTACCTCTGTTTCTGGGAAATTCATCACTTCTTTTAGCTCTTGGCTCATGAACATTTTGAAGATCAGATTTACGTTTCCATTTGAACTTAGCGACAGACTGACTGAAATCCACATGAATTCTTCTGTCGTCGATAACAACATTATCCATTTTGAAATATGCTTGTTCACAGTCTTTTACATTTTCAAATTCAATGAAAGCGTATTGTAACGAATCACCAGTTTTATAGTCTCTTATTACTTCACATTCTTTGATTGGTCCAAATCGGCGGAAAATCATAGACAAATCTTCTTCATTTGTGACAGGATTCAATTTGCAAACAAATAACACATTATCAGGTGGTTTAACATCTTCAGAAGGTAGGTCTCCAATCATTTCTAAGATTGTTGCGGCAGCTTTACTTTCTTGCTCTTTCGGGTCTAATTCGGGTTTCTCATCAATATTATGAGCAATGCACATTCGGCTTATCAACTCTTCCGATGGTTCAGGTGAATTGTCAGGATATTTTCCAATCAAATCAGGAGGGTCGTCAAAGGGATCTTCAAGTATCACAGTATGGGTGATGATAATGTCAGAGAAGAACAACTCATTCATTCGATTAAGTGTATCTAATCCTTCTACAACATACCCAAAAACTGTATGTATTCCATCAAGATAGTCCAAATCTTCTCTTAATGTGATAAAAAACTGGGAACCATGCATGTCATCACCATTATTGACCATTGATACTGTACCTAGTCGAGTATGATTAACTTTAGGAACAACTTCACGTGCGAAAAATTTTGACTTCTCATTTTCATAGTTAATAAAGTAAAACACTGAATGACCACCTTCACCAGTACCAGTTGGATCACCAGTTTGAGCAATAAAATCCTTTTCTAATCTATGAAATCCACAAAAATTATAAAATTTCATTTTGCATAATTTCAAGAAATTGTAACAACATTTGGGGCGCTCTTGAATCAACAAATCAATAGTGATATCACCGACACTTGTTTCAATGAGGACAGACATTTCGGAGAGTTACAAAATAATATCACAATGAAAAAGATATGAAAGACAATCCAGTAATTGAAAAATCAAAACACGGACTGAATGACTGTTTGAATTAATTGCAATGAAATTCAATGTTTATTATTTTTCCAAACTGCTTGAGCTTACACATGGACGCCTTTGTTATTAGTTTTAGCGGGTTATTCGAATCTATCAGCATAATGGGAGAATCAAAATTTTAAACGAAAAGCAATTATTTCCAAAATCAGTTTCTTTAAAATTTATATGTATCAATGAAATCAATTAATTCAGATCTTTTTTCTAACTAATCTAAAACTCTTAAAAATCTAACTCTTCATACCAGGAAAACCTTTCTCAATTTAAGTTTGGTTTAGATAAGATTTACAGCTATGTTTTCTCGAGTGTTTTGATGGATTCGTAAAAGCAATTTATTTCAAGGATAATAAGATCGAATAGTAAGAATTTGAGTTTTTTCTTCCTGTGATCACATTTTAATTAGCAAATACGTCAAGTTATGTAGTCAATTACAATGTAAATTACATGGAGCCAATTTGTGAACTTCCTTTCTCGCTAATTGAACAGTTATTTTAGTCAACTATCTTTTTTCAAATCAATTATAGATTTATTGAACGAAAAGTATGATTTTTGTGAATGAATACTTGAAAAAAGGACAAATCTAATGATTAGATAATTGTCAGAATAAATTGCAAGAAACAGTTTAGATTTCTAGGATTTTTTAAGTGAAAATATGAACTGTTTCTCCCTCTAGATGGAGCAAACAGATGGAGTACTTATCTTGCACTGGATCAAAGCTCCTCTTTGCTTACATGTGAGTAAAAAATTCCGTTTTTCTTGCATTTATATCACAAATATTTCAGCATTTAGCTAAGTCTATTACCTGGTCTCGCCACGTCCTCATCTAAAACTTGTTCAACATAGTTTTCTAGTACACCCGTTGTCTACCCTCGTTAATCATGACTAAACCAGCTTATAAAGTCGCTGACATTAATCTTGCCAATTTTGGACGTGAGGAGATCACTTTGGCCGAAAATGAAATGCCAGGTTTGATGTCTTTACGGCAAAAGTATGGTCCATCCAAACCTTTAAAAGGAGCTCGAATTGCTGGTTGTCTTCACATGACCATCCAAACTGCCGTTTTAATCGAGACACTCATTGATTTAGGTGCTGAAGTACAATGGTCATCATGTAATATTTACAGTACTCAAGATCATGCTGCAGCTGCCATGGCTAAACGTGGTGTTGCTGTGTATGCTTGGAAAGGCGAGACTGAAGAAGAGTACTTATGGTGCATTGAGCAAACCATTTTCTGGCCTGATGGTAAACCTCTCAACATGATTCTTGATGATGGAGGTGATTTGACCAATCATATTCATGAGAAATACCCTCAACTTTTATCTGGAATTAAGGGTATATCTGAGGAGACAACCACAGGTGTACATAACTTGAACAGAATGTTGAAGAAAGGTCTTCTCAAATGTCCAGCTTTTAACGTTAATGATTCCGTTACTAAATCCAAATTCGACAATCTTTACGGATGTCGTGAATCTTTAAGTGATGGAATTAAAAGAGCTACTGATGTTATGATTGCTGGTAAAACTTGTGTAGTCGCAGGTTTCGGTGATGTAGGTAAAGGTTCAGCCCAATCATTACGAGCTTTCGGTGCACGAGTTATTGTTACTGAAATTGATCCAATCAATGCTTTACAAGCTGCAATGGAAGGATACGAAGTCACCACCATGGAAGAAGCCGCTCCACGATCGTCTATCTTTGTTACAACTACTGGTTGTAAAGACATCATTAGAGGAGAACATTTCGAAGTTATGCCAGATTACTCAATCGTTTGTAATATTGGTCACTTCGATATTGAAATTGATGTTAAATGGCTTGAAGCCAATGCTGTAGAGAAAGTCAATATCAAACCTCAAGTTGATCGTTACACCCTTAAAAATGGTCGCCATATCATTTTGCTTGCCGCTGGAAGACTTGTTAACCTTGGTTGTGCTACCGGACACCCTAGTTTTGTAATGAGTAACTCATTCTCTAATCAGGTTCTTGCTCAAATTGAATTATGGACTGCTCCTGATGGAAAATATCCGGTTGGTGTATATATTTTGCCCAAAAAAGTGAGTAATATTAACTTTCTTTGTCTTTGTGAACTCATTTTTCCATTTTTACTAACTTTTTCATCTTTTTTCAGCTTGACGAAGAAGTAGCTGCTCTGCACCTGCCACATCTTGGTGTTAAATTGACTAAGCTTACTAAAGCACAAGCTGAATACCTTGGTCTTCCTGAGGATGGACCTTATAAACCAGATTTATACCGATACTGATTGATTTCATTTGTATTTTGCTACTCAATCTTCCCTTAGTAACTGGAGAACTTCAAGTTTCAACTGATTAATAATGCTAATTAAAATTATGATATGATATGAGCAACTATACATTTGCCAAGAGTCATTTATGAATTTCTCAAATATAAATGAGTGCACCGAGAGAGGTTTATCTTGATCAATTAACTGATCTTCTATGCGATTATAAACGCAAGGTCTTCTGTTTGACGGTTTAGAAAGGCAAAAAATGGTTCGAGTAATCAGATTTATATCAAGATAAAATGACTTGAATAATGGTTTAAGATAAGATTTGATTACTTGAAATATAACAATTTCAATGATAGTAAAGAAATATACAAAGATATTTATGAATATTTCGAAGCTTTTTTCATTAGAGGAAAATTTTATTAGGCTTACATTTTTCAAATATTCAAAGTTCAAGAGCAATAAACTAATTACTAATTACAAAGACTCTTAAAAGTTTTTCTAGACTAGAACGAGTTGAAACAATCATTGAGGTTTCTCATGACGAATATAGATGGCAGAAATTATTAAACATATGTTGAAAACGAGGAAAGTGTTTTTGTTTTATTCTGGTGTTAATTTTATTGTAATTTGGTGTTTGATTCACTATTAGTTGTTCTTGAACTCCTTGATTAGATAACCAACTTGAAGATGAGTAAAATTAAACGGTCATGCAGTTCGGACCTCGAAAATAATCCCCCCAAAGACAGTCGTGTGAACCACATAAAAAATTTAAGATGTCGTGATCTAATAACTGATTTAAATATCAATGAAACAAAATTAAATCTAGCTTCTGAAAATCTTCACGTTTCTAGATTAACCCCGGCGATGTTCACGGCAATCCTAAACAGTGGTCAACATTTAAAGTATCTACAATTTGAAAGTGTTTCAGATGATTTTTGTGATGCCTTTCCTTTAGAACCTGATAATTATTTTAAAGACCACAACTTGATTGTAAAATTAATCGAGTTGAAAATTTTAATTTGTCCACATAACATAAAAGAATCCGTTTTGTCAATTTTATTAGCTCACTGTCCATCATTGGAGACTCTTGTGATTTGTTTTGCTCCTGAAGGCCATGCTAATCGTGGAATCACCGGAAAATGTTTCCAATATTTGGGAAATAATATCAAACATTTAATCTTCGGAAATTTAAACATTAATCAAACAACTATCCACAATCTTCTTAACTCTAATGGCCGTTCAGTACAGGAAATAGAGATATTATTTCCGATAGTAGACCAAACATTTGCCAGAGTTTTTGAGCTTACAAATCTTCGTAAATTAACATTCAAGGCTTGTAAGACTGATTTCATGCAGATAAGAAATTTATCAAAATTAACAAATCTTGAATCTCTTCAAGTTGAAAGACTGGACTTTTGCAATGACACCTTGGAAGACTTATTTACTCCAGTATTTGAAAACTGTAATAAACTAAAGGAATTTAAAGTCTCAGGTAATTTTCTTGTTTCCTTGTAATTTTTCAATTTATTCATTTTTAACACAATTCTTTATTTTCTCATTCTTTTATTAGGTGTGTTTAAATGGTATTCAAATGAACTACTGGAAATCATTGCCAAGAATAATTTAAAGTTAACTCACTTGCATATTTATCCAAATATGTTCAAAAAGCGCTTGAATCCCATCAACAAAATAGAGATTAGTAAATCTATTGGTGCTTTAACCTCAATGGTAAACATTCAAAGTCTCGCCTTGCCTTATTCCGATTTGGATGATCAACATTTGCAATCATTGCTATTAAATTGTCCATCTTTGACTACAATTGATCTAAGTTATTGTAAAAAAATAACTTCAACGGAATGTATCATATCTGCCGCTGAGAAAAATCCTGATCGCAATTACCAAATGTATCTTTTTGAAACCAAGATTCAATCAATACCAGTATTACCAGGCAATCTTAAATTGTGTATTTGTGATCTTAGACAATTTGATCTTTTACCTTTAATCATACAATCTTTTTACGACTTAATCTGAATGGACAAATTGACAATGTCTTTTCGACCACCAATCCTAACAAATATCATTCCTTTTTTATGTCACTTCATTTCGATATCTTGTAAATATTCAGTGAAATTGTAAAACTTATTATTGGTTATTTTATTACTAAATCCATCGACAATTTGTGAATCAAAATTAAACTAAATAAAAACTTAATGATTTTTTGATGCAAAAAGCAACTCGTGATAATTTGGTTCTGGCAATTCGCCAAAAACAGTCTAAAGCCTAAAATAATCATCATTACCATTCTTCTGTTGCTTTTTCTTGTCATTTTGCTCAAACAGGGTCAAATGCATATCAATTTATTCAGTGTTTATCCTCTTGATACTATAAATTTTTAATTTTAATAGTGCGAAATTAAGATCTCTCAATGTATAATAATCAAGTTAAATGTCAAATCTTGTAATGATTAAATTTTCCTGTGATTGTGCATCAATTTCATTCTGACTTCTTTGTTTAGTTTGTGTTTCTCATATTGAGCTTCATTTTCACACAAAATGCATAATGTTTTACTCATCGCTTTCATCTTTGTAAATGTCATTCATCAAACAATTCCTGGTTTACCAGAAACTATCAAAATCGGTAATACTATCACATTAGTTTATGTTAAATCATTATTAACCAGCTTGATTTATATTCAACTACAGGTGCAATTATTAAGCCTGGCGAGGAGGATTTAGAGTTGGCGTTTAAACACGCTGTATGGATCAATAACATTGCTCTTCAAGGCTCAAAGATTGAAGCTCATATTGAAAATGTTGACCTTAGTGATAGTTTAAGCACAGCTCATGCAGGTAAGTAAATTGTTTGTTTTCCGAGAGATGTTGTCAATTTAATCATTTTGGTTTAAATGTTATTATTTTAGCCTGCCGTCTATTAGACTCGGGTGTTTGGGCCATTGTTTATCCCTATTCTGGAGTAAATGTTTGGATTATCAAATCAATAACTGATAGACTTGGGGTTCCTTTGCTTCACACTGCACCAGACTATCCATACATGATTAAATCATTTGTCCATCAGCCTTACAAGCCCAACTATACCATCTCGCTTTATCCAGATCTAAAAAAAATAAACAAAGCCGTCTTTGATTATGTTGACTATAACCGGGAATGGAGATCGTTCAGCCTGATTTTTGACTCACATGAAAGTAGGTTCATTTTATGATAACTTTATAGCACTTTATTAACTTTATTTTGGTTGTTACTAAAAGACGCAATTTTTACATTGAAACACAAATTGACAAAAATTAATTTCTGTCAAATTTAGAGTTTGTTAGTCTGTAGTGACATAAGAACTGAGTCCATTTGTGCGATTCAAAAACTTCTATGATGGCCAGTTTTCGAGAAAATCGAGGTCAAATTTGAAACTTCGATTGCTTTTCGTGTAATTACGGAAGCAGATTTCTTCATGAAAACTCATTTTCTTATGTAACTTTCGATGATCAACCAGAAAATGTACTTATTTTGAGAAATACAACTTTTCTTTTTCTGTAAACCGATTAGTTGGATTTTCAGTTGAATCGGTCGCTTTCTATGTCCGAAAGAGTTAGCGAGGTGAAACTTGTCATTCGTCTCACATCATGAATTGAATACTTTTTTCAATTTATGATAGTTTTACTGATTTCGGTCATTAATCTAAAAACTTTGAGCCTCGATATTTTTACCCAGGTTGATTGAAGTTGATAATATAAATATAAAATTTAAATGTAAATTCACAGAAATTAGACATATAATATAACATTTCCAAGCTGTTAAACAGTTTAATCAAGAAAATTAGCTCATTGATCAAATCTAATCTCAGTTACTGTTAGTTGTTTCGTCTCAAGTTTCGTTCGTCATCATCATTTCAGTTTCCAATTCAGTACTGGTCTATGTTAATAAGAAGAAAGTGTCGGTATAAATGCTTGGAGATCATAAGCTGTTGGGCCTTAGATGTGAAATTCGGATAGTTATAATGATCATTATAAAACAACATCATCATCATTGAAAAACAAACATTTATTTTCATGGATTTTTGTGTTCGCTTAAAGTGCAATCTGGATTGAAATTAAAGACTTGATTAACTTTTTTGATCAATAGTTGACTTTAGTGAATTATAAAATGGCATTTAATAAGTCTGCATAGTCAATTGAATGATTTGATATAATATGCTGCTTAATCGCCAACAAAACAAGTAATTATATTGTTAACACTTTCAAGTATATTTTTGGACACAAATAACAAAAAAAACGCATATATTGTAACAAATTGTTAATTGATTCATAAAATTGTTAATTGAAACAATTTTATGAATCCATTTGAATTTTCTTCTCTTGAATTCAATCTTCAAAAGGTAAACAAAATTTTTAATGTTTGAATGGTACAATGATATTCAAATCGGTCATTCCATTGGTCATGTTTGAATCCGATTTAGAATCCATTGAACGTTTAACATATTGAATTTGATCAGATTTCAATTCATCACGATTCAATGCTAACATTGATGAAGCAATGAATTGCAAATGCGAAAAAACATTAACAAGATTGGAGATTGAATAGCGGCCACAGGGAGGATATGCACTAGCTATTACTCCAACTACATAATTTATATTGTTTAATGTGTAAATTAAAGGTCCACCCGAGTCACCAATACATACAGATGATACGATAGCATTAGCAACACAAAGATTGAAACCTGGAACGTATTCTTGAACATTGTTTGCAGCCCCACACGCTATATCAGGAAGTATAAACACACCTGTTTGACGCAAGGTCACTGGCCATATACCAACTTCCGTCATACCGAGGCCAATCATAGTAAGTGGTACGCACAAAGGAGGTGGAGTGACGGGTAGGGCAATAGTCGCTCCACTCCGAGGATCAGGATGGTCCAATAGTAAAACAGCGATGTCATGTTGAATTTTTACTTCACTATGTCCATACCCTGGGTGGATCACATAAGACGCAATTCCGTAGGTTACATCGTGCACATCAATGAATCCTAAATTTCGAGTGTTGGGCATAACGCGATATTTGAAAACCATTGAGGCACTGAGAAATGCAACAAGATCTTTAAGGATACATTCGGTTAATCATTTAAAGCTTACTTTTGAACACAATGAGCTGCTGTTAGTACGATTCTCCTTGTCAACAATGATCCACCACAATGTTGCCTGTATCCCGTTGGGTCTTCTGGATCTGGCTCTTGAATAGAAACAAAGTAAGGATATGCACCAGGTTCGAGAACGAAGAGGCTGTTAGAAATTCTTTCGAGTTGTTCTGTTGGATCCTCGATGTCTGTTGATGATACAAAATGTGAATATAAAAACATCAACGAAGCTGTGTAGCAAATCATTATGACGGTTTTGTTGAAATTGTAAACACTCATCTTTTACGATTTAAATACTCCCAAGATAAAAAATATATCCTGTAAATGATCTGAGTCTTAATCGAAGTCTAAACTATAATAAAATTAACAGGGAAAACAGATTTCTCCATTTATTAATGCTGAAACAGTTGACTTTAAAAAGTCACAACCATCTTCACAGGTAAATTGATGGTGGTAATATAAATTTTATATTCAGATGTAAATTCACAGAAATTAGATGTTATAATATTTCCAAGCTGTTGCACAATTTTATCAAGGAAACAGGTTCAGTTGATCAAATCTAATTTCAGTTACTGTTAGTTGTTTGGTTTCAAGTTTCATTAATTTTGTCAGTAAATTTGTCCGATTCAGCCCCGGTCCATGGTCGGTATAGTAACCAACCCCAAAAGGCGATCGGTTTAACTGAAAATCGAACTGATCTGTTTTACAAAATGTTTGTTTTTGTGTATACTGTCAAACCTCCAATAATGTCACTTCGTGGGATTAGCGTTTTGGCTATTTTTACATAATTTCTAGGTGGAATAGCCTTTTTACGAATTTTATTTAACAAAAAAATTAATTTTTAATTTAATTTTGTGATTTTTGATGTTTAATTGGGAAATTCCTATAATATACCCAATTAAAATCGTTGTTGAAGTCCTCGTAAAATTTATTTAATTAAAAAACTGAATTAACTAAATTGTTTAATTTCGTTGCCATGGGTCTGTGACATTTTGAGAGTGTGACATTATCGGAGGTTTGACAGTAATTGTGTCTTTGCAGTAACTTTATATAAATTTGATATCACTTTACTAACGTTATTTTGTTTCAATTTTCATGCAGATTTAATTAAGATTAAAGATTCATTGGCCATGTCTACATATGATACAGATTTACAAATAAAAATACGAGAATTCAAATTCGCTCGCAGTGATCCACCCGAAACATTGTTTAAAAGCATTATGAAAAGACGCGACTCCAATTTCATTGTCAGCGTTGACAAAGAAAATTATCCTACGATTTTGGAAAAGGTTTGCTCTCAATAATTTCATTTACATTCAAATTTAATCAACATTTTTAACCAAACATATAAATTGTTTAAATCTAACATTCAATTGATTCTATCCAACACTATTCTAGCTGAGGACCTTTTCCTTGGTCGATTTTTACTGCAGTTATCTTTTTTATGATTTGGTGAGTAGTTTTTCGTTGCATCTTTTTCATTTTGCTACAATTTGTTAATCGTTTCTTTCAGGATTTACAATTTTGGAATCTAAGTGCTCCTGATTTGATTGCTTTTAACATTACTGGATTTAGAATGTTCAATCCTTTTGATGAAAGAATCAAAATACGTTATAATGCTCAAGAGTGGAAGACTGGTCGATATGAAGCATCATCAGAAAATGTTAGACTAACAGTAAGTATTAGTTAGTTGTGTTAATCAACAATATTGACACTAATTTTTACTCAAATATAGCTTGACTTGGCTTTGGTTTATGACGCTGTAGCCCTTTTCACTCGATCTCTTATTGGTCTGTCTGAACTAACCGATCAATTAAACGGTCCTTCAGTCTCTTGCAGTCTCAACGATACTTGGGTCTTGGGCAAACCTTTACTTAATCAAATGAAAAAGGTAAATATTTCTCATTCCATATCAAACCGAATTACTTCTAAATATTCACTTAATTTCTTTATTAATTGATAGGTTGGTGTAACTGGATTAACTGGTCATCTAATCTTTGATGATGAAGGTCTACGAGAAAAGATTGTTTTATCCATAATCCGACTCAAGGAAGGCCAATGGTCTGAGGTTAGTTTGCCTTGTGATTTTATTTCGACTCTTATTCATTATTTTTTGTCATTTTTAGATAGGCTCATGGAACTCGGATTCAGGAGTCAATATAACATCCGAAGTACAAGCTGAAGAGAAAAGTGCAATCGACTATTTGAAAACAACAAAATTGAAGTTAATTGTTGTCGAGGTAAATTGGCTTATAACGCATTTAAATGTATATTTAGATTTTGCCTTTTCTTTCAGAATGTTCCTTATGTAATGAAAAAGCCTGATTACGCCAATTTGACGGGCGATGAGTTTGATAAGTATGAAGGTTTCTGTATTGACTTGTTACGTCAAATCCAAGAGGAACTCGGTATTTCAGGATATGATTTGACCATTTATCCTGGTAAAAGTTATGGAAGTAAAGATAAAAAGAACGGAACTTGGTCTGGATTGATTGGTGAAATGTTGGAAAAGAATCATGATCTGGCTACAACCGATCTTACAATTACTCATGAAAGACAAACTGGAGTTGATTTTACAATTCCCTTCATCACTTTGGGCATCTCTATTTTATACAGTAAACCCGCAGCTGCTCCATTAAATTTATGGGCCTTTCTCGACCCTTTCTCGCTCGAGGTTTGGTTGTATGTAGCAACCGCATTTATTGGCGTTAGTCTACTAATGTACATAGTTGCTCGCATCAGTCCTTATGAATGGCTCAATGATCATCCATGTGACGATGAACCAGAAGAACTGACAACCCAATTTTCAATAGGCAACTGTTTATGGTTCAGTTTGGGGTCTATTATGCAGCAAGGTTCTGACTTGGCACCAAAGTAAGTCACAAATCAATTTTGTTTTCATTTGTTTCATGAGTTTCATTTCAATTTTAGATCAATATCAACTCGAGTCATGGCATCAGCTTGGTCATTTTTCACATTGATAATGGTCTCATCTTATACTGCTAATTTAGCTGCTTTCCTGACTGTCGCTAGAATGGACGCTCCAATAGAGAATGCTGAAGGCCTAGCAATGCAGTCAAAGGTTGCTTACGGTTGCTCCAAAGCAGGATCAACAAGAAAATTTTTCCAAGTAAATAATCCAAGTTGAATGTAACTTTAATCACTCTCCTTAATTTGTATTTGTTTGTGTTTATTTTTCAAATCTAGAATTCGACTTATACAATTTACCAGCGAATGTACGCTTACATGGAATCAGCTGAACCTCCTGTTTATGCGGAAAGTAATTCTGATGGTGTCAGGCGAGTTCTCAAAGGAAACTATGCTTTTCTCATGGAATCACTTTCCATTTTGTACAATGTCAATAGATATTGTAATTTAACCCAAGTGGGTGATTTACTTGACCAAAAAGGATATGGAATTGCCATGAGGCCAGGATCACCGTTTCGGACAATATTTTCAAATGAGATTCTTAGGCTTCAAGAACAGGGTCGCATTGATGCGCTCAGAAAGACTTGGTTTGAAGACTATCCAACCGAGATCAGAGCTCTTGAAAATCCAGAGGAAGCCGCCTGTCCACCAGAGATTCTTGATGAAGAAACAAGTGCTTTGGACGTTGCCAATGTTGGTGGTGTTTTCATTGTCCTTCTTTGTGGCATAGCCATTGGTACGATGTTTGTAATCATTGAGTTTGTTTGGAAGGCCAAGAAGGTCTCTCGTCATGAAAGAGTAAGTTGTATTTGTTTATCATTTTTAACTGACGATTTTGGGTGAATTTACTCTTTATTATTTCTGGTTGATAGGAACATACGATCCGAATGATGACTAGAACACTTTGCGACATTTGTAGAGGAAGAAATACTTCGGCTCACAATTGGCGTAAAAAATCAACTTCAGATGGAACCCAAAGTATAAGCACGGAAACGGCATCGCGTAATAATCGTGTCAACGGAGTCAGTAGACAGCAATCAAGGGTTATGTTGGATCCCAATGCTAGACAAATTGATGATCTTTAATTGTTAACCATATCAATAACAGCAGTCATTGATAAGGAAATAGAGTGACTAGGAAAATATCAATGAAAAGAAGCTCTTCTAAAGATGTTCAACATCATCTCAACTGTCAATTGCTACTCAAGTTTTTAATTATTTTGTAGTAAAATGGTTGTTTCATGTTTCTATCAGCATATTGGTGTTCCTGGTCAATCCTCATCAAAGTATTTGTTATGTTGACAAATGTAATACTTGACCTCTTTACAACTCATCATGAATCCAATTTCACTTTCAACCAACACTTTTTCACCCACCTTCTCATCTTCCTTTTTCTTCTTCCTCCTTTTTACATGTTCATTTGCATGCCTTGTAGGTTAAATTATTTGATAGTCAACATTTTCAATTGTATCGACATTTATTGAAAATTATCCCATGTAAGCTTGTGCTGCAGCCATGAAAATGAAACTCTGCGTGACTCAACAGCTTCCAACTGACAAATCTTGAAATAAATGGATTCATCATCCAACCATCTTGGGTTAAATGAAAAGAGCTGAATAATTTTAATCAAAATTGTCTTATATTTTTGAAGGTTCAATTTACATAAGAAAAACTGAGTTTAGATTGAAATGTTTCAATATTGTCAAGCTCCATTGTATAGAGTAAATTTATTCCCGGTAAACACAACGATTATTATTTCAGGAAATTTTCAGAAATGAAATTACGCAGGCTTTACGGCTTTTACGGTTTGGAAGTTTATTTTACTTGAAGCATTGAAACACTTGATACTCTGTAGACAATGTTAGATTCAATTAGTGTTTAGATAGTAAATGTTTTATATTTTGTATGAAATTTGAACTAAGAGGTTGAATTGATTTGGATGCAATACTTTAATTTTCAAGAACAATAAATAATCATAAAAAATATAACAATCTATAATATGTTAATATAATTATATCTAAGTTTTTAACAATAAAAGCCTGACAAGATGTTTGAAGCTGACAACTTTTTATTTACATCAATACGTTGAAATTTAGATTTTTATCTTGATTAATATTAATTGGTTTGCTAATAATTAGATTTGAGCTGAGCTCTGTTCATAGATTGTTTTTTTGGAGTATTGTTCTCACTTGAAATTTCGATTGAAGATGATTGAGGGGATGAAGTTTGGTCAACCTTTGAATGTGAATCAATTGGTGGATTGTAAAGTGATTTACTTGGTGCAGCATGTGCGTTAGAAGATCGACGACGTTCATAATCCATTGGATTAGAGTTGGAGTCTAATTCATATTGGTTAGGTATTGCATTGATTGATTTCATTTGACTCAACCAAGAATCAACTTCAGCAGCTGTTGGAGGAGATTGGTCGATTGATGAGGATGGCAAAGATTGTGAAGGTAGTGAAGATGAAGATGATGGTGAGAGTGATGATGATGATGAACCACGAATAGCGGCCATGTGAGCGTTGACGATTTTCCTTTGGTGATTAGCTTGTTGTGCACCAGTAAAAACAGAAGTTTTGGGCATTGATGATTGTTTCATGTAAATATGTTGAGGTTCAGCTTTATTTCCAGTCGTTCGAGCTCTTGAAGACCAGCTATCTTTATGTGATTTACCGTGTTGGTATGATTTGACGGCTGATTTACCCCAGTGATCATATGAATGATGATGTCCATGATTAGAGTGATGATAATATTCAGGTTCTGGTTCTGGTTCACTTTCTGGCTCTGGCTCTGGTTCAGGCTCAGATTCGGGATAAGGTTCTACTTCTGGTTCAGGTTCGGGCCAAGCCTGATTTTGATTCCTATAAGATTGTCAAAATTAATTTTAGCAAAATGCTCTTTAAAGTAAAATAAATAAAGTAAAATTAATGTAAATTGATTGACTACTCACCACCAAGAATCTTGTTTATGCCCATGATTGGTAGCAATTGATATTCCTGGGAATTTTATGGCGAATGGTGATGATCCAGTTGACGGTTTGAATGTGGCAGCTATCTTTATGGGTGGTAAATTAAATCGAGGCATATGAAGCACAAATGGAGGAAGATTAACACCAAAATCCAAGTGTAATCCACCAGCTGATGCCATGGATATCAGGCCCATTAAAAACGACAGTTGAGTTAAGTACTGAAACATTGTCGTAGTTGAAAAAAGCAAGAACATTTTTAAATTAAAAATCTTAAGTAAATTCAATTCCTTGAAAGCTTCAATAAAAATGGTAAAATAAATGGTTAAAGAGTAAAATAAATCAATTCTTACCTCCATAGCAAAGATTGTCAAGTTTGGAAAATAAAAGAAATAGTAGAAAGTGAATTGAGATGAAAAGTGAATTTAAAACATCAAATGGTCAACTGTTGATTGATATATTCCATGATCGATGAATTTGATATTGTCACTCGTCACGGTACTGAGATTACGATTGAACAGACCCACAAAATTAATTTTAGCAGGATCCAGTATGGATTAATTATTGGTTTCAAGTCATCTAGCAGCCTTCCTTTCAATTGAAACGATTACTTATCCCTTGACTTCTCACATTTTGATAAAAATCTTCATGATGGAATAAATTAATTATAATTAAAATCGAACTTTCACTCTCTCATTTTAGATGAACCATTATCTCTCAAAATTGAATGTTTATTAACTGACAATCAAAGCAACTGATCAACCTTACAAAATAACCATAAGAACTTTAGCCTATGGTAACCTTATAGTAAACAATTATAAAACGAGGGACACAAATCTAAATAGCTCTATTCAGACCTATTCAGATTAAACTAGTAGATTAAAATTAGTTGTTGGAAATAGTGTAATCAAAATTAATTGTTACAGTCGACAGAATTAGTTAATTGTCCATCAAAAGTCACCAAAAACAATCAACCAGCTAATAAACGGATCACCACATAAACAAGAAGAAGCCTGATGAAGCGGCAAATTTTAATCTCATTAGTAAGTAGATTTCATCCAAAAACTGTAACCAAATTAAAAATTAAGAGTTACCTTTGCACTTTCCGATCAATACATTACAGTTGACATTAACTAATTAACAATCTATCATCTAGATTAATTAACCAGTTAATTGTCAACTTCCTAAGACAAAAATCAAAACATTGAAACACTTCCTCGCTTCTCTACGCTTACTATTGGTCAACCCATTTAACCGATGGATGAAACCCGGTAAATATGAAATAATTAATTCATCATTAAAATGCTAAAGAGTTAATGAAATGAAATCAAATTTTTAAGCATTTCTGAATAGGATTTAGGTAGAGTTTAGGTTTAATAACAAGACAAAACTGGTTTGTTAACAAGAGGAATATCAAGAGATTTGTTTTACATTGAGATTTGTATTATCAAGAAAAGGTTAATACCCACAGTCTTAATATTATATTTGTTTTAATAACTCAATATGTCAATTTATCAATAGGTTTGGAGTCAAATAATCATGGTTAATCAGGTTGATTACAATTTAGAGCAAAGTAAATAGATAAACTCAAATGTTTATGTAACAATTAAGGAGTGAACAACAATCGAAAATGTAATCAAAGATTGGAAACTGAGCAAATTTTAGTCAAGAGCCTTTCATTTTCATGGAAAAATACCCAAACCAGAGATTCTTTTCAAGTTATTAGTTAATAATGGGTCCAAATCGTATCTAATTTGATGGAAGAAAACAAATTAATAGCTGATTAGCAAAAATAAATTAAAAGGAAAAGCAAATTACAATTGAGATGATATTGTAAAAAACATGGATCAAGAAAATGGTTTTGAAATGTTGTTTTGTTTTTGACAACAATTTGAAATTGAAGTGATCAGGTTATCAGATAAATCTGATGAATTGAGATTTGAAGGATTTAATATGTAAACAGTATTGAATAGGTTCAGTGTTAAGTACTTCAGAACTAAATTTTAATGCTGACAATATGATTTACCCAGCAAAATTGATTTCCTGTTCAATTGTAATGGTTAACGAGTCAAAACAAATAAGATAAATCAAAATTACTGCTGAATCAGTAAGTCTGTTCATTATAAAAGTTAAATTGCTTAGAGTTCAATTTATGATTCCGTAATTTCCATTGAAGCAATTAAATTGATTTAACAACAGTAGTTAAGATTATTTAGAGTCAACCAATGAAATGCTGGTTATTCAATGGTATTCAATGTTTTGAAATAAGATGTTAGTTAATCAACTTGAAAAAGCATGCTTAGATTTGATGATTGATATACAAGATTATTTGATTGTCTTGTTTGTTGGTATAAAAACTGTTTTCAACTCAAGTTTTCATACTAAAGGGTTGAAAATTTTATCCAACAATCATTACTCTAAATCAATAATTATTTTGTTATTTACCAATCCAAAGGAAACAAAATCCAATCAAAAGACCAGACTTTTGAATGAAGTATAGCTGAAGATATAAAAAGATTCAGTTCTCAGGTCATGATTCCAATGCTGATAAATATATTTTGTTTTTTTCTGATTTTCAGGTAAACATAGATAACTCAACAATGATGATGATGATAGGTGAGGGAGAAGCTATCAATGAAAATTATGGCCATTTATGATAAAAACTTCATGATCTTGAAGAGCTCTTGAATAGCTTAAGAAGTGAATCGCTCAGGATTATGTTAGAAAGGTAAGAAGAAAAAAAAGATTTATCATGAAGAGGGAGTTGAAGTGGGAGTAGAACTAGACAAATTGCAGTTAATAAGTTATCTAAGATGATTCTAAGATGAAGAAGATCAAAATCTGATTAGAGGTGAAAAAAATATCGAGTGAGTTGTTGGGAGATCGGATGAGTGAGAATCAATTGGCTACAAAAGCCTAGGTTAATAGCAATTTTAAACTGTTTTTCAAATTTTTTCGGGTTTGACCGGTGAAAATCATGAATCTACAGTATTTGATATTATTTTTGGCACTTGTGTGCAGCTCTAGCACCTTTAAGGTGGGCCAAAAATATGTATATAACTATCGTTTAAACACTTTGCAAAGCTTGTCATCTCGAAGTGGAGCTTCAACTTGGGCTCGATTGAATCTTGAAGTTACACCAATAACATCAACGGAGGAACAATTGTCTCTAAGATTTAAGGTGAGTTTACTTTTCCATTTTTGCCTTCTCCTGGGTTAATCACTGGAGCTTTGTATTTAATTGTAAATTATTTCAATTGTTCTTTGCCGTTTTGAAATTTTAATTTCTTTACATTAATAATTACGACACTTTAGATCTCTTCCATCGCAAATCAACTTGGACCCTTCACCGAGCCAACTGAGGCAACTGATCCTAATTATGGCCTTACAAGTGAATTTGTGGGTAACTATAATAAGGGTAAAGTTGAGATTAAAGTTGCTTCAAATGATGGTAGAAGTGCCGTTGGCTTGAAGAAATCAATTTCTTCGTTGTTTAATGTTCAAAAGAATGGCGAGACTTCGTTGATTGAAGATTCACCGGTTGGCAGCTGTAATACAATTTACTCAGTCACTCGTGGACCATCAGCAGGCTCATACAACTTAACCAAAACTCGTAATTATGAAAATTGTACTCAGAATATTGAATTTTCGGGTAAAAAGTTTTCATCCCCTGAGTTCCATAAATGCACAAAGAATCCCGAGTATTCAATTCCTTGGGTTAGTCGAAGCTCAATCTTTACTTATAGCATCAATGACGGAGCAATTAAAAGCTGTGAATCAATTGAAAGTGTAAGTTTTGCTCTTTTTGGACACAAATCTTCATCGTCAGTTGAAATTAAGGGTAACCTTAATCTGGAAAGTTCAACAGCAGCAGCAGCTTCTGCCTTTGATCAAACTAATTTGATTACAGTTCAAGTAGCTGGGAAGTCAGATTCAAAAACAAAGGAATCTTTCGATTCAGCTGTGGTTGACCTTAATGAACCATCTAAATATGTAATGTGGCCTAAACAAGAAGTCGCCAACATTATTAAGACCATGGAAACACTAAGCAGCTCCGTTGATTTAGGTATGAGCTCAGCAGCTTTACAAAATGACAATTTCACCATGGATTTCATTGAGCTGCAATTGTCCATCAGTCGTCTCAGTTTAACCGAGCTTCAATCTTTATATTCAACCATAAAGAGCCGATCAGATGCAGTACCAAAGATATTTTTAGACACTTTAAGGTATACACCAAGTAACCCTGTCTTCTCGTTTGTCAAGTCATTCGTTAAGAGTACAGATGCACGAGAAAAATATGCCCTTCGAGCTTACTTCCAAACAATCCCATTCCGTGAACTCAAAGTCTCCAAAGCTTTACTTGACGGTTATCTTGACCTATGTAAGCAAACTCTTGGTACTGGAATGGAAGCAACCTGTTTCTTTTCCATGGCCAATATTCTGCAAGTTCATTGTAGTGATTCTCCAATGAAAACAGTTGAATCTTGTAATCCCAAAATATCAGTTGCTTACTATAACAAAATGATTGCTGTGATCCGAGAGATTATACCAGCTAGTGATGACCGTGATATGCTTGAAAATGGTATTTCAAATAACGTCTACAACGAGGAATCACTTAAACTGCTTCTTAGTCGTATTTCTGACCCTCGGTTACATGTCCGACGAACAGCTACTGTTGCTTTGTTTGGCCATCGATTTGGTCCTAAATCAGTTGTTAATGTTCAAAATGTTTTGTTTGGTAAAATTATGGACCGTAAAGAAGACCATGTTGTACGAATTTACGCTCTTTTGGTTTACATGAAAACAAACCCTCCTCTAAGCCAGTTCAGAGCAGTAATCAGATACATTTCCGATCCAAGTGAAGATGAGCAAGTTGCCCATTATACATTGAGCTTGATGAAAATGATGAAACACTCCGAGAATCCATGTTATGCAGGTTTTAGTTTACTCGCTAGATACGCAATGAAAGAGCTGAAACAATGGAAGGGTCGATTCGCACATACTACATTAGCACTGTCAACTGCAAGGGTTTTAGAATCGTATGATAAAGAGTTTGCCTTTGGTGGATCAACGGTGATTAGTTACATTCTTAATAAAAAATCAGCTTCCACCAGTTTCTATGTTGAGGAAAAGATGGTCGTCAATGGGTACACTGGAGGTCATTTGGCTATGCTTTGGGAAACTTTCCCAGAAACCAAGCCCAATGGTTCAGTAACAATAAATCCAAAAACCACTGGTTATGATGAGAATGCTGCCGCAATCATCCAAACAATGGCTTCAATCTGGAATGGTACACCTAAACCAGCACCTGTTACAAACAATAAAATGAGATTAAGCTTCATGATCAATGGTAGGGTTGTTGATTCAATTGACCCAATGCAATTGCTTGAGATTTTTACCTCTATGACTCCAAGTATCAACAAGTTCATGATTGGACAACAATTTTACAATTACATTCCAAGTGAACATGGATTTACTCTATTTAACTTGATGGTTTCTGGTAATGGATTATTTGCCAGAACTGGAGCAATGGACATTGACAAGAAACAAAATGGAGAAATTTTATTCCGCGCTTCTCTTTCACCAACCGTTCGTCGAGATATTGGAGCTTACACTCTAACTGGATTAAAATCACCCATTGGCTCAGATAGAGCAGGTATTATGACATCAATCCAACGAACCCACCGATTACCATTGAACATCAGCTATGCTGTAACCAAGAAAACAGCTCATCTCAAGTTTAAAATGCCAACAGAAGCGACTGACTTTATGTTTTATCGAATGAATGCTTATACTTTCAATGATAAAACACCAATTGGTTCAGTACGATCAACATTGAAACCCCTGTTTACAGATTTTAGTGGAAAACAAGAAAATGATTTAGTGAAAAGTAAAACCTATTGGAAAGGTTTTCTTGGAAATGGTTTGAGAATGACTACAACAATTAACAGACCTCGACCCATGGATGGTTTAGGTTACAGATACATGTTACTTGAGAAATCATTGTACAATGATGATATTCGGTTGGTAAGAATGAAATTTGAATATGGTGGTGTTATTGTTCCAATTGATTGGAGGTTGACATTCTTGCCTGATCCCAAAGTGAGCGAGTTAACTTTTGCCTTTAACAGGTCATTAGACATAACTGATGACGCCCGATCAGGTGAATATCAGATGACTGTCCTGAAAAATAGTGAAACCATCATTTCAACTCGAGTATCATACACTTATTCAACTGATTTCTTGAACCATTACCTTCGCCTCTATTACAACAATTATCTTAAAAATATCCACACCTGTATCAAGGGTGACATTTTTGCTCCAAAGGTAAATTACGCTCGGTACACATCAATTGATAACACAGCCAATCTTGAAGACAAACTCCACTTCAATGGTAGCATCTACTTTGATCAATCATGTTCAAAGAAAGACATTATCGTTAAGGGTGAATTCAGTCCTTCTGAAGCTCAAAAAGATCCCAAATATTCACGATTATATTCCCAATCATGTGGTAAAAATGGCTTAGCAACAAACAAGATTCCTTATTGTGCTGGTTACCATTACCATACTGGTGAACTGCGATCAGTCAAGGTTCATGTTACACATAAAGATGTTCCCGCTTACTTCTGGAGGTATGTAACCTGGTTCCACAATAAAGGTATCCAAAAGTATGCTGACCAAGTTAAATATCGAGCTTCCAATGAAGTTACTGATCCAACGGTCACTTTAATAACTGCCAATTCAACATGGTTTACTCCATACAAATACAACGTCTCATACAAAATGGTTGATCGCGAAGAGTTTTGGGAAAATATTCCATCAACTGGATTGAGCTGGCCAAACTCATTTAGCTTGTTTGACTTCCATGTCTATCAAGCTTTCCACCGAACCTTGAGAGAGCCCTATTGTTACATTCAAAAATCCCGAGTCCGAACTTTCGATGAGTCCTCGACCAATGTGACTGTTAAGCCAAATTGCTTCAAAACACTACTTATGGATTGTACTCAAAAGGATAAATTCACTGTATTATTCTCCCAGGATGCTGAAGGAAAATTAGAGGTAAGTTGACACAATTAGAGCTTTGGATAGCTCATCTTTGACATCAAATGGCACAGAAAATTTGATTGTTAACAAGCTTTGGATAACTCTTAGTAATCTGTCAATGTTTTCTTGTTTTCCACAGACAATCGAAATATATTTGGCCTCACCGGCTACAAAACTGGAAATTTCTCCTAAAACCAACATAATCAAGTCAAACGGAGCACCAGTTGATCTAACTGCAAAAGACGCAGCATCCAAAGGATTTGAAGTTAAAGATTTTGGCATCTATAAGCGGGTTTCACTTGTCAAGGATTACATCAAGATTTACTACGATGATGTTGGTATATTAGTTAGATCATCCAAAATGCATTACAGTCAACTTTGTGGACTCTGTGGTAATATGAATGGCTGCAGTCATGATGACCATGGAGATCATCACCATTCCCATAATCATTCAGAGTATCTTTGGCTGACTAAAGATGCCCGTAACACAGCCCCTGCATGTGTTCAACAATAGAAAACAAAAAGATGGATAAAAAGCGACATTAAAAATCAATACACAATAACATTTACCTTTTAATTGAAATGTACTTTTTTCTGTTTTTGCCAAAAAATTCATTACCTCTAATGATTATAGCATTTTTTAACCAATAAAATATCAAACCTTTGAATCAATAACAACACACATCGACGGAAAAAAACAGTTACTCACACAATGAAGTTCATTGATAATCAGAAAACTTGATGATTGTAATGTAATATATCAAATTTAAACTTTCAAAAGAAATTCAGTAGCAATTAGTTGATGGAAAACTATGAGTTAATCAGTAAACATCTTATTTAATTTGCTCAATTAAGTTACGAATTAATTTCGCTAGTTTATTAGCTCTAAATTAAATCAATGGATGGCGCTGTGTACGAAATTGTCGCCATCTGGCGGCTATTTATTTAAAATATTGTTGTTTACAAACTTGACTTTTGTTTTATTTATTTGACTTGAGTTCATAAGACCATCTTCATTAATTTTATTTACAGTTACTTATATGATTATTATTTTTGTTACTTCAATTTATATTGAAACCATCATTGAAATCTAATTGACATTGAAAATAATCTTTTTTACTTTTGACTTTTGATTCTTCGTTTATCCGGATCTCTTTCTGTCTCTCTGTTTTTTACATCTCAACAACACTTCATTTCAATTGCGCAAACAATTTTCCTGTTTTTCTCCTTCTCTTTTTTCCAACAGTGTTGGTGTTAATGGTGGTGATTAGTTTACTGACTTTGATGAGATGAAGTTACTTCCCATTGGAACAATCATCATCTTGTGTGTGTAACTCTTTCCTGGCTGTAATCGTTTACCCTATACCAACTTATTAATTACCAATTTGACACCATCTCAAGTTTTTCTCAAGTCAAGGAAGAAGAAACAATATCTTTACTATTCAAATTTATCCCGATGTTAAAATCTTTGGCCACTCGTGACATCAAATATTGACCTAACATTTCACATGGTTTTTTTCACATTTATATTTATCATTTTTACAAATGTCAATGCTGATGGATTTAAATGCTTCAACGTCCCTCACTGAGTGTCCTTCAATAGATTTAGATGAAGATGATCAACACATAAATTTAAATTATCTGGAAAATTACTTCGATTCATTGCTCAACCAATTAGAATCAGAGTTGTCCTATTTGCCAGAGTCCAGTCACTTTGTTTCAAACCTCAATAATAGCAATAATAACAGTAATCATGGTTCTTGTAATGGTACCGGAGATAACCTAATAAGTGATGGCAGCATTACTAGTAGTAACCATGATAGTCTAGTAAATAACCATCAACCCTTCAATCATCATTACAATCACCATCATCTCCATAACATCAACTCTACAATCGATAGTCACGATGAAACTGACCATATAAATCATTACAGTACAATCAAAGATGCCAGTAATCAACAATTTCAAGGTGGTAACCAAATTGTATCAACCCCATCATCATCATCAACAACAACAACAGCAAAAACAACAACACAAACAACCACAACAACAGCCTCAGCTCAAAGCTACTCATCGACATTATCTTCAACAAAATCATTTAATCAACGGGAGTCACCATTATCTTTCAGCAATTACAGTCGATCATCATTCTACGAGAACAACGATGAAATATCTTACAATCTATTAACTGCATCACAAATTCAAAGAATTGTAAGTAAACCAAATAATTTCAACAATATTTTCACCCTTAACCCTGGTCATCACTTATCACATTTAACCAATGGTTTAGACACTGATGGGACAGCATTTATAAATCAAGACACGCCATAAAGTCAGATGACAGATGATAGCAAAAGCTTTCCTGTTGTTGAATGAAAAAAATCTTGCTGTTATTTCTGAAGGATTTAGATTAATTGAGTGTTTGCTTATCGAGAGATTTAGCTTATAATATCGCTATCATAAAAGGAGAAGCTAAATTTTCCCGCTTTAGTGATGAATGTACAATCAAAATTGTGGGACAATGAAAAAAAACAGATAGACGGATATTTATAAATGCTACTTAGTTGTAATGATATGAGTGGTGAAGTTTGAATTAAAATAAATTAGACTAAATGAGATTAATGACTATTTCAATTGATGGTTAATGTTGGACCCTTTGAAATGTGTATTTTCCTGTTGTAACCCAGTCTTTATTGTTAGCCCTTTGATTGTCCTAATCACAATCAGACAAACTGACCGAGTAAGGTAATACACTTGTATTGTTAAAATTAAATGGATCACCAAGTTATGGACATTTCAAGTGTCTACTTGACCGTACCTTACCAACAACTACAACAACATTCATCACCATAAACCATTATTATTACAACAATAATTACAATAATTATCATTATCAACATCATTATCATCACATCTATCTTGTCCATCAACTTAATTATGACAATTCTTCCTATTTTAATGTTTTCTTCTCCACTAATTTCCTTACCTAAACAGTTAATAGCTCAACATATAATTGTTAAGTCTGTTTGTTGAATTTTAATTACACTTACACTTTAAATATTATATCACTATTAGTTATTTGAATAATTTTTCTCGGTAAAAATAATGTTGAACTGTTTTGCCATTTAACTTTATTTTCACCATTAAATACACACTCCAACTCAAGTGTTGATCACAAGAGACAATCATAATGATAATAATAATCATAATTTCACCTCATATTTTCATCACTATTCAGCTTGATAAACTTTGATCAGTCAGTTTCATTATATTTACTCAAACTAAATTCAACAATCTCATGATAAAACTGTGAAAAAGCAAATGAATATTTTGCTAACCGAAACAAAGCTTTAATCAAGAATTGAACAAAAAAGTTAATCAAAAATTTAAAGACAACCAAATTAGGGAAACATTTAGGCCTGACTTGATTCTTGTCTATGATCATCTAATATTATTCATTATTATTCAGAACAACCACGCAAACCTTGATTATTATCATCACCATCAAATATTATCATCTTTATGAGCCAAATAAAATGAAATGAAGTGCAAAAAGAAGCTATCAACAACAATTTGTCAATAGTAACACAGAGAGCCCAAAATGTTATTAAAAAATAGAAACATCAAAATATGAGTTGACATTTTGAGTTGATCCAGAATGCTTTTTCCTGATAAAAGTCCGAAATTATTGAATCCATTCCAAATTTATCTGGATAAACATTGAACAGTGAACATTGTTTGAAAAAATTGAACAAAACAAAAATTACATTTTACCCTTTTCCTTGCCAACCTGTTTCCATACCGGTGTTACTTGGCTTACAGACATGATCATGATAATCAACCAATAATAATAACCATCTTAATCTATTTGATTCACCTGAATGACCATCAAAACTGATTTCATCAAAATAATTTAATAACATTTCTAACATGATATTGATTTCGCAGCAATTTGTTGCCAACCTATTGCCAATTCTGGTTTCAATTTATCAATCAATTTTATCAATTCATCTGACGGTGAAAAACCTCATTTTGCTTCATCACGATTATCATGATTTCACTAAGTCAACATATGGAAAAATTCACTTATTTTAATACTTTTATCATCATTCACTTCACTATCGACACATTTTATCATCTAATCCTTTACATCATATAAATTAAAAACATCAATTTTTGTGTAAAAAATGTGGCTTTGAAAAGATTCTTCGAGTTCTTTGATTTCTCTTTGGTTTTGATCGCTTCAAAGTGCAAACAGCATTTTGTTCATTCGTTGAACCAGATGAAATTAACCTTACAATATTCACTATTAAATAAGACAATCAACTTTAATGGATCAACTTTATCAATATGATTTAATGGATAATTATCCTAGAAAATGAAATGTTTTTTAAGCTTAAATCAACTTCTCTTTATATGATAGTCTACTAAATGTTTACTAATTTGGTTGATTTATCAAGTTTGTCATTAGATCTAAATGTAAATTGCTGCCCATCATCATCAAAACCAACATCTGAATAAAAAAACAACAAAACATGAAAGATGAACAATTTTATTTACAACTCCAGCCAACATCATTAAATGATAAAATATATCTAAATAATGATTAAAGAGGATTGAGTATGAATTATTATGATACTGAATTATTACCCTTAATGATCTTACTGGTCAGTAATTATCATTAGCCTAATTAATTTCTCTAAATTTGCTTCTCTCATCATTACTTAGGGCCAAGTTTGTTAGTTTTTGGTAACATTTTCATAGTTATATTTATATATTAATTGATTTTGTTTCAGTTTTGCTTTTTGTGTTGAAAACGTTCATAATTAATTGCTGGTTAATTGTATATAAAATAGAGACTAACTAATTAACTTTCCTTTGCTTGTCTGCACTTCAATTTTACCATTAATTCAATTCTGTTGTCTAATCAATTTGCTGGTTTGTCAACACAATTGAATCAACCAACATTCAAATTAAATTCACTTTTCACTCAACCTTCCATTGAAATTGCCATCAATTATCACGTAAATAAACAAACTGATCTAATCAAATTGTTAATTTAATTTTAAATTCTACATTGATTACTATACTTTGAATGCTAACAATTAGACTCATAATTGCAAATTTGAATGATTCAAAATGGTTGTGATCATCACTAATCATTGATTGGTTTTTCCCTTCTAAATAATGAATAACCTTAAAATCATTGTTTGATTGCTTTACCTAATTGCTTCCAATTATACATCAATACAATCAGTTAATTCAGTTTTTTATTAACTTTCTTACATCAACTTGATTGAAAGTTGATACAATCTTTGATGATTACATTTGCTTGTTGTTTAACCATTTAATTCATCATTAAATTGTAATCATTTTCATTCTCTCTCAATCACAATCTAAAGGTTATTCAAAAAATACCTCAAAATGAATCCAAAATGATTCCTATCACTTGATAACTCAATGACATCCATCAACATATATTTTCATGTTTACATCAAATGATGAAATCTCTGATTCCATTGAAAATTAACAAATTGATTGCTTTGATGGGTTAAAGTTGATGATGGTGATGATAATGATGACGAGTTAATGTTTTTGTCTAAAAATATTTTCACAATTATTGAAATGGTTTTGATTTGAGGCGAAAAAAAAGTTGAACCTTTTAACTTGAATCAATCAAATGTTAACCACAAAATATAACACCTTTTCAGGTTTATCCTAAATGTACGCCAACACTTTCAATTAATAGCTTGTTCATATTGTAAAGCAGTTTCATTTAAATAATCATCAACTAATTTAACTTTTTCAGCTTCAAATTTGAGCAAATTAAATCATTAGCAAGACCAAAAAAAGTCAAGAAAATGTGCAAACAAAATTGAGCGCAATTCAGTTAATGAAGTAACTCTTTTTTTGTTCAACTCATTCAACTCTTTCCTCACTAATGTGCATAATAATCCATATGATTTGGATGAAAAGGTTGAATTATTAAGATGAGCTAAGCAACATGATAAACCAGGAAGATTTAAACCATTTTTAAATGTTATATTTTCATGCTTTAATCTATAAATATCAAATCTTTGCTAATTTAACTTTTCTCTTCTTTTCCTCTCCAACCCTTTCCTTGTCCTTTCCAACTCTCTCCATCCTCTCACCATTTCCTTTATTTTCACATCATCTTCCTCCTCCACCAATATCACAATGACCCTTTTTTGCACATCATCATCAACCTCATTTTTAGATTGATTGCTACAAACCATTAATGCACACTAGCAATAACAATGGAGATTCAATGGAAACCAAATGGGATCGGAAAAGCAAAAAAACCAATGGATCCAGTAACACCAACAATTTAAACTACAGTAACAATTTATTTGGCTGTGATGTTAATAATATTGAGAAAGCTTATGGTGGATTAACTTTACCTCCTTTCATTGAGAATGCCTTGATCTATCTGGCTCGCTATGGAATCAATGCAGTTGGCATATTCCGTAAATCTGGAGTTAAATCAAGAATCATGGCGTTAAGACAAAAACTTGAATCAATGACTGGATCTAAAAAAGAGCCAACCCTAGGAACACCAGTAACAACACCATCACCAACCTCTGGGAACAAAAAATTTACTGAACCAGTTAATAACAATGCAAGTCCGAAAGGTCGATCGGCAACATTGGGTCGCCATTATAATGTCAATAATTTTGGTCCAACTGGAATTGGAAGTGGTTCATCAACAATCAACTATCGTCTATCCTCTTCTTATGCTGCTGGAGACGATTTTTGTGTCTATGATGTTGCAGATATGGTTAAAATGTGGTTAAGGGAAATTAAACCTCGTCCATTAATTACCAAAGAAGTTATTAAGGCCTACAAAGAGCTAATGATGGTCAACAATCCTGCCCATAATAATAACAATGTTAATAATAATAATGATAATGATAATAACAATTTAACCAATGGACCTTCACCGATTGAACTAAGTCTTAGATTAACCGTCCTACTCTCGGATTCCCAAAGAGCCATATTGGAAATTTTTTTACACTTTTTATCACTTTTTGCTGCTAATTCCGAAGTTAATCAAATGAATTCTCAAAATTTGGCCATTTGTTTTACTCCATCCCTTTGTGAATGTGATAATTTAACAGGTGATTTTATTGGTGCACCTGGAATTGTTAACAACAATCTACCCAATAACAATAATCTGATGTCCAACAATCAAATTAATGGTCTTCCCTTTGTTTCCAACTCTGACCCCAATTTTACTCTTAATGGTTCCACATTACCCAGATCAGCTGACACTGAGATAATATTTGATGCTCAAAGATGTCTTCAGTATTTAATTGACAATTGTTCATCAATCTCCATGATTTCATTAAGCTCATTACCATTCTCACCAGTTGCTCCAACCTTATCTACACCTACTTTAAATGCAACCAAGTATGAAAATTCATCATCGTCATCCTCATCTCTACCAATGAAGAATGGAGACAATTCAGGAGATTCAGATCATCCCATGGATTGTTCATTATCTATCAATGATGAACAACCTTGCCAGCAAAATAATTCAAGTTATACAGTTAATCACTTGAATCCGTTGATGTCTTCATTGTCCTTGTCAAATGATGTTAATTATAATAATCACAGTAAAAGCAGTAACAGTAACAACAACAGTAACAATAACAATGTAAATACCAATGGATTTTTACACAGCTCACCGTCCAATTCAAGTTTAATTAATGGTGGCAATTTGTTACCCTCAACTTATGAATCAAGTATAATTATTAACGCAGCTCCAAGCGACATACTGAAACGTATTTTGTACCAAAAAAATCTCTTCGATCCAACCGTAGTTGAATGGAGGATAGTTAAACAATCACCTTTCGAAAATAGTGACGTTTTTGAATATAAAGTACAATCAAGCTTCTTTTTACCTCTTAAAACATTTACCATTGATCGTCGGTGGAGTTTCATCGAGAATCAACCCTTTACCGAAACATCTTCATCACCTTCGCCATCACGATCATTTTATTCATCATTAAAAAGACCCAAACCAGCCAAAGCCAGTTTCAAAGGGATCGTGCTTCGTGAAACTGGTTATCTTTACGATTCTTGGTGGAGGATAGGTACACATGGTGAAGGAAAATGTCAGCTTGACATATCCATTGCTGTTGATCTCAGGTTATTATTGAATACACATTTTCATCAATTAAACCTTGGTTCAGGCTTCATTAAGACAGCAAAAAAGCATCACAAAACCTTTTTGGATAAAAGCCCAAATCTCTCTATTTGTCTTATGTCTCTCTGTTGGATAAATGATGATATACAAGAGGAAAAGAGTTTGTTTTATGTTTTTGTTTTTCATATTTGATAGACGAAAGGAAATTTTTTTGGTCACATCAAATGATGAAGATGTAGAGATGATATTATATATTGTTGATAATGCCAAGAAGATGTGACTTTGTCTCTCATCAACTGATTGATATGGTCTATTGAAATCTAAATTTGTGTGTTTCGTTTTATATGCACATTCATTTTCGCAGTATTTTTAATCTCATTGCAAGTGTAAAATTAGGCTTGAATAAGTAAATAATGTGTGAGATTGTCTGAACAAACTCTTCTCTCTTCCTCATCATCATTCATCTTTAAACATAATTCATCTTAAATTCAATTCTTTTATGTTTATCTTTAAAATAATATATTCTCTCTGTCATTCCATTTTCTTCCTCAATCTTCATTTCCAAAAAGGCCTCTCATTGCCCACGCTATCTTTGTTTACTTCTTTCTACTGATGATGATTATAAAATTTGCTCATTTTATCCTCATCTTCAACCCTTCCCTTCATTCATCTTCAATATACACCTTCTCATAATTTAGATGCAAAAAAATATACTAAGTTGAAAGACAACTTTAATTGTAACTAAAATCCTTTTATCTTTCATCTTGTTCCTCTACTTCATTCATCATTTATATATCATCTTAATTAATCAATCTTATTTTCTTCTTCATTTCAGAGGACATTCTTATTATTGGTACACCAACACATTCCCAGCTATAATAGATTGGCAGTTATACCAAATCAAACAATCATTCCTAGTTGATTTCATTGAGACCAAAAATTTTAAATCAACAACCGTTTGACAGACAATCCAAACCAATGATGGAAACCCAAATTCATAGTCTCTCTTCATCTAATTCATCTTTTTCCCATTTCCTTATCTTCCCTTTTCAATCCGTCTCATCATCTTTGACTTCTTCAAATGTCTATTTAAATTTCGGTTAAACCGGAACTATTTAATCAACTGTAATTGATGATAAAATCACAATTAGACTACTGTTAAAGAGGACCTGTTAATACCAAATGATCAGGATACAAGATGGTTAATAGTTTAACAAAAGAAGTGAAAATTTACCACAATTTAGATCACATGTCAAAATCAATTTAGAATCTAATTTTTGGTGAAAATCTTCATACTATTAGAATGGGGAGAAGGAAGAGAAACAATTATTTTAGCTGAATCCATAACGTCCAAAGATTTGGTTATCACCGTATTAAGAGGGAATTCAAAATTGGTTCATTACCTTATTCCATTGAACACACATTGGAATGGAAAGTAAAAATTAAATTAACTCTATTTAGTCAGGTTGCATTGAAAAGCCTTGATATTGAAATACTGGTTAATGTTTATTTTACAATATTGTTATTGTATTTCACCATTTCTAAATAAATTACCGATGAAATATACGATAAAATTTTTTATATTTACGGATATTTTCTCAGAAAGATGCTGAAATCTTTCAGTATGAACTGATAGTCGATCACAATAAAAATATATTTGTGAAATTGTTAACTTTATTTTGAGCCATTTATGATGTACATGTATTTAAATTGTCTTGATTAAATGAGCTTCAAATTAGTGAAAATTTATAAAGTAAATTTTACTAATATTGTAACTCTTCGGATTAAATGTAAGGAAAACAGGCTTTCGATTGAACTCAAAATATCCTTTGGATTTACTTGTTTATTTGTATTAACAGATTTACAATCAAAAATTTACATTCTCTTCTCAATTCCAACATTGATCTCATCAGCGCAAAGTAAAATGGATCCCCAATCGTAATCTAAATCAATTGTGGTCGATGGTGTGACTACAAAACGATATGATTGAAGCAGTTTTGCCAGAGCCATTTTGGACACCAACAAAGCATATTTAGTACCAAGACATGCTCGATAGCCAACACCAAAAGGAATATAAGTGAAAGGTTTAATGGCATTGCGATTATCGGGGAGAAATCGATCAGGATTGAATTTTTCTGGATCAGGAAAATTATCTGGATTATGATGCATGGCATAGATAGGCATTGAAACTTTGCTTCCAGCCGGGATTACAATGCCGGTTTCAGGATGGTGATAAGTTGTGTGGCAGACGCGCTCATTGTGTGTTTCTGGTGGATCAATGCGAAGACTCTCGCTTATAACAGCGTCCAAGTATTGAGCTGATAGCAAACTATCGTAGTCAAGACTGTTGAGGGAATCAATTTCTTTGGTTAAGCGATCTTGAACGTCTTGGTTAAAGGCTAACCTCCAACTGCACCAAGCAAGAAGAGATGAACTGGTCTCAAAGCCATTGAAAAGGAGATCAACAATTGCAGCAACCAATTCAATTTCAGTCGACTGTTCAGAACTGGTCTCGTTAATGGCTATCAAACGGTTCAAAACATCAGTCTGTCTCTCGTCTTTTCTCAATCGACGAGTTTCGATCAAGTGTGTCACAAGCTTTTCCAGGTAGTCTAAAGCCTTTTTATCAAGTGCACTCAAGTGAAAAGTTTTCATGATCCATTCAGGTAGAAACATATTCATAATAAAAGCTGGAATAAAAGGTCGACTCAGGTCAATCATTTTCTCGACGATGATATTGTCTCGTGATTGATAGACGTGAGCATCTAAATTTAAACAAAATTGAAATATTGTATCACAATAATATTTAAACCAAAAGCTTTTCATTTCAATTGCATCGCATCTCTGAATCTCATCTGCTAAGGATTTAACGCACATGTCAGAGCATTTTTCAATCATGGGAAATGCCTTTCTCAACTTAGCCACTGTGAAACATTGAGTGATCTGGCCACGAGAATGTTTCCATTTGGAACCCCAAATAAGTTCAGGAAACAGTTGTTCAAGTGGATGTTTATAGCTGGAAAAGGTGAAGCTCTGAGGGAACGAATGAAACTCCTTTAAAGCAATGGTTTTGATAAACTCGGGATCGCTGACGAGCAATGTTGGTTTTGCGCCTTCAAACATGCTGAACATCAGAAAAAATAATGGAAAAAGAATGAAGGAAAATGTGTTATCTGAATATAATTTATTCAATGAATTTACTTTTGAATCAACTTCAATAAGCGTCAAACAATGACTATGTAATAACTTGAAACATAACAGTGAATAAATAATTGCTTCGCGTTTTTTATGATTAATAATTATGATTATACTGATTTGTTTTTTGTCTTTCAAGTTCGAATGAGTGTACAATGTTAAGTGTCTAAATTCACTTGGAAATTGAAATTAACTTTAAATAGAAACATTGATCTTACCCAACTATTTGGCCATACTTTTGAATCAGCTCAGTCTCAACAACATGTAATGGTCTCCGTAGGTAAACGTAAGAGGTACCAAGAAAAGGAACTGGTAATGGACCTTTTAACCCAAATTTTTTCCAATATCCATGTTTTTGTCGGTAATAACTACAATAAAATGATTGTTTTATTTGAAAAGCATTTTAAATAGCAAGATTCTTACATTAATAGGTAAAAGATGAACAATAAAATAAACCAGAAAAACATTGCTGATTGAAAGTCACTTTTTTGTTTGATTTGTTGGATTTTTTGAACAAAAAACAGTTACTTTCACGTTACTTTCATATTGAATAATTTCAAGGTTTCGCCAGTTCTTTTATAACATTAGCCTGATTATTTGAATACTAGGGATCGATCATTTTGTTGGCACTCATTGTCAATGGTAAATTACACTAATAAAGTGCTGTGATAATTTGATGCTGGACTTTTAGTAATAGAGTTCAGTGATTAATAATCACTTAGAAGATAATTTAATGACATAAGATGCATCCATTAAAAGAATGAGTTGAAACTAATGTGATTATCATGTTTCGCAGCACATCATAGCTTGATGAGCCAGGAAATTTCAGCGATTGTTAAAGAAAAATTACTATCGAAATCAGATTCGATTTTCCTTTGGCAGAGTTTCTTTTGATTAAAAAAGAAGCGCGTGCTTACAAAAATTACATTGCTAATTATATGTGGACTTTCAGCTCTTTTAACCCCAATTTTCGGGAAATCAAAAAGATTCATGCATTAGATGAAGATGTAATGTAATGAAATGAAGAAACCATGAAAAATGAAACAAAACCTTTACTTGAAACATTCATTGAAAAGCATCAAAATTAAATTTGCTCTGGCCTTTTAACATTTTGCTGGAAAATCAAAAGTTAATCAAGGTTAGCAAGTAGATCAATTAATATTTAGAATATATTAATAGATTGTTTATAATCTTCGTAAAAATTGATAGTTATCACATTCTGGTGTTTGTTTAGCTATTCAATGTGAAAATGTTAAGAGTAAACGCTAAGATTTGTTTCGTAAATCATCTGCAATTCTTATCGATTTGTTCACATTTGACGTAATAAGCAATATAAACGTATACTTGACATTAAGTAAACACTTTTTGGAGGATCAATGGTTGTAATAGAAAGTCATCAATAATGAAATTAAGTTACAATTACGTGAACTTTTCCTGTTTAAACACTTAGAGTTGAAATTTTTGAGAAAATTTTTGCGAGGCTATTAAAAGATCATTGAATCTTATTCATTTTAACTCAACTCCTCATCCCATGTAATCACAATGTTTACATTTATTGAGACAAATAATTTATGAAAGGAAATACAGTTAAACTATTAGCTTATGTACAAGTTCATGTACCCCGTGAGTCCAAATATACATGGCGTTAGCGCTAATTAAACAGATTTGTTTCTCTGATAGTTCAATAACTAAATAGGCCAGACATTTTTGCATATTTATAACACTTTAGCCATTAAAATTTTTGATACCAGATTCTGGATCATCTGCTTATTTGACCTTTGACTAACATTTGAAAGTAATTCCATTTCAACCTTTTCTTTGAATTGTAAGTTAGCATTTTGTACTATTTTTGAGTTGCTTTATTTAATTTAGATGAACTGATTGATATAGATAGAGATATTGGTTTCGATGAATATCATGGTACAATATAATTTCAAATAATTTTCATTCAGTGTAAGAATCAATTTTATTTCAAGATGGCACTTGAATATCAATTATTCAATCAGAGTTTGAGATGATTGGGATTTGTTTTGTTTAAAAGGCTGGAAAGACATGATGAAAAGGCCAGAGAATAAGAACTGAATTGATGGAGAGAAACAGAAATATGGATCAAGAGGAAAATAATGAAGGATAGAGAAAATTAACAATCAATTTGATTTTGAAAAAATTAAAACATTAGTAAAATTAGTACAGTTATATGGTCTTATCTTTTTACAGGGACTAGGAAGTGAGGCAAATTGAAAAGCCTTTTGGTTTGTCAGTGCTAAGTCACAGGTAACAAAGCTGATGATACATTTCTTGATAATAATATTAATAAATCAAATTTAATTATAAAACAATCAAAAGGCACCGAAAACTTATTAAAATGAAGACTTTAAATTTTGATTTGAGAGCGTCATGAAACTTTTTAAAGGTTGTCATCTGATGCAGCTTGAATGCTTTCATTTTGATTCCATATTATCAACGAGATAAATTTGAACTGGACGCTTGAGAGGCTGATCTAGTTACTGTGCTTATGGGTGCTGATGAGGCGTCATCACTAAGAGGTGGGCAAGCTGAGTCCATGTTTGAGAAAAGAGGGAAAACTTTGAGAATAGGAACAGAACTGAGAACTAAATTAACAGCATCCAATCTAGATAATTCTTGAAGTTTAGCAACCAAAACTGATATGGTACAAGAAGGATTGCGACAACATTCATCTAAAACTCTCCATGTAGGACTGATTGCTGTATTATTACCAGGATCTAGTTTGGGTAATTTATCAGTTAGACCTAATTTAATTCCGAGCATACACCAATCTTTACCCATGGATTCAGGTGGATCAAGCAAAGCACAAAGACGCTGTTTAGTAACCACTGGAAGATTGTTAATATGTAATTCCCCAACTAGTGTTGGATTCAAAGAGACAGGACCAAATGCTGTTGCCGCTGAAGATCCAGAGGAAGAGTTTGAATTAATTGTAGGTAAGATAACTGATGATGATATTATTGATGTTGTCATTGGTAATTGATAAAATTGAGGTTGAAAAAGATGGTGAGATGGAGATGATGATTTTATTGATGACGATGATGGTGGGACGGTTGGAATACAAGTTCCAGAAGTTTGATTGAGTCTAAGCTCAAACTCATAGGAATCTCGTGATTTGGCAAAAGCTAGATTAGTGGCTAAAGTTGTAGGTGCGCTATTGGTTGATGTTGTGGTTGCTGTTGATGGTGAATCCATATCAAAATTGAGATTATTACAGCCGAAGCTAATAACATCAGCTAATCTCTCCCCAACACCAGTGCATCGACCAGTTTCGGAGGATGGTGATACCGATGAAGAACAAGAAGAGGAAACTGAAGATATTAATGATGTTGTTAAGACTGAGGATTCAGTTAATGATAAAGACTCTTCCAGAGGACGAGAAGATCTTAGGGCAACGTCAATTAATTGTGAAGGAGAATAGGTTAAAGGGTGAAGCTTATGTTTGGCCAGTTCAGTAGGACTCATGTAATGTCGGTGGATGAGAAGCGCTGGAGCCATAGAACCGATCGAAGATTCAATGAGTGATAAAAGGTCATAAAAAAAGTGGAAAGCATCTAAAGGTTTGGATCGAGGACCAACAACTCTTAATTCAATGGCTTCGTATTGCAAAGAGCAGGAAAGTATGGCGGGCATAAGGGTTGCTGTTAAAGGTCCAAAATGTAATTTAACTGTATTACAAAATTGTTCCAATTTCAAGGAATTATCGATATCATTATTCTCTTGGACCAAAGATCGTAAAATTGTTTGAAGTCGAGGGAATAGGCAGGTTAATAAAGTGCCAGATGGAGTATCAGGATCACATTGTAATCGGATTCCAGCCATCAGAGTATTATTTGGATTATTAGATTCTAATCCCTCCGCTGGTGGCCCAGGTGAACTCGAATTAATGTGATGATCACGATGATGATGATGTTCCTCCAGTGAATCAGCAATTAGTAAAGGACTTTCAGGCCTTTCTTGCTTAATAAAATAAGGGAATTCATATTCGATGTTTTTATGTTCACCTAGTAAAATAAAAAAATAGATTATTATTAATTTGTCGATAAATAAACAAATTGATTTGACAAATTACCTTTACTCATAAAGTCTCCTTCAGAATCACATTGAGTGCATAAAGATAGACTCTCTAATACTTGAAGTAAATCTAGAGCGTCCATTGACGGGAAAAGATCTTGAATCTCATCAACAGTGTACCTTCCTGAAATTGGACTTTTCAATATTTGATCTTCACAAAGAAGATTGCCGATAACGGTAGATGTTAACCATTTGGGACATAGAACAATAAGATCTTGATCATTTTTTGATTTGAGGTAAAATATTTCTCCAATGGAGACAAGTTGACGGACGATTTGATTAACATGTTCCTCTCCTGTAAGAGGATTGATCTGTTCACGAATCATGGAAACTAATTGATTATATGTTAAAATGGGGAAATTTGATAGTGCTTTTCGCCAATGATTTAAGGCACTCATAACTGATTCTAAAAGGCCGCTTGAAGGTGGCAATATTTCTAAAATTTTGTTCTTGACAATGGACAAGTAATTTTTAAATTGTTTCATGGCTTGGGAGCCAACAGCATGAGAATCCATGATGAGAACTTGATCGTGAATATCGAAAATGTTTGAAAATTTTTCCATGACAACTTGGTAAACAGTGGCTACTTCTCGATTCACATAATCGGTTGGGGACGAAGCTGTAGATGAACAATTGTTAGCTGCTGGATAGGCATGGAAATTTGGCCGAGAGGGTAACAGATCAGCATGTGTTGCAATCAAGATAACTTTGGCTGGAAATTGGCTTTTACCTCCAAAAGCTAAAGGCTCTACAACGGGGAGACGACTTTGCAAGAAATGAAGCCAATACAGGACTTGGTTCATTTGAATATCAAGTCGATCACAGGCACGAAATAATATGGCATGGACACAATTGGTTTCTGCAAGAAAATGATCATAAATTTGGAGATAGCTTTCACAGCCTGAAAAGTCCCAAACACTAAGATCACCGACTCCAGAAGGGGAAATGGTTGAAACATCTATTCCTCGAGTAGAGTTTTCATGATGTAGGCTACTACAAAATTCAAATGACCCATGGAAATGACCATTAATTCCATTAGCTGCACCAATGCTGCCATGAGTTGAGTGTTTACCATTACCATAAGCGATTGAAGAAGTAGCGATGCTACTGGTACTACTGCCAATACCACTGGTGGCAGAACTACTTGAGCCATTACTACTTGATCCAGCAGAAGAGGATGAAGATGAAGTAGCAGTGGTTGGAGTTAGAGGAGGTGATGCATCAAGACTAGACTTAGAAGATGACATTGAGTTTTTGCTTAAAACTGAACGTTTACCAATACTTGGAAGTGAGGCAACCACTGCTGAAGCTGCAACTGTTGTTACACCACGAGAGGAGCGGCGAAACCAGCTTGAAAAATAGCCACATTTCAACGATTCAACTAAAGTTGTCTTGCCAACTCCTGAGTGACCTAGAAGCTTAAGTTTAACACGAGTTAAAGGTTCACCGGAGGGCATCAATGACTGAATATAGTCTGATCGAATGGTTTCGTTTTTAATTGACACCAGTAGGTCAGCAATATCCTTGTATCCTTGAGCCAGAGCAGAGATTTCAGCAGTTATTCCATCACGATTCTTTTGATCAATCGTACATGATGTTAAACATAAAGTACGGACTATTTCAATGTGACCATTTTTAGCAGCCAAATGAATAGGATAGAGTCCAGATTTGTTGCAAACATTGACCGAGCAATTGAGTGAACATAAAGATTGACAAACAGAGAGGAGACCTTCTCGAGCAACAATATGGATTGCCCTTTCTCCAATGGAATCAGCGATCTCAAAATTAGCTCCTCCATTGATCAACATCAACGCCACAACGATATGATGACGACGTAAAGACAAATGAAGAGCAGTGCATCCATTCTGTAGACAGAATACAAGTAAATTTGAAAATTAGCATATTAATAACAAATAAAAACAATGAGTTTAAATGAATAAAATAGGTTGATAGTTTGAAAAATAACGAATGAATTCGTGGTGCAGTCTAAATAAAGCATATTTTTGGAATTATTAACTGGATGTTAAGTCATCAAAGTCAAATTGATTGAAAACACAAAAAGATTGGTGAAGATTCCCTAGAAATTGGTTTGCAAATCTCTTCATTTCAATCAAAGTGAATTATTCATTGCCTTTTCTGTCAAAATTTCAGCATTGACCTTGCGATTGAATCCTTTAGTAAAAAGATTCAATCAAAATTGAAAAAATTTTATTCTATATTGCTTCAGATGCAATGAGTTGAACAAATGAAATTGAAAAAGTTCCTGATAATGATGTTAATCTTGATTATGTGAAAGTAAGAAAAGATTTTCACTCTGACAAGCTTGAAAGTTATTTAAGAAGCATTTAAAATCAATTAAGGACGATTTGACGAAATATTTCAGGATTCATGAGATTAAGAAGATGGCGTAAATCTTTATACTTAATGATCATAATGATGATGACTATATGTAAAGGTGGCAGACAATTGGTGAAGATTGATTTTATTTAATCATTGAAATATTAGGCTCTCATGGGTGTAACTAAGAGTCGGAGAAGAAAAGTAAATTAAATCTGAGCTGATTGATGAGAAAAATGAAATCGATAAGTTGATTGCTAATTCTATGACCGATTTCTTTTTCATCGCCAACACCATTGTCTTTTCACTCATTTCATCTGTATCAATCATGAATTACTACTCAAAAAGGTAGATGAAACAAGTTATGTGTTTCATCTCTCCATTGTCCATCATTTAATCGTGACGATTGGGTGAAAAGTCATCTTTTACTGTTTTAGCTATGAGAAAGTATCCATAATGTATAATAAGAATTTTGAAGAGTCTATTGATAATAGACTGGAGGTAATTAAACTTAGCCATGGCTTTAGGGAAGGAAATAGAGTTGAGTCAACTTATAATAAGGTTAATCAAGCTTAAAATCTAATTAAATTAGTTAATGATCACCCATCATTTGATTAGTATAGTACCATTCAATCACCTCAAGTGAAGAAAAGTGAAAAATTTCAATTTATAGTGAGAAAGTGAATAGTCAGCATAAATTATCGTCAATTCGATAAATTGAAGTGAATAAAGACGAAGCAAGTAATTATGAAGAAAAGGACATTGACCGAAGCTTTAAAATGATTGACCATTGCTTGGATGGCTCTGCCATACTTCAAAATTGCAATTATTGTTTAAATAAACTATCTAATGAACTTCGTATATCAAAAGAGTGGCGTAATTAAAAGAAAACATTAACACAAACAGTTCAATTTAACTAGCAGTTTATAGCTTATATCAAAGCTTCTTTGCAAACACGTATACGGTGAGGTAATTGTTTGCTATTGTGGTGGTCATCAGCTTCGGATTTTTTTCTATCAATTGTTGAATAAGTGCATATTTTGATTGATGGACAGTAACAATCTATGTTGTAACTTTACAATTGTAAATGAGTTTCAGGCTCTAAATTGGTGTAACTTTCTACCAGGTTCACTATTGTTTGACAGATTAGACATGGTTTCACCTCACAAAAAAACAATCAAATCCAAATAATCCACATTTCAAGAATAATGAATTAAGATGGTTAAATGGCGATTGTTATAAACTAACCTTATCGAGAAGATTCAAATCAACTCCAATCTCAAGTAAACAACGGACACTTTCAATGTGACCTCGAGCAGCAGCACAATGTAGAGCAGTTTCATCCTCCTAATGACAGGTCAAAATCATCAACATCAGGGTTATCATTGTGATCAGCGCCAATTTTAGGTCCAAATTGAATTGTTAACGAGTGATGAAAAAAGAAAGACAAATACATTAGAATTAACATTTAGAATCAAGCATCTTCACTATAATCATGAAGGAATGGACACTAATTAAGGTAAACTCTAGTTGTAACGTTCATAGGGAATAACTGGAGATTACTGTTATAATAAAACAGAAGTTTTAAACTTACCTTATTTTTAACATTTGCGTGGGCCCCAACTTCACCTAGAACATGAACGATTCTGGGAAATCCATGCCAAACCGCAATATGGAGAGCAGTTTCGCCATGCTGATAAAAGAGAGAATAAAAAATGTCGTTAAAACATGAGAAATTGGTCAAAAAGGTTTATGTTAAAAAAGATAAAGAAAATGAAATGAAAAAACAGACAAATAATGAACGAATGATGAATAAGAGTTTAAACGTTGGTAACAAAAAAAGTGAAATTGCTTTCATTGGCGGCCATTAAAAGGAGAAGGATTATTTTTCTTATCTTTTCATCGCGCTCTTTTATTTTCAGTTGCAATTTTCCCTCGTTTTTACATAACATATTTTTCTTTGTTGGTTAACAATTGATCTCAATTTCTTTCTGATTTCATATTCATCTTGAACTTAATCACCAATTCAGTTAACCATCAACTTTTTTTGCAAATGGTGCCTCCTAACTTTCAACAGTTAACCGTTTTCTTCTCTTGTTAATCAGGCTAAACATCCATCTTATACACAACAATGAATATATGTTAACTCATCAAGATGTAAGTTTTCTTGTATACACTGGTTATGAATTGAGCTGATTTCTGGGTGAGTGTATATTGGAGATGAAGCAGGAGCGTTCATGTCCGAGATTGCAACAATTATGATGAAGATGAATTATCATGAATAAAAATTGACTTGAGGAAGCCAGATTATGCCATTAATAAGAGGAAAAAACTTGTACCCAATCATCAAAATTTCAACAATAATCAGTCAAGTTTTTGTTGTGGTTATTTCATGATGTTTATCAAGTTAATTATTTTTGCTCTGATTGTTCGGTATCCATTTGCAAACTTGGCTTTTTCGAGCATTTAGATGAGCAAAATAAGTTATTAATTACTGCCCCAGGTAGTTGATGATTACTGTTTTCATGTGGTATTAGGATCAATTTGCTGTTTACTTTCGGATTATAATAACAAGCTAATAATGTATATGTCAATCACTACATAATCACGAATGTTAACCTGTTAATAAAGCAAGATGAAACCTTAATTGCCAAATTAGAGGCAAGGATCGTCCTAAAGGTAAGAAATATAATAATTTTTTGTCATTTCTCGTTCAACCCAACCTTTTTAATAATCTATTTTAAGGTTTATTTGAGACAAAAACCTTGTTTTGATCCAATTAAATTAAATAGATTTATTTATTGTCTTAGTTGTCTGTCTTTATGCATTTCTCTCTCACAAGAAAGTCGTTTTATTGACTCCAATCTAAACGATATTGCCGCAATATCCCTAAATGGCGGATTTATAACCCCATCTTCCTAAAATGTTAACCTTTATTTATTCCAACTAAATCATTTTTCTTCTTACAGACTTTCAAATTGCTCAAACATTATCTACATTTGTCTGCTCTTAATTATGAATAATGATTGTGATCTGACTACAGCTGGCAAAACAACACGATAATGATGAAGTTTAAACAGCGATGGTTCAAGTCAAGCAAACTAATCAAACCGTTCAACACATCATTCTCCATGGTTCAGCTAGCTTACTCATGAAAAACTCTTCTGTATCCCGGAAACCTGATACTTTCAAAGTGGAGTCATCATTTTTCAACTATTCTAAAAATTGACAGTCAACAGCACACACACAAAAAAGATGCCAGTAACATTTCAACTTGAAGATACGATAAAAGATGAAAACACGCAGCAATCACTTCATAGAATAAATGTTGATTCCTGGATTCCACTGTTCATCATCTTGCAAAAACCTTGAGCTTGCCATTGTTTACCAGATTCACCATTCTTAAAAGAATGTCTTAAATTAGAGGCGAACGATCAAAAGAAAAGAAATACAAAATACTAAATAGAGACAAAATAAGAATGGACTTCAGAACCAGCCCATTCGCTACAAGCTGAAGGATTCATGTAGCGAAAGATAAAGGTGAAAAAAGGATCGCAAGGAAACGTAATAAAGGACAGTCATGAAGATGTTATGATAACTATAAGAAAAGCAGGAAAAATTGTCCTTTCAATGGTTTAACAAAAGTTAAACTTACATCGTCCGCCACATTAACGTTTGCACCACATTTGCATAACTGTTCAATAGCATCGGCGTGTCCGTAACGTGCAGCTACATGGACTGCAGTCTCGCCAGCCTGGTCAAGAAAATAGAAGAAAACCATAAAATTAGCTCACCTCTACCATCATCTTATACAAAATCATACTCTACAAGTACTATATCCAACAAAGCATATTATTTCAGAATACAATTTTATCAATAACATCAAGAAGAATTGAGCTAAAACAATTTATAATTTTATATTCTCTATTGTCCTTTATCCTATCATTTCACTGAAAGCACGTTCAAAAAATTACTTTTGTTTCGTTATCTTTTGATATGCAGATAATTCACGATAAATCATTTTTGGTTCATCATTAAATGGCTTACCTTATTTTTACTATCAACATTCAATCCCTTCTCATAAAGATAACGGATAACCTGTGTGTGTCCTTGCCTTGCTGCCCAATAAATAGCACTGTCACCATGCTGTTGAATCAAGAAATCAAAACAAATTCCGTTAAAGTATACAACATTGACATCTTTACGAAAACTTATGACAAATTCAACTTACATTATCGACTAGTGTGAAGTCAGCACCTTTTTTGATTAAAAGTTTGAGGATTTCCAATTGTCCCAAACCAGCCGCAATATGAACTACCGTTTCTCCATGCTAATTGTTTAAAGATGCAAGCAAACATAATTAAACGATGTGTTTCCAATCGAGAATAAGTAAAAAAATTGATAGAGTAAATGCTTTTAATTACTGTAAGATATTTCAATGTATTTTGAAATGCAAATCACATTTACAAGTAGCTTCGCCAGAGATAATTGCCATTTTCCAGAGGTAGCACCCAAAGGTCAGGGTTAATTGTTGAAAATTATAGTCTGATGTTAATTTTGTTAAATACAATGAAGAGAAAATGAAATGAAATTTTCACAACGATTAACATCAACAGACAATTAAACAGTTAACCTTGTCCATTCAATGCAATTCCTTCTTTAAATGAAAACTATCTCTGCCTTTCCTTGTGATTAACTTAACCTTCAACAATCTAATTATCCATCCTAAAACAGAATAATATTTTCTACTTGAGACATTATTAGTGTCAAATATATAAAAATATTCCCGTTTTCAACTAAAATTTTACTCTTTTTTTGCAATTTAAATTATAGAAACCGCTACTAACCGTATTCGCCTGGTTTATATCAATCTTGGACATGTTAACAAGCTCTTGGAGTCCATTGAGATTACCTTCTTCAACGGCACCAAACAGCGCTGCCAGAACAAAGTTTTCATCTTGCTGTTGAAATTGAAACAAAAATAAATCAAAAAGGATACCAGATTAATATCGTAAATACAATTCACAAAATTACTTCTTTTGTTTTGCTTCGTACAATTCAGTTGATTCAATTGCAATCATATCTCTTTAGAGTAAATTAACAGTAAGCTGGAAAGGGTCAAGCAAACGGAAAACAATTTCAAAGCCTTTTGAATCAGCAATAATACAAACAGTAACAATTAACACGATTATCATAATCATAAGCGAAACAAACTTGGTGAAGTTCATTGTTAACAATTTAATTCAATTTCAAGCAAAGCGAAGAAAGTTTTTTTTGTTCATTTTCATTCATTTTAAATGATGATTGTACGATTTGGAGCTTCTTTTTATTCCCAAAATGAACAAAAACAATTCTCTTTTCATTTAAAATTCTGTTATTCTTAATGATCTTCATTTTTTATCTTTTTAGGTGTTGATGAACAGTAACCCACCACCAACAACTTGAAATTATTAACATCACAAAACGTAATATTTTCAACAACAATGGTTTTAGGTCAGCCAAATGTTCATCTTACTGGAATCAATTTGGTCCAATAAGTTAATGAATATCTATTAATTCATAAATTGTGGGAAAAGGTGCAAAAATGAACCCAAATTTGAAACGGATTACATAAGCAAATGGATCATGTTGGCAGGTTTGTCAAAAGACACTTAACACCATCATAAATGGTATAAAGAATCGAGGAAAATATCATTATTTTCGTGTTAATCAACGGAAAGAAAGGCGATAAGCAAAGATGAAAAACCGCAAAATATTTACAATTACTTATTGGAGAGATTGGATTAAATTCAAAGTAATAACAAGCTAAAGAAATGCAGCAAACTCGCAACTCTAATTGCAGTCAAATTTACAGTTTAAATTATCAAATTATCATCATCACTAGCACCATATAATGAAAACAATGGAACCCGAAAACATCATTATTACGTATTCCTTTCAAATGAAGCCTTTACATCATTCAAAGTGAACCCATCTTCATCGTCATTATGACTGACCAATTATAATAATAACACACATCAAAGTCATAAGTGTGTGGCGATTTGTTAACATTAATGCGTTGGAGGACAGTGATTAAGAAGATAATATAATTGGTGTTCTGTAAACTATAATTAAAGCCTATTGAACTTTCATAACAACGAGGTTAAAAGTTATCTCACGATGAAGTATTCAGATGAAGATGAACAAGAGTGAAAAAAAACATTGATAATCAACAATCTGAGCAATTGTAAGGAGGCTAAAGACCACGAGGATGAAAAAAACAAACGATTCAAGAGGTTTCAAGATTCAACATTTAACCTGTAAACGGTTTCTTGATTACAATTGGACAGTCAAGCTTGAAACCCAAAATTTGGTTAAATGTCGCCCAACCTGGACCAATTACAACCAAAATAACTTGCCTCCGAGGTGACTTTACTTACAAGAAAGTGAATCTCATCAAGTTCATTAAAAATCGCAATATTTAAAATTTATAAATAGCTCAGGAAAAGGTCATCAAAACTAGTATCAAAATTTTTCATCAAAATTAGCAAAAAGTTACATTTAAATTGCCTGTAAAACCCTATTATCAGGTCACTTAAAGCTCAAATTTTTCAGGCGTTTCAACTTTACTTTCTCAAGAGAAATGTACTTTATTATCCAGAAAGTATTAATTCATGAATTTTTGTATATTTATAAATGATACCATTTAAATGTTCATTTTGTGTAGGCTGACAAAGTAAACTATGGTTTTTTGCTGATAAATTGCTTCAACGTTTCAGGTAAAGTATCATTTTTTTCAACAATATTTGAATATAATTTGGTTCAGAAAAAAGATCAATTCACGAATTTATCGTAACCTTTAATTTTTATTTTATTTTCCCGTTTATTTTCATTCTCAAGCAGACATAATTTCAATTCTGGTGTTGGTATGAAGAGGATAAAGGCAATTCTCAGATTCTCAAGAATATAAAGCATTTCTCTTGATCATCAATTATAATAATTGTAAGTTTAAAAGATTCTCATCGTCAAAACTGAACCATTATTAACATTACTATTGTTTTCACTTCCGAAGTACACAAGGAATTCCTATTCACGGAATCAGAAAAAAAGAGGATGAAATTGGAACAGGTTCAACTGATGGAAACAATGAAATACATTCGCAACTGACACTGAAAACGATAAATCTAAATTAATTAGCAAATTGAAAGATGGATCCATGGAAAAGCATGTAAAGTTTGAGCAATTGGCACACCTAATAACAGATTCATTGTAAAAAATATTCATTTCATCCTTCAAACAGATGCATGTTCAATGGATCCATGTCTGTCAACACCCAAAACCCTGTTTTTTCAACAAAAAAAACCAAAAGAAAGGAACAGAAATTTTCCTTTTGAAGGTAATAATGTTAAAAAAAGGTTTATAATAATTTGATTGCTATTTTATTTGTACAATAATAATCCTAATGATGTATTGAATTGTTGAATACAAGGAAATGTACATTTACCAATAGCTTGAACCTTTAGTTCAACAGGTAATTGAAAAAATAATATTTTAAAACCAGTATTTTTGTCTTGTTTTGTCTCATTTACAATCAACTAATTTAATTTGTCTTTTAATTATCCTTTTAGTCTTTCAAGCAGAACAATTTAACCTCTCGTCAGTTTACTTAATAACATGCATCCTAAAAACAACACAAATTACACTTAAATTACATGTAAAACACCATTATTGCAATTTAATTTAATTTTTCTGCTTCAATTTGGTCTGTTAACCTTCAAATAATACCTTTAATCTGGTTCCAGCTTTATCGACTAAGGAAATTCAATTTGAGATTATTGGATAATTTAATGATGGATTCAGTTTTAATGGAATTGGCCGCTGTTGGAAGTGACAATCAAAGTTAATCAGTTGATTCATTTAATTTACTAATTGCTGCAATTGCTGAGCAAAGCACAGACAACAAGCCTGATAGATCAACAATTTCACATCGCTTATGGATCAGTCTAACATGGATCTTGCAAGAAAGCCAAAAGCTAAACCAAAAGCTAAATATAACGATTTACAGAAAACAATTTAGACATTCCAAGATAATTAACTGTAAAGATGTAAATCAGTGATCAATTGATGTTAACTTGGAGCAAACTATAAACCAATCTTAATCTGAAAAACGGTTTAACCCAAAATCATTCAATTACGGTTTACAATATTTTGCTGAAACAACAGCTTTTTTCATTCACGATTCTGGTAATAGATTGTTTCAATTGGTGGTTTTGAGGTTATTCATTATCAATAATTAACAATTATGAATAACCATGATCTTCATCAAAGATAATCATCAAGAGTACAAAAAAGATGAAAAGAAGGGCTAAAAATGGCAAAATTTCATTGACGTTTCGCTTCAAGTTTATCTGATGGCAATATTTCAGTGATTTGATGAAGAGAAGGAAGCAATTTGAGCTGACAATTTATGGTAACAATTAACATTGCAAGATAAATTGTCATTAAACAATTGAAACTTTTGCTTTCAAAGGTTAACCAAACAAGTAAAGCATGAAATTTTGTTTCACTGTTTAACCTTAAATAGAGGGACAAAAAAAGGTCACTGACTTGGGTTCTAAATCATATTGTATCATATTGTAACCCTTTAAATAGTAAATGAAACAATCATAATAATCATTATTATCATTTCAATTAAAAGTAAATTCAATGAGATGGAAGTGAAATTGGAAGAAATCAAAGGAAAGTTTCAGTTAGCAAATCAACTTTTTGATTTGGATGATTAAGTTTTTGATTAAAAAACCTTTTCCACTTTACTTTCTCATGATAAGTCTGAGTTATTATTTCAACCTCTAACTGTTATTTTACTAAAATAACTTGCCAGCTGATTTTCACCATTTAGTTTCATTGTTTTCCTCACAATCTCTTGTCCATCTCAACCTTCTTGTACCATTTAATTGCAATTGTTTCTTCAAATTCAATTGTTTAATATAATTTTGGATTAAATTTCGTTTCTCTTTTCCAAACTCTTTTAGAATCGACATGGCAAGACAATTAACAATTCATCGAATCAGCAAACTGATAGATTTACATGAACATAGTCACAGGTTCATTAAACCTTCGTATTTATCTAGGAATAACAGTTATCTGTTTACGGAAAGATGAACACATTGTAAAGACTGATTACCTGGAAACACTTAACTCAATGATAACTATCAAAGCTTCTTAATGTTGGCAATGTTGGAACTGTTCATTTTGGCAACAATTAGAAAGGTGAAATTACTCAACAAGTCATGATAATTATGATGATGATTAAACAAGAAGGTAATTCATCATCAATCGTTCAACAATGTTAATACATTAGGATTCTTGTTTGACCATAAACATCACGAATTAACCATTTAACCAATCAACAAGAATTCATTTGATACAAAGTTTATTCAACGATTTGATGGAAAAAAAATGTTTCACATGGAAGTCGGAAGTTGACAAGCAGAGGAAGTTGAACCCAAATCAAAGCTGATTAGTGAACAGTTGAAAGGTTGGAAAAAAAGAGATCGACATTTGACGGATTTCGGTAGGAAATGAAGTTCACCAAGTTTTTACCCCAAGAAACACGAAAGGGTACAAAAGGAGGAAAGGCCAAAATTGATGTGTGTTATGATTGATCAGGAGTGGGTGAAGGCAGGAGATAATTCAGTGAAGATGAAGGGATGGAAAAGCGGAAGAAGGTCGAGTTAACACGTTGAGGTGATCAAGATAATCATTAGCTGTGTTTAGTGTTGTGTTAATTTAGTTGAGAAAACATTTTTCATTCAAATAAGACAATGGATTAAGGTTGACAAAATTGAACAACCAAATGAGTTGAGAAAATTTTGCCTTTTTTTTGCTCATCTCATTTGTTTTATTGTAACTGTGTGAAAACATTTCATGATGTTACCTTGGAATGAGAATGAAAAACGAAATGAACATTTCATGCATTTCAAAGTTGATCTTCTTTATGATTAACTTTGGGTTAACTTGGTCTCACCATGAAGACTAACATTTTGTCTTCAACAGTATAATTGAAATTACACTTAAGGTAAACATTTAAATGATTGTTTCACCTTTTATTTTCACAGATTAAGTTGAATGATTGGTGAAAGAAACCAGTAAATTGAGATAGTTTATTAGATTAATCATGAGACAAATGAATGATCTCAATTGATGGTTAAAGAAGGTTAAACAAAGCATCAGATTGTTAGCTAATCAAGTATTTAAATTGACCAAGAATAGAGATTACAATTGGATAATTGTATTAAAATAAGATCAAAATGAACTTTCAACTTGGGAAACCTTTTCATTGATTTCAAGTCTTTCAACCTAAAATGGATTAACTAAAATTAAAGGTTCCACTTTAACCAACAAAACCAACAATTATTCAGGGGTTCAATGGACAATTCAACCTAAAGAGTTAACAAATTGCTCGGATTGGAAACGATTGGCAGATGATTGAATCTTTGTTGTGACTAACCATCAATCAAACACAGGATTGGCTTTACCTGAAAGGCGCTTAGGTGATCTAAGATTTCTTGATTTTCAAAAACAAACCTTGAAATAATCGGGAAACACAGAAACACAATTACTTGATAAACCACTTTTGAACCAGACTTGGAAACCAGAAAATCAAATGAAATGGGAAAATATTAAGAAATTAAAGGAAAGTGAAATTGCGATTGAATCAAAGACTATTTTCATCGGTATATTTGTAATTAAGGGACAGAAAGTGATCAAAACTGGTTGTCAAGGAAAGGTGAATCATTACCGTTATTATTTCAATCAGGTTTCCATCAACTATCAGATTTAACTAAACAAATAAGGTCACCAAACATGATTTGGTTTACTGAGTTAGTCAATGGAAAAGATTAATCATTCAAAATAACTGTAATTGTAATCATGATAATTGGTAAAAAATTTTCAACATTTGCATCATTCAATATTAAACCATTTTCCCATATCAATCATTCAATGTAATTATTAAATTGTATAAACCATTAAATATAACGGCAGGCTTGAAATTACAGACAAAAATATAAAACGTTTTTACCAGTTTTTTAATGTCTTCAGCAATACATTTGACCTGGTCAATCGTTTTTTGCTGTGATTTACAGATTTGACTTTTTTTATTTCCAATCAATTTAACAATCTTTTAATCAATTAACCAATTCTTGTTTTTCACTTGATTAACTAATGATCATCATTTAATGATTGATTGAGGGAAAAAAGACGATTTCTAATAATACAATGTAAAAACACTATCAGTTATACCCTCAAGTGGCTTAACATTGAATTGGTATTTGGTTGTCGTTTGAATCACAATTGTCTAATAATTAGTTAACTTCAATTTGATTGTTATGATAATTCAAAGCAATCAGCTATTGATAATGATTTGAATTGCAATACCAATTTCTTGACAATAAGTAGGCCTCTTCATTTCATTGAGTTAACCTTTCCAATTAATTGATAGTTAATTTCAAAGGTGATTTAAGTTTAAGAAGATTTAGAAAGACCCAATTAATGGTTGACCAATCTAGCAGTTAATTAAAACTGACCATAAACTGTGAAGCAAATTGTCGACAGTCGACAGTAAAACTGTAAAAGTCAGCCTTTTGAAAATATATTCATTCGGTTGTTGAATTATCAGGTAAAATGTACGATTAGACTTAATTGCCAGTGATAAGTTACGATTAAACTGATATGAGATTCAACCGTCTTTTTGGGTAAACAAAGCCAGTTGGATAATAGTCTGACATTGTGAATGTAAGTCTATCCTAAGAAGATATATTTTACCAGTAAATTTGATCTGTTGAGTTATGATTGCAATTTACAAGGTTGATGAATATGATCAAGTGTTGATTGTTGTAAAATAATTACAATCAAATTACATACCAATGTTGATACAACTGTAAAATCAGAGTCATCATTTGTAGTCTCTTGATCAAAATAAACTGTATCCTCATTGGTTAAACTGTCTCGTGAAATATTTGAATGTTTATCCATTTGGTTGTTGATTGTAAAGATGATTTACACCATTAATAACAATTAAAGTAACAATTATTCCTCATTTGGCACAGAAATTGAAATTGAAATAAACAAACGATTCAAGAAACATAGAGGTTCATGAAAACAGAAGCAACATTTTGGTTTATACTGTATCTACAGATACGGAAAGCATGGAAAGCACAAAATTGTTGAAAGCAAATAACATTTAAACGATATTTAGCAATCAATTGAAATCATGATATCAACAGGATGAATGATTCAAATGGTTATCGAGATGTTAATGAAAAAAAAGTGTGATGATAAGGTTGATAAGTTGATCGGTTAAAAATGGGTTTTGGTTAAAATGGGTTTTAAGTGGATGTAAACATAGCAAGCTTATGGGACATTTGTAGTGTTGACTGAAATTGAAAAGTGGAAACTAAAAGTTGCAAAAAGGACAGTGAAGATGATGATGATGATGGTTATGAAATGTTCAACTGAGAAATGAAGGAAAATGATAAACAGGATTGGGAGGGAGAAAGGGAGAAAGACAGAGAGTAGTTAGTGAGAGGATAGAGAGATGGAAGATAGAAAAGGGAGACTTTTTTTTGTAAGGTTGACCTGAATGTGTAAGAGTGAATCTATTGAGATTTATCTTGAAGTTGAATACAATTTGGAGTAAAAATGTATTAAATCATCGACAAAGTAATCAAGTAAATCATGTAAAATGATGAGAATCATGGATAATTAAAATTAATTTGTAATCGATAAGGTAATCAATATTAATGGCGAGTAAAAGACAAGTCAAGGTTTACAAGAAGCAGTTTAATGTAAAACTCAACTTGGTTCCAGTATTGGAGGGACACACAATTTGGACAGTTAATTGATTACAGTAACATGTTAAATCCTACTGTAAGTAGGCAAGATGAAGAGGAGACCTTTTTTTAGTATAAATGGACATTCTTGTCTTCCCTTGAAAAGTGAGCATTTTTACCAGTTATTTTAGGTATTTTTGGGTTAGACAAGAAGCAAAATAAGAAGCAATGTTTAACGTCTTAAACCAGAGAGAGTGAGGTTGACTCGTTGTGAGGTAATCTGGTGAAAATGGTAAAAACAGGTTTCAAATTGAAACTGTTGGTTGAATCATCGGCTACAAAAGTACAGCCAATCGTACTGATAATGATGTTCACTGATTCATCATTGCTTGAGATGTTTGCTTTTGTTTTGATTCTCCTTTTTTTCTGGTATTCTTGAGTTACTAATGGTAGAGCTTTGGTTACATAGTAACCCAAATGGTCCAATTGCCTTTTCATTGGGTTACCAGGGTGATAACATTATGATAATGTTTATTATAATCAATAACAGATTAAGACCAGCAAGAAAAACCAGATTCAATGCAATGCCTAGTGACCCTAATAACCTTAATTTAGTGTCACTTGATTGTGATCAGGTTAAATTGATTTAAAATACAGTAACGAGGTAAAAATGGTTAAATTGTTTTCACTTTTCTTTACATTTCAATTGTTCCAATATTTGGTTAACTAATTGCCACAATCACTAATTGTCACTAATTGTTTACAAGACAAGGTTACTGATGAATATGTTAATCTAATTCTTGGGTCAGTAAATGTCCAACTTGACAAACCTGTCAATGATAAACTCAACATTTTTATATTTTTGAAGCCCAAATTTGTTTGTCATGAAACAATCAAAAGTAATATTTTACAATTTAAATCAAAGGATAAATACATTTGATCCAGATTAAATTGTTAATCTAAATTGATGAAGACTAAAAGCAATCATTTCTCCTGTTATTACCATCAACTGATTCACTCCAGGATTAAGTATAATCATAAATCGTTAGAAAGGTTTCTTTTTTTATTGATCATCATTTAAAAGTTAACCATTGAAATCAATCAAAATATTGATAATTTAACATCACAACCAAACCGGTGAATTGATTGAACCGTATTAAATGACAAAAAGTGTAATAGTTGACTCTAATTCAAGCTGACAATTTTCATTACCGACATCTTTGCTTCTCACTGGATAACCGTTAATGTGACAAATTTCAAATTTAAATGCTATTGATGGTAACGATCATCATTATGATGGAGACCAAAATTAACGGTTTATAAAGTTATCATAAAGGTGAATCTGGTTGTGTACAATTGTGATCAAGACACAATCTATTTGGTAATCTTAAAGGCGTACAATTTTTGCGGTTAACTGAAAATTAATCAACAATCCATATCACCATGAATTAGTAAATGTTGATCAGTACCGATTTGTAGGTAAATGGTAAAACCAATAACCTAATCCATTAAATGACAATTTACCGAAAAAGTAACAATGATTGATCATTTGTATTGCCGAGACAAATTAATATAAATTGAGACAAAATCAATTTCATAAAGCAACTGGTCAACATTGAAACAATTTGGTAAACAATCGTCTATTTACAGGTTTTGTCAATTCAGATTGAATCATCATTAAGATTTATGGTTTGAGTTAATCATCAAAAGGTTTAATCATTAGACCATGATTAAGAGACTTAAATTGATCAAAGTAGAAAGCTATTAATTTAATGTTCAACATTGATTAACATTTAAGCGCCAATCAATCAACCAGCAATCTTTTTTCATGAAAAGCTAAACTTCAAGTTTTCATGTTACAACCAAAATCAACTTTAAGATTGACAATTTTTTCAATTGTTGATAAACTAACAAACAATAGTCTTGCAGCAATTAGTTGATTGTCTCTAAACAATCATTTCGTCGTTTATTTGATTAGTGACAAAACTCATCAAAAGTGACTTCTGTAATTAGCCGATGAAAAGCGGTTAAGAATCAATATTCAGTTCCGAGTCAAAGTCAACCTACTGAAGGTATTGATTTGAAAAAAAAGTTGAAGGTAAAGTGAAAATTAGTTAGTGAAGGTTAACCATTCAATATTGACCTTAACAAGTTGAGGTCAATATTGGTTAACCTTGCTTATTATTTATAATCAAAATAATTAAATTATCTAATGGCCTCATTTGATAATTATGTTATCTATGCAATCGATTGTTGCTCATTGTAAGATTTAATGACAGTTTTTGAGTTGATTTGAAAGGAATTGAAGGATTGTTGAATTTGCCTGAAACAGTTTACTGTGATTATCGGCTGAAGGAATCAATTTTTCATTAGATTATTGTTGCTACCAACAAAATGGTTAACGGCTCAGATTTATTGAGATAAGAAATATTAAAACACCATAAATAGTAAATAAAATTGTAATTCATTGGATTTAGATTACCAGATTTGGTTGAAATTGAGCAAGTTTGATAAAACGGTTGAATGTGAACAAGCGAATATCAAGTTAAATTGTTCGAGTTGAAATTCTTTTTTATAACAAAATTTAATGTTAAGGGTGAGGTTTAACAATTACTCTACTGATTAGTGCATTTCAACCACAATAAAAATACTGAAATTTGTTTACCAATTGCGATTTAACGTTGATTTACACATAAAAATACACTCCCAACACCAGTCAATTGAAATTGAGATTTAATCAAAATCGAGTGAAATCAAGATCATTACAACTAAGTTAATATCTGTTTATGCTGAATAACTCGAACAATCAAAATGAATAATCGGGTTTGTATCAAAATTTCACTTATTTTTACATTTTCAATGCAAAGACCAAGTTAATGGTTGAATCGTTGGTTGCTCTAATAGTTACAGCATGTTGACTTATCAAAATCAACAGGAAAGTACTTTTTATAAGATTCTGGAATTGGAGATATGCTGAATAGTACGTATAATAAATAAATCGTACAAATAAATTTGATTAGTTATCATGATTAAAGCTTCGAACATTTAATTTTGTCGTAAACGTTTGTTTTGTTTCCAAAACTACAGCTCCATCTATTGGCCGAAATTCACGCTAAGAGAACTTCTATCGATACGCATTTTGACAGAAAAGGCAAAGAAATCAAATCTACTGTATGAATATTCTGTAAAGATCAACTATTCAATTATGATTAATAGTTACATTATCACTGCAGAAATGATCAGATTGATTCAAAGCTAAGGTCAGTTTGTATTTATTTGCAAATTTACCAAATTTTCTGCCCTTTTCGGAACTCGTAATGGTTGGAAATGGGAAATGACCATATCCAAAAATTGATGGACAAGTCGCAAATAAAACTCTTTAGACTGAAAAATAATTGAAAATTGATTGTCTCATTATTTCGGATGACTATCAATCAAAATGTTCATGATCTTCAAACAAAGGCAAATGTTGCATTCCTGTGTTACAATGTTTCGTTCATTTGCTGTGAATATTTCAAACAAACCAATTTGATTGATTAACCCACCCGGTTAAAAATTCGTAAAATGGGGGGAAATTGAGACAAGTCAAATGCTGATTTTAAATATTATGTAACGATCCTACCCATAGAATCCGTGACTGGACTTTATATTAAACTCGAATGTCTAAAATCCAATCTTTGATGAAAAGGTTTTGATTGAAGCAAGTTACACAACTGAATAACTAGCGCCATCTAGTTTTCGCTAATCAAATAATCTTCTCAAAATCTACGAATTCATCATTTCTGTGTGAATGGCTCAAAATTCCCTGTGATGTTCCTTCGATTATCTTTTCTACTTTCTATTTTTCTGTTAAAACTGAGTGACAGAGGAATACTTTACCATTCATTTCGAGCTTTCAAGTTTTTATTTTAAATAAAATGAAGTTTGTCATCATGTTGAACTATTAAGACCTGAGATGGCGCCTTAAGACTTGTTTCGTTAGCTTTTGATTTCAGTTTTGTTGATTCTTGGACGATGATTAATGAGAGTCGTCAATGAATCGCTTTAATCATGTAAGAACCAAAGAATAGTCTTAACCAACAATAATTGTCCAAACCTTTGTCTTCAGTTACATAGTTGCTTTAAATCATGTTGCATCAACAATTGAATATATTGTTAAGTCAATCAAAAACTTAAATCATCTTTGTTTAGTAAAATTTCAACGAGTCCCGAATTTAATCAAAAATTTAACTTTCAGCACTTTTCTGTTTTTGCTGGATAACTTAAATGATTTCAACTACAATTTGAATCGAAATTTAAACATGGATCATTGAAAAATTAAGGAATGAAGCAAGTTGATTGAACCAAAAAATGGATAAAGACGATAACACTGAAATAACAATAAATAATTAACTGAAAAAGAGATAGAATCATGTTAACAATGGAAGATTTATCAAAAACATCAATCTGGTGAAACTGAATTCAGAGTTTTCAGAATTTATTGTTGCTTTAAAATGGTTTTCTTGTTATTGATACAATTAGTTGTACTAATACTAACAAGTGTAAATAACTTAATAACTGGAAACAATCAACTGATTGCTGGCCAAGATAATGAAGTAAAGTATAAAATAAATGCTAAATGATAAAATAAAGGGTTCAATTGAGTCAACAAAAGCTTTAATAACAAAGAAATGATTAAAAATTGAGAAATCAAAGGATGCAATTAATTAATAAAAATGAAAACCCATATCGACATTGATCATCAACTTTCCCTCAAAATAATAACTAAATTGTGCTTAAATACAATCAACTCAAATTGTTGATCTTCAATAGCATTGACATTAAAGCATTTATTGTTGACAAAAAAGGATTCAAAAATTGGCAGAAGTAAATTTCAAGTCAAAATATCGTTTGAAGTCATTGAATTCACAAAGAAGATTTTTTTTGGAATTAAATTTTCAGAGATTGTCAAAAAATTGATTCAAAATTGACTTTGATTGAGCATTTTTTGTCAAAAAAGACCAGCAAAGAGCACAAACCAGCAATTTAGATTGCTGTTGACATTCAATGTGAAATTATAAAAAATCAACTCAATCGATTCACTTTTGTGCCTTTTCTGGTTTGGATTCAATTTTTACTTGTAAATATTGAAATTTAAAAGTTTAATCAAGGGTTTAATGGTTAAATATGCAAAAATATCACAATTACAATTTGAGTTGATTATTGTGGGAGTTTGCAGACTCGATTTAGGCTTGTTTCAACTCGTCAAACCTTTCAACTTTTGAGTTGAAACAGACAAAAAATGTTCATTCAAGTGAGACTTTTTTTCAGGTGTTTGCAAGATTGACCTTGCCAAGGTTATTGTTGTTCAAAGCTTTGATATCTTTTTCAAGACCTGAGGGTTGTTTAAGGTTAATGACGTAGGCTTTGGTGGTAAAAATGAATAACGATTCTATGAGAAAAAATGTTGACGATTGCCATGAAAATCATTGGAGAAGATCAAAAGATCGGTGAAATTTCAGGTCAACTTGAGGTCAGCAAGATGAGGTTATAATGTCAGGTGACAGACTGTGTATCAACTCCTACGTAAAACAATTTAATGAAAACATTTCCTATTTGCTTAACCATCAACTAAAGCCACTTTAAACTTAAAGTTAAAGTTTACCTTTCAATGGCAATTGACTTAAACCTTTTTTGTCCGGTTGACATAAAGTTGCAATTAAACTGAAAAGCAAAATAAAATTGAAAACTTACCTGTTTTTCATTGTAAAAGTCGTTTGGAAATGAATTCACAAGACTATTGATACTTTCATGGTGATTTTCCTCCTGACCGGCGGGTCTTGCTAAACGAGTACAAGTTTTGATAACTTCATAGGCGAGCTAAGGAAAGATATTGATTAGCAATTAATAACAATTCAGTTCAAGTCAAATAATGAAAAGCAAATGACTTTTTAAGTTAACATTCAAAGTTGAATCAATATTCATGTTAAATGAGAGTGAAAATGGTTTCTAATTTTGGATTCAAAGTGATGATCAAATGTTTTAAGGTAAAAATTTGTTTAAAAATGAAACTGTAACTGGATTAAGATTGATTATATTAGCTTAATTGCTAAGATTTAAACATTTGATTCTCAATACTTGTAAGTCGATCTCTGCAAATCTCATTTAAGTCCGATTTTAGCTTCTATTATTTGAATCACAAGAAAAGTCTCACACTGTTATTGATTAACCACCAACAGATTGGTTGATTGTATCATGGTTTCATTGTGTTCATGGGATTCACTAATTCAAGGTTTCATCTTGTTCAAGTTTATTCCAGTTTCTCTTGAAACTGAAATGCAGATTAAGTTTCAAAATTAGAGTAAAAGTTGACCAATAAACTGGTCAAAATCATGTTCGCAATCAAAATGATCATCAACTTGGAAAAACTTGAAAATGACTTTTTTATGTAAAGAAAAAAAATCATTGAAAGTTCATGATGCAAGTTCATTGGAAATCATGGCAATAATTATGTACATTGTTATTGAACTTGGACCAAACGCAATAAAGCAAAAAAGATCAATGATTAATCTTTTTTTCTGATTGTTCTGAATCAATAATGATAATCCTGAAGCAATTGAGTTTTTTCAAGTTGAAGCCGGAAATAAAATACAAAAAACGCTGAAATGATCTTATTACAATGAAGCGACTTTCAGTTTTTTTACCTCTTCTTAAGGTTGAAACTCACACTGAGATATCATGAATTTTTCTTGGTTAAACAATTATTGCAACGGGTGTTTAAAATTCATTGATAATTCACAATTTTTCATGGGAAGTTAAAATGGGCAGAGCGAGCCAGAAATGAAACCATTTTTGCAGCCCAACATGAAGATAAAGTACAATGATATCAATCAACATTTCAATGTTATCATGTTATTGTGTTTGTTTGGAGTTAAGGTTAAACCATCTTCCCATTATCTTCATAATAACAAGTAGTAAATCAAATAAAACGGTAAATTTATTTTCCGGGTTTGGTCAAGAAAAGGATAACTCATCAAAATGTATCTTAATTATTGATTTAAATTGTCTTCTTTTCAAATGTCTTTCAGTGAAAAGGTTAACAAAAGCTATTTGAATAGTTAACAAAGAGAGTTAACATTGAAATAAACCAATTCAATGTTTACTGATAATATGAAACCCATTATAATCATGAAATAAGGTTTCAGTCAATCTGATAACAATTAATCCTTCTAATCGTTGCAATGTCAAGTAAATTCATTAATCAATACAGATTCATTCCTAGAAACAGTTGGTCCAACTCATGAAAAATTTTTACATTCAAATTCATCTTCTAAGAGCTTTTGAACATCTCAAGTCATAGCAATTTAATGTTAAATTTAGGTTTAACCAAAATTTACCAGAAAACCCAAAATTTCAGAATTGGTTTACATTGAAAATCTCATTAAACGATGAACCATTTCAGGCAAAATTGAAAGGCGGATTCACTAATCACTTCATTAATCAGAGTTTCAGAAATTTCTGTAGAAATGAATTGATTTTTACTGAAAAAACGTTAATTATCATTGAAAGTCAATTCAGTTGGTGTTGATCAATATTGGTAAAAGCAATTAAAATCGCTATTGTTGTCTCTTAAGTTGAAAAAGTGCATTTTTGAAGATGACTTTGACTAGAAGGTAAATATTGAATAGATTATAAGACAATTGTGATTTACGTGACCCAATTTAACCCAACAATTAATTCAAACAAATTGTAGTTTACTGTTGTTTTTATTGTCTCTAGCAACTTCACATTGTAAGTGTATTGCTGACTTTTTTGTTGCTGCATTACCAAGAGCAAGTCGGATTGTTGGATAAACCTTAATTTGCTTGTTTTGTTAATTTGATTGCCTCTCTTTAACTAAATTTTAATGTTAACTAACTTAGCACTTGATGTGAAATTGAAAGTTTAAATTTGCAAAAAAAAGGATTGAATGGCAATTAGATGAACCTTACCCTTAAAAAACAATGGACACAAATAATAATCGTTAACATTATTATTATCATCTCAACATGGTTAATGATATTACCTTCATCAGGCTCATGTATTTAAAGGACAAACGATGAAAACAAAAGGTTCAAGTTGATTGTTGACAATGATTAAATTTTTTGCGCAAAAAAACTAATCAACAAATGGCTCTTTAGATTGTCTTGTCCAACAATATAAAGTACAATTTAAATGTTCATTATTAAAGGTCAACTCGTTGCCCAAATGGTTTGATGTGAAAAAAGAGCAACAATTTTCAAACCTTTTCAAATGCAAAATCATCTTAAACAACATTTTCAATTCTATTGTCTTAATCATTAATTAACCTAAAAAAAGTTAACTGTCAATGAAGATGATGATTAACAAGCTGATTGTTGGTGTTAATTATTGGTAAATTGGTTCACAATCGACCAACAAAATTAAATTTAAAAATGCAAATTCAGTTAACTAAACTTCAATATCACTAACAATAGCAACTCAAGATTTAAGGTTGCTTCAAATGAAAGTTGTTTAATCATTTCCAATTGATTCATGGTTCTCATGAAAGTGTAATAACGAGAAATGGCGAAATAGTTCATTGGTTATATTGATAACAGGTTAAGGTTCACAATTAGAAGGCAAAAATTGCGTGATAATAAAATACGCATCACAATTTGATGAGAACTCATTTCAACAAGTGAAATGAGTTCTGAAACTGATTAAAAGTAAAAGTCTGTGAATCTTTTGCTTTCAATTGACAGTTATAATTATTTATAAACTTGATTAGTAAATTTTACCATAAATGTCAGGTGAACATTAACACGTAAAGTTTATGAAGCAATAAAAATCTGTAATTTATCAAGAACGTTGACTTGAGATAAGAATGCAAAAAAAAGATAATTCATGATGAGAATAATGATGAAGATCCAAGATGGATAATAAAAGATTCTGGTTAAACTTGAAATTGCTTTGTATTTTATGGTCTGCACTGGTCAAGATTAAAGTCATCATTGTTTTATTGTTGTTCAACAGTTTAACCATTCATCATAAATGGACAACCTGACCTGATGTTAATTTAAACCTGGACAAAGATGGTCATTTGGCGATTCAAGGTTCACAAGGTTTCATGTTTTGTTTTCATGTCAAAGTAAATTTTAACACACATTTATCTAGAGGAGTGATTAATGATTAAAAGCTCATTGAATTGGGTTGAATAATCAAAGATTAATTGTTGAATCGTTTCTCTACAATTAGTTTGATTCAACAATAATAATTGTTAACAATGTTGGGGAAAATGTCATTGATTGTTAAAGATATTAAAATTGAGCAAAAATTGCAATTTCATTGGTAAATCTGGTTTTCAGCTGTTTTAGGTTTAGGTTAACGTTGAATCCATATAAGGTTGAATATGTATTTATACCTTTATAATATGTTTAAAAAGGTAACTTGTATTGATTCAATTGAATTATAACCTAATTTACCTGAGCCATAAATTGAAAGGAGTTGAGAGAGATTTGTAAAGATTGAAAGTTAAAAGTGTTCAAATTATCATCAAGTTGATACAAAAGTTGAAGTCGCTTCATCAGTCAACATTTCAATTTGTAGCTACTATTTCAGTGAACATACAGTTCATGATAATCAAGGTAAAAATGATTGAAATAAATTTACTCTCACATTTTTTTTCGCCTGGTAAAGGCAGATATTTGTATTACCATTATTAATAATGAGTTAACCACCTACAGATTGACCTTTATCGGTCAATTTTTATTTACCTGTAAGATTTTAATCCATTTATTATTAGTCAAGTTACATTTGATCAACATTTCACATTACATTATGAGAAAAAGTAAAATCTTAAATCACGCATTTTCTGGTTAAATGTCATTGTCATTATAAAAGTGAAACAATTGGAAACAAAGTTAACCAGATTTTACAATTTTCTGGTTTTGGGTTGAAATGGTTTCAACCTTCACTTGTATATTTAATTGGACAAAATCAATTTAACTAAATCAATCTGATAATCACAATTTTGATTAATTTGCTAAATTGATTTGATGGTTGGTCAAGGGTAAAAAAACATTAAAACCTACACAAGTAATCAAATTGATGAGACAATAAACTGTAATTGATCAACTGCAATTGATCCTTGAAATCATCGTCAAATCATTATTTTTGCTTCCATTAAATCGGTTTGATTAAAATCCGATCTTAAATTAAATGCAATATTTAATTGTAAAATTCAGGTTGAAAAAGGGTGAAAATAGCACTTTTCAAGTAACACTTGTGTAAATAAAGTAACTACAATTAACTTGATCCATTTTAACATGATTAACAGGACAAATCTCTCAACCACACCTGAAGAACCTTGAATATGAAATTCAGAAGCTTCAATTTAATGATTAAAATGAGTGAAAAAATCTCACTTTTCCCAACAGTTAACATTCAAATGAACCTGGAGTTTGAAAATTTTCAATCGTAATATGTGTCAGAGCGAGTTCACGATAATTCAAAATCATCATCTAACATGATTCTCATCCATTAAATGTAAATGTTGATTTAAACATGAATAATTTATATAAATATTACTGATTGATAAGTTAATCAAGAATATATTTCAAAGCAATCTAAAACAATCAAAGGTAATCGAAATGAAAGCAAAAGGTTTTACAATTGATATTGGGATTGGCTTTGAAGCTTTGCAAAGTATTGATTCTGGTTTAATAAAATTCAACTTAACCATGATGATCATAATTGAAGCACTAATTGTTGTATATCAATATCTGTCAAAATTAAAGAGTTAAGGTTAAACATAAGATAATCAATAATGGCCAATTAAAAGCTAATAGCAATTGGGTGACATTGGGTTAAATCTAACGGAAAGATTCGGATTGAGATCAGTGAATATTTTATGAAGGATTTGATGGTTGAATATGAGTTTTGATTCTGATTGATTGAGATGATTGCTGTAAATGTGATTGAGATAAAGTCGACTGAAGATTAACTGACCACAGAATAGTAAATTGTATCAGTGAATGATTACTTTCTTTCTGGCTAATCTTTCGAGTTAATCATTGAAATTAAAATAATTTTATGAATCTACTGAATAAGATGATTATGATGAATCAAGATGAACATTTGAAACATGAAAAAAATAAACCTTTAGGCTTGTAATTCACATATAATTCAATGATGATTGTAGATGAGGATAAAGATTATTATCATTATTTGTATTATCATTTTTATTGTTATCATCAGGCATTATAATTATAAAGCTCTTGTATTTTAAGAACTGCTATTTTAAATGAGTTGGGCGGTTGGTTGAAATCAACTGATTGTTAATCTAGGATTGTTTGTGTGTGATCTAAACAGTTCGTGATTAAAATTAATCTAAACACAGTTTAAATCAATTGAACATCACAATCGTAAAATTGACAACTCCTAAGAATGGGTTTATGAATGGAAAAATGTTGAAATTGAAAATGTGAATCAGTTGAATATTTTTTTGTTTAAATCAATATTAACATTGAAATAAAGTGAATGTTAAACAAATAATGATAAACAATATCGACTATTGAATCGACTTGGAGGTCAAGTTTATTCATATTTTTTTTTCATTAAATTGCATTCAAATGATGATCTCAATTAGACTTGGGCTGAATTGAATAACTAATTAGATGTGAATTACAAAAAATGGCTATTAAAGTCATCTGAATGGCAAAGTAATGTTAACCTATTGGGTTAACCTAAAGCAATTGATACATTTGTAGTTGAATAAAGGGAAAAGCAAAATGAAACGAAATGTAAAATTTTCATTTTTTGATCCAGTTTCAGTGTAAAAAAAACATTTCTGGTCAACATAAAGTTCATTATCTCACAATCTATTGTTCATGATGCTAGAGTTGGTAACCTTTTTTGCTTCTATTCTTTGGATCAAAATGAACCTTCCTTGATTCCTTATCGTCATCACAATAATAGGAATCAGTTTCATAGTCAATATCTTTGCTGTTGAAAGGATGAACATTTTTTTCCTGACAAACTCTCACTGAAGCCCTTGAAGCGTACACACAACAATGTAAGCTAGTCTAATAAGATGGTCATGGATGGATGCAAAGGGTTCAAGTGAGAAAGCAAGATTAAGTTGGAATGATGATGATTATGAAGAGAGTAAAGGTTCATGTGGAAATGAAGGTAAAAATGATCTTTGACAGTTGACGTAAAGACAGCATTAGGAAGGAAGATGATTGAAGGAGGATGAAAGGGAAGATGATGAAAGTGTAAAGCACTTTTCATAGTTTATGATTCCTGTTTCAATGAGTTGTTCAGCAAAAGCTGTTATTGACAAAAAATTGAGAGTACAACTTGAATGTTAACTTAAGCCATGGATCAGTCGAGTTGACTTACTTTCCACCTATTTCGAGCTTTAATATTAATCAGTTGAGGTTGATAATTGTTTGCTAATTGTATCACAGTTTCACTGAGTAAATAGGAATCATTTTGCTTTATCCAATCGTGTTGTAAACATTGATCGACGGTCAATCGTTTTCTGGTTGAAAAAAAGAAGGAAAGATGAAAAGAAAAATTAGATTTGGCAACAAATAGTGATTAATATCTGTAGCATTTTATCGACTATTTATATCAATAATAAATGTTGATTGAAATGTTAAAATTACCTTCCATCTTTAACCAATAAATTACTAATAAAATGTTGCGCTAAATCACTAAAATGAGTTGAGTCAAAAAAATAATCAACAGCAGTTATATTGGCAAAGGTTTCTTGTTTGGTATCTCCAAGGAAAGGTGATGCTCCACTTAACCTGTAATATAATCAGGTATTACCATGATTATCAAGGGATCATCAGGTGAAAGGATAAGAAAAAGATATTATTAATGAATGGTGAAATGATAAGTTAACCAACTGTTTGATTTGGTAACAATTAATTTTAATTGATGTCTTCCCCTTTCTATTTTTGTTAATGTTGTACGCTTTTGCTTTCAGTAGATTATTAAAAGTTAATTATTGGTCAGCAAAAAAAACACAAATGTTAAACAATCAAAGATGACGCTCAAGATTTAGATGATACTGAAAGAGTGGAAGCAGTGAAAAGTTGCGTTTTGTGTTTGATTTGTCTAGCATTACATAAATTGCTATGATCTTATCAACACGCAAAAAGCAACAGCATCAACAATAACAGTAACAGTTAACCGTGGGTGACCTGATTTGATAAAAGTTTGCCTGATTAACATTTAGTTGAACCACAAAAGTATGTTTAGTTGATTAATAAGGCGTTCAAGATGACGATCAAGATTAATCGGAAAACATTATCAATTTTAATAATCAATTGTTGACCAAGTTCAGCAGAGTAAAAAACATCAGCAACTTACAGGTTATAAGTTATAACACCAACACTCCATAAATCGGTTGCCAATGTTATTGGTTCATAATTAATAATTTCAGGAGCTAAGAGAGTAGAAAGAGAAGAAAAGGAACAATTAATAATGAATTAAGTTACAGGGTTAAACTGATTTAACCTAAGACCTTTGACTTACCAACAAATTCTGGTGTTCCCAAGATTTCTCTAATATCTGAACCAGTATTGACAACTCTTGACAAACCAAAATCAATCAACTTCAACCTTTGAGTTTCCTTGTCAAGAAGCATAATATTTTCAGGTTTCAAGTCTAAATGTACAATATTTTTGGAGTGCATGTGGTCCAATCCGAGTAGGATTTGTTTAATAAATGCAATTGCTTGAGTCTCTTCTAGTCCTTCCTTGCCGGCCAAATAGTCAAATAACTCGCCACCTTTAACTCTAGAATTATTAAAGGAAAAGGAGAAAAAATTAAGTTTAAAAATGACAATCAAAAGTTAATTGAAAAGGTAAAATGAAACCTTAAAGGTTGAGTTTGAACAAAAAATGTCAAGTAAAGTTGATTACTCTTAAAGGTTAAATAATATTCATAAGATATTAATGATGATACAAAAATTGTTATAATAATCATAATAATAAATGGGCAAAATGAAAAGGTAAAGTGTATTATGAAGTAAGTAAAGGATTTCCTGGTTTAACCCAAGATTACCTGTGTTATACAAATTTTGTGGTTACCTAAATTTAACCTTAAACTAAAGGATAAACTTATTATAATTAAGATGACGGAGGATGATATTTGACCATTTATATGGTTTTATATCATTTTGGTTGCTGTTACTATTGTATAACATTTAAGTTTGTCAAAACAAACACCGGAAGGAAGTAAACAGGTAGCCTTTACAGTAATCATTGACGGGTGGAAATTAAAATGAATCTAAGGTGAAGATAATGATGATTATGATTATTATTACTATTATGATTATTATTTACTTTTATAATGTATCATCAAGATGAAATTTATAAAGTAATGATTCTTCAACAGTAATACTAATGCCTACAAAAGCTGTTCAAGTGTTCAACAGTTAAGGTTAAATATCACTTGTGAGTTTTCAAATCATTTCAATAATGGATTAAGAACTATCATGAAACTTTTGATATAAGTGAGCATTAAGTAAATTGTGATTAACTGGATGAAGAAGCATTAACCATCAACTTGACATCAAACTTACAACTCGAGTATAAGAATAACTTCGTTTCCATTGTCATAAACATTGAACAGTTTAACGATATTGTCATGATTGAGTTTCTTTAAAATGTTCACTTCACGTTCAATATCTTCCAGTAAAAGGCCTCGTCGAGATCCAATGATGCGTTTCTTGCGGACAAATTTAGCAGCAAACTCTTTACCAGACGATCTTTCAATACACCGACGGACAGTTGCAAATTGGCCACTAGAAAAGAGAAAAGAAGAAAATTATTAGTAAAATGTTTAAAAATTTTGCTCAACCAAAGAGGTGTCATGAAATCAAACCATCAACATATCAACCATAAGAATCATTTCGGATAAATCTAAGATATAATTTGATCCACTTGTTACAAATTTCAGGTGTATGTTAAGAGGAAAGAGGGAAAGAGGAAGAGATTGAAAAAATTAGATGATAATTAGGCTAGAATTGAGTGAAAATTGAATCAAAAATCCTTTAACTGACTTCTTTTTTTACAGTCCAAGATTATTATTACTTGATGTGTGATTACATTTTGTTTGCTGTTGCTTTTATGGCGTAAAGGTAAAATGACCGGAAATTTGGTCACGAAGAAGGAAGATAAATCAGATGATGATGATAAAAAGGAAAGAAATATAATAATCCAAAGATAACAATCAACTTTGTGTTACGGCAAAAAGAGGCACACGCACCATGTTAATGTTAACACGTACAAAATGTCGACCAAACAAAAAAGTTAAACTTAAAACCTCATCATTATCGTCATCATCACCATTTTGGTCTTCCTGTCATGTTGATTATTTTATTATTCACCATCCTGACAAGCTTTTTTCAACATTTCTCTATGTGATTCGATTAAAATTTAATTAACCTTAAAGGCAACAAAATAGTCCACAAAAATGTTTCCCATTTCTAAAGCACTTTCAAGTTAATATAATAGTCGGGCAAATCGCAAGAAGAACAAGAATGACAGTTATTAAAATAAAATGGCTATAACAAAGGTAACTGTAATGATGATTTTGATGACGGTAATTTAAACGATGATCAAGCTTCTCCATTTCAACTTGTTTATAATTGGTCATTAAGGTCAATTTGATTTGATTTTAGAAACAAATTCAGAGTTATCAGGAAAAAGAAGTTACCTCACATGTTCAGGTTTTTGTGTAAGATGCAAGATTAACACTTGATATAAAAAGAAGTCATTTAAAATGGAAATTATTTCACCATTTAACATAAACATGTAGACTTATAATTGTAGATGTGAGTGTTTAAACGTATAAAAAGAAATCAATGACTTTAATTGTAATTAACATTTGATGGACAATTTGTTACGCTAAAATAAATTATCGCCTTAATGGCTTCAATTTTTGGCGCGTCTTCATCAGCTGAAGCTTTTACCTATGGTTCCCTCTAGGAAGAAAAGTGACAACAAAATGTAACGTTTGGTCATGAAAGTTGATAATTAACTTCAATCTTAAGGCCTCAAGGCTTAATAACTTGTTATTTATTGATTTATTTTTGTTCAGATAAAACATTAAATCATCATCAATGTGTAATTATCAGGGATTTACAATACAAAGGTTTCTTTGGTTCATGTGAATGTAACACTTTTTTCTCAACTGTTTCTGGTTTACTTATTTCTTCAAAATCAATTTCATTTTGGTAAATTATCCAACAACGGAATTTGATTGATTTAAATGCTTCAAGGCAACTTGAATAGTTTTTAATTGTTGCTAATCATCTCCACAAATCTATAATTATTGTTGAACGCTATTTAATAATATTATCATCATCTTTACATCACATTTGTGATGGTTCTGATTGAAAGGTGGCAAACGGAAAAGATTAATATGTTGATGAGATTAACATACAAGGAATCAAAAATGGCCATCTTCTGTATACTATTTTACTGGTGATACAAAAATTTCGTGATTCCGTTTGTTACCATTTTATCAATAATAATTACAATTAAATTGCAGCCAATGTTTCAAAGTTAAACATATAGCTGATAATAATATTAATCATCATCATATTTGGTCGTGATTTGTTTTGATAACATGATGATTACAGTAATAATCATACATAATAATTACACTCTCAATGTAAAATAATATTCAATTGGGAGGTTAAATATTTGGAAGCTGAAAGTTAAGGTAAAGATGATAACAAATGATGTTGATGACGGCGATTGAAATGGTCAGAAGAGTGTAAAGTGGTCATTTTAAAATTCAATTTCAATTGAAAGCAAAATTTGATTAACTTGGAAATAAAAATTGTAACATGAAAATTATTTCCCCAACATTGAAATGGCAAAGTAACTAAAAAAGATTATTTTATAAGTAAATTTTGTCTATTTTTTAGTTGCAGTTAATTGTTGCATGTAAAATTATTAATAAGCAATACTAATCATGATAAAAAGGTATGAAAATGGATGAGAAATGTGATAATCTTTTTGATTTTCAACTGAAATTAAAGGTTCATCAATCAAAATGTTAACCAGATTAGCTTTAAAAACACTGCATCAACAGACAATCACTTGAATGTCAAATGGATTGACATTAAAATTGATTGTTTGTAATACAATTAATGTTTCTTTTCAATTCCCTAATCATTCAGGCAATTAAAGACTTTGCAATGCAAATTAGTCAATTTTGGCTGATCAAATGTTTGCTATCAAAGTCATAGGATTTTTTCAATTTGAATCTGAAATGTCAAAAGGCTTTTTGAACAAAACCTTAATTACTGTTAGACTAATTCAAAGTCTTATTTTGATTATAACATGAAACCTAAAAAAGTCATATTACAATCAAAAGGTAAGTTCATTCATCTAACCAACAACAATGATTAAAATAAAGATAATTATCACAAAGCATTTCAATTTGTGACTGTTCAAGCTGAGTTGAGAGTTGACCAGAAAAGCCGTTTTAAAAGCAGTTAATTTGCTTCTAAAATTAATGATCAATTAGAGGTTTGATACTGACTGAATCTAATTGCAATTAAAAATGGATAATAGATTGTTGGATTTGACGGAAAAGACTCTAGTCAATGGACTTGCTGACAAAGACCATTGACCAGTAAATGCATTGACTATAAAAGCGTTTATCATTGTATTTGAATAATTGTTTTTTTTCACTATCAACAAATTGGCTATTCTAATTGTGATAATGGTTGTTAACATCATCACTATTATCATTATCGTTATTAAATATCTTTTCAATGTTAAAAGTTAATTTAGCTGTAAACTATTAAGCTGGTTTCTTCTGAATATTGACATATAAACGTATCCAAGTCAATGTACTGTTAGGTTGAGTTGTAAGGGTTAAATTGTGAGGTTAATAAATTGATTTTGGTCGTTGGCAAAGTGTTGATTGTAGATGTTGATTAAAGTGAATGTTGGATTTGTAATGGAGTCTGGTTAAGCAATGGAGAAACCTGTAAGTTGGAGTGATCAGGATCAAGAATATGCGTTTTTTGATGGTTTGCCCAAAAGGTAAAGAATCGAGTATTAATACATTTAACTGATCCATAAGTTAATCAAGCAAATCAATTGACAATTCATCTCATTGAACCTGCAACCCAGTAAAGATCATCACCATTTTCAATTTGGATTGTGAATGTGAACACACTTTTGGTCAAAATAGCTGTTAAAATGTCCATTTACGTTAGCGTTATGAAAATGTTTACTTCAAATGTTTACTACTTTGTTGTCTTCAATTGTATCCAGTTAAGTCAATTAACAAGTGTTAGTAAAGGAAACATTGTATTCACAGGTAAGTGGATTAGCCTTTTTTTTGTTGCTTGTGTGTGTGTATTTGATTGTTAACTATTAAATGTTCCTAATGATTGATTGATTTGGATTCATTTGTTATATTGTTTTGCGTTTCTTTTATTTTTTTTCATTGCCTGGCTTTTTGTTTTCCTGGTGACCATCATTTGAAACAAAAGGAGCATCAGCACAGCAACAATCGATTCCGATTCCAATTCCGATTCCTATTCCAATTCCATTTTTACACAATACAATGGGTTTACCAGTTCCACCTCATCCTCAATCAGCTCCACTTCGTAATCATTTCATTGAAATGTCACCAAGATCCCATTATCAACAGCCTGACCAGGTAAGCTCAGATGGTACCAATTATCATACAAATTAATCACTAAAAGTATGAGAAAAAAATTGATTTCTCCATTTTTTGCGTCTTCCTTCTGTCCGTCTTTTCCCATTAACTTGGCTTGTACAGATGATGCCACCCTACCATGGTTTACCGATGGAAAGATCAGCGTCTCATCAATCAGATTATTTTCCAATCAAAATTGTTGTTCTTCCAATGTGAGTTAATCAACCATCAGCTATCACAATACAAAAAGAGTCTTCAATTTGGTATTCCTTTTATGAACGCAGTTGAACTTGTCCTTGGTCTTTATTGTGCTTCATTTTTCCCTTTGCTTTATACTTTCGTTACAGAATAGCCAATCTTGATGATAATCGTTGGAACAATCAAGGTACCTTTCCATCAAATCAACAGGATCAACAGGATCAATTGGATGATGCATTGATCAGGCAACACCAGCAAACAAATTCACCAAGACCTTGTGGCTTAATACTGCCTTGGCAGTGATATTAATGATGGAGGTTTAAGAATCAAAAAAATCTGGATCTGTCTATGAACAAAATCAAGATATTATTAAAACGCAAGATTACAGATTTTCAAAATTTCTCAATTTTCAATCAATCAATTATTGCTACAAGAACGGGATCTAATAAAGATATTGAATCTAAATTGTTTTTGCAACCATTCAATGGGAAAGGTTGACAACAGAGAAGAGACAATTTTCATGATTATTAGATTGTTATCCTGCAAGAATGTTGGTTCAATTACCAAAATTCAATCCATCTGAGCAGAAAAAAACATTTCCCAAGTTACAAGAATATCTAACCTTATATGTAAGATTGTTTCAGAGTTTACAAGAGAGTGAGAAAAATGATGATGATAATGATAATAATCCAATGATCATGAGAGTTGAGGTTGTATTACAATTAGATTGTTGGTGAATCAAATTTCTGGATGAGTGGTAACAATTAATTTAAGGCAAAGGGAAAAGAAAGGTTGTACACAATCAAGGTTTTAAACAAGAGAGATCAAGTTGAAAGCAATCTTTAACCCTAAGAATTACCGTATTGACGCGTATCGTGGCGCCGCGCTTATAAAAAAGTACGCCATCATATAAGCGCCTTTTGAGCCACTGCAAATGCGCGAAGATCATTGCTTATTATTAAAAGGCGCCTCTATTGTCACAAAATTGTGCCTTTAAGAGTAACATTCTCATTATTAAGCCCGGTGCTACGATACGCATCAATACGGTAATCATCGCTCAGGTATTACAATTAATCTTGTTCAAGTTTAATTGTGTGGCAGTGTTGAACCATTGATTCCATGGAAACTGGAAACAATATTAATAAACATTACAATAATGTATCACAATATAGTGAGTTTCAAGGGCAGTGGGAATTGTTCAGCAAGGAAAACAAAAATGGTTCAAAGTAACCAATGGTTATGTGGAGTATAAATGATCAAGCTAAATCGATCAAAATTTATGGCTATTTTGTACGATTAGAGCAATATAATGATTCATATTTGTGGTATTAATGATCACTGTGTTGAGGGAATTAATTAGATGCCTATCAAAATGCAAATTAATAGCGATCCCAATGGTAAACATTGGTTAGCCATACCAACAGGGAAAACAGATTGACTCTGCAGTTGATGAGATTTTAACAAGGTTTGTGACTTTGGTTTGTATTAATAATGTTAATTGTGAGGGTGGATGTGATTAAATGGATCTTGGTTAGTTGATTATCGGTATAAGTAGGAGTGATTAGCAGGATAAACTCAAGGTTTCAACTGGGTAAGGAAGTAACCATAAAAGATTGCGACTTGAGTTGGTTGTTTGATGTGGCTCTTTTTTGTTGCCGTTTCCGAGGGACCAAGATTGAACAATTAATACGATTCCAAAACAATCGACTCCATCATCGTATTGCAATTGAGCTTTTTGTCTTGATGAACAATGTTGACTTCAAGTGTATAAGGTTTCGATATGTTGGTCAATTTTGAGTTTGCTGTCTTTAACCAAATGGCCTAAATGGAGACCAATCAATCAGTTGAAGAGTTGCTTGTTGTTGACTGTTCATTGAAAGTTAATTGTTAACCGGTAAAACCACATCTCCATTAATGATATACAAAACTATTGGCCGTCAAATTAAATAAATCATGTTTACCAAAATACAAGTGCTTTTAGAATGCTATTAAGGTGGAAGGGAAAGGAGGTGGAGGAGGAGGTTAGGTTGGTTGGTTGATAAAAGAAAGGTTTGCTTTGATTAAATTGTCATTGATTTGAATTAAAGGTAGTTGATGAAAGGTACAAATTCACACGCATACGTACCAATATGAATAAGTGTAGTTCACAGAAAGAGTTGTATCTTTGGTGGTCAACCCTCAATACCCATGGTTAACTGACATGTTGAGGAAAGTTAATTTGTTGTTTTTGTTAGACCTACACACTATCAGTCATTAGCATTCATCTTTAAGCCAGGTATTGTTTAATTGTGATTAAGGTTACCTGGTTGACTGAATCCTTTTTACAAAAAGTAAACTTGTAAGGTTAATTTTTTCACTTCTCTCAAATTTACATTCATTCATAAACAAATTATTTTCACTTTTTTTCCATCTAATCAAATCAATGTTTTAATACGCTTTCACTAATTGATTTTCATTAGTGAAAGGCCTTTTAGCACTTAATTTGCAACAAATTGTGTTATGGTGTTGATGAAGTATATGGAGGTGTTTAGTGTCGACATTTTGAATGATCAGAAGGTAAGAGACTCGCTGAGTCGCGTGAGTATAAAGCTAAATGTCTAGGAAATTTACAATGAAAATTTGGCGTTTTCAGATGAAATATAGTTGTCACGATTGGAAAGTTATGATTGACATAAAGACTGGTTGAATTGCTGAGAATGAACCACAAGAAATGATAGATGGATTCACACACAAACATGAGGTAAAAAATTGGCAATAAGTGGTAAAATAATTGAAGAAAAAGTGCAAAAACGTAAAAATATTGACGATGATTTGAATGGAGGTGATGTCTGATGATTTGATAGTGGGAAAGTTAAATCAGTATATTCAGATTGGAATGAAAAAAAGAGAAAAATCAGGTGAAACTTTAACGATTAAGAGGTGAAATAATGTTTTCAAAATGGAGCTTAAAGTTGACAAATAAATAGAAGAAAATCACAAAATTAGCAAAAAAATGGTAAACAAAATTTTATAATATTGCTGCTATCATCATTAGCGTAATGATGATGATATAAAATATTGAGCTTAAGCTTTGTTTTGTCATCAATATTTTTGTTGAACAAGAAAAATAAAAGATTGGATTCTAATTTGAATGATTTAAGTTAACCGAAAAAATCAGAAGTAAATATCGAGAGCAAAAAGGAAAACAAAGGAGTTCAACTTTTGAATCATCATCTTTACCAAACGGTTTTCAATTAGTCAACGGTTTTTTTGGTTCTCACAACCAATTTTGTTGCATGCTTTTTGTCTTGTTATCAATACAGTTCTATAATTTTGTTTTAATTTTTATAATAGTGATATCTGTTGATATGTTGATTTGAATTTCATGATTTACCCACGATTATTATATATTGATTTTTCTTTACCAACTGTTAAGGATTGAGAGTCAACTTACCTGCCAATTTCCTCGGCAATGATGTAATCCATTTCAATGGGCTCGGATTTAAATTGTTTCATGTTTTTAGCTTTCTCTCTTTATTACCCGTTTGATGTTACTTTTTGGTAGCCGTTCAACTTTAATATTTATGGTGAGCTTCCCAATTTTAAATTAACACACAAAACTTATAAATTAGAGATTTAAACTTGAACCACAATTATTTATGATTGGTCATGTCAGTTAACCTTTTATTTTCTTTTGTCCTTTCTTTACTTTTTTGATAGCTTTTCTTGGCTTTTTTTCAATGTAACTTTTTGTGTTTTTGTTTTAATTCACTGCTGATAATACGATGATGAATACGGTAATGATGTATTTGTTTACACTTCATCTATGGTGACTGTACAATTAAACACTGGAGAAGGTTATAAACGAGGATTCACAGTGACAATTGCAGATTAAAACATGGTGATATCGAGAAGATGAGGTTAAACATGATTATGGTTTCAATACACAAACAAAAGTTTGTACAGATCCAAGTGAATGTTTAAATTAATGGTGATGATTGTATAACTATGTTTAACCAATTGTTGTTGACACTTAGAAGCATATAAGTAACCATTGGTTGGTTGATCATTGTTGAACATGAAATCCGTGCTTAGATTCTTTAATTAGAGCTTCAGACTAACAATAATAATCCTTCTCTTGTTTTTACCCATTTTTACTCTTCACATACACAGGTAAACTTAAGCTTTGGAGAAATAAATATACACGGATAATGTTGACGTTGATATGGAACAGGTCAAAAACAAAAACAAACTATGCATGAAGGTTAACACAGATGATGATGTCCACTTGTCAAAATACTCGACATGGTCCACAGTGACATGGATGGTAACTTGATGACCAACTGGTAGAGGGAATGTTTACGTTAAGATGAAGATCACACCTATTGACAAGATCACTGGACGTAAATGATGAGAGGATGTAGATAAAGAAGATTCCAATGAAGAAAGAATGGCAAATCTCGTTGTGACTTTTTTTTACTGATGTTTCAGATTCCTCTTCCACCTCCAAACCTGATGGTATAAGATGATGTTTTTTTCTCTCCTTCCTTTTCTTTAAACTTCTTTTTCTTCTTCTTTCCTTACCCAACCGGAGAATGGAGAAAGGTTAACTTTCGTTGTTACCGGAGATCATCTCAATAAGCATTTCTTGTCTGGGCTTGACGAACAAAAAAAAATTCTTCCTTTCTTTTTTCTCCCTCCCTCATCTTCCTCTCTCTCACAAACTCGCATACAGCTATTCTCCCTTTGCCACTAACTTACTCTTTCTCTCTTATTTTCCTTCTGTCTAACTATCTGTCTGTATCTCCTCCTTGTTTATGTTTTTTTACCTTACAGGTAACTAAGTATATTAGTAACTGTGAATCCCCCTTTATGTATCCCTAAGCAACTCACTTACCTTCTCTCTCTTACTCTCTTGGTATTATCTTTTGTCTGTATTCATCTTTCATCTGTATACATTTATTTGCACTTTTTTGCTAGATTTCAACTTGATCTTTCAACTTCTGAACCTTCATATTATTTTGCAACATCTTCTAACTCTTTCTTTTTATCTCACCATTTTTATCCTAGTTTAACGATTTCTGGTGCATACTGAATCAAAGATAAACCAACCTTCAGGATGAAAGTTATTAAGCTTCGGTATCAAGATGAATTCATTAAATTGGAACTGCTTGGATCTTCAATTCTATGAAACTTTTAGAGTTTGGTATTTCATTATATTCCTATTACCTGAGGTTATCTGAGCGGCAAACTTTCTTATTCTACCATTTGCTTCAGTCTATGATTTCAATTAGAGCAATTGCGATGTCACTTTCACTTTATTGATATTGAGCTCAATAAGTTTGTTTAGAAGTGACTGCAAATTATGGAATCTCTATGGCAATTTAGCGAAAGTAAAGTGATACTAATTATGATAATTAATTCCACTCTGATTTAACAATTACTCATTAACCATTAATACACTCAATGGCATTACCAAACAGTTAACTCAGACCCAACATCAGGACAGTTGATTAACCCTTAAGGTATTGTTAAAATTACTTTTGGATTCGATATATTTCAAGTTGCATTCAATAATGAATAACTGGTAATACATTCTTAATCACAATGGCTGTTAACTTTTAACAGCTCAATTTACGTATCTTTATAAATTAATGACTTAATAACAAGTGTCAATTTTTACTACAGGTTATTAATACACATGTCAACACTTACAACTTCATCTTGTTCCTGGTTAATGATTAATGCAGAATCTGGTTATGATGATGATACCAAAATGGTTAGTGTTTTTATTAAAAAAAATATTTGATACATTTTTGGTTGTTGCCAATTCAATTGTATTAATATCATTCCTATTTTTTCCTCTTTTTTTGCATATTGATTAGTGATTGGAATCGGTCTTCATTCTGGGTAATCAAGTTGGTAGTGCGTCTCACAACTGAAACACTTTTTTTATATAAATGGTTATAAAATGATCAAGATTTTGTTACATCGCTTACTACCTTAGGAGACATTTTGAGGTCAAGAGAAGCAATAATAATTTAATCAACAGCAGACTCACATGCAGCAGACAAGTTGTTAACAGTTTACCATCAACAACATCAACATACAAACCTAATACAACCAGCACAATCAAAAGACAAAGATAACTCACGGTTAATCGTTCAATAGCAACATCTCTTTTCAACACTCTGATAAAAGTGACTTGATTTCATCAGAAAAAATAATAATGGCTACCAACAAAACTCAGCATGTCTTTTTGTTACTGTCAACCACCAACATGGTGTGACCTGTTGCTGCAACAATCAACTTTAATCATCATCACCATAATCATTTCCCAACAATGATAACAACAAAGTAAATCCTCTACTTTTTTTTCTCCGTTTAATTCATCAAAAAAAGGAGAATGAATAAAATTAAAAGGATAAAATATTCATGGTAATTGTTTTTGAAACTTTCATATTTCTATTAATATTTGTTATTTCTATTACAATCAACTTTTAATGTATCAATTTACCTATTCATCAATTTCTTTAGGTTATTTGACCAAGGCAACTTTGTTATTTAATCTTTTACCAATCAATGAACAAAGCTTTCACATCATGAGGAGAAAGACGAAGTTAAAGTTGTTCGCTATCACCATGAAAGATGTTTAATCAAGGTGGAATCAATTTGACTTTCTAATGGCAAATTTTAGTCTTTTACTCAACCTTTGAACCAGTTGAACAAAGTTGATTTTGGATGAATAAAGTCCTGTTATTGATGGTTATGGCGAGTCTTTTCATTTGAGCCAATTGACCAACTCAAGTAGCTTCAGTGATAACACTTAATGACCATTTAATTCAACCTTTTATCCGATTGCTAATTAAATATTGGATACAATCTTCTATTTTCATGGAAAATTTATGCTGTGGGATAATAAGTGAATTGTAATTGTCATCATCTTTTACTGCTATTATTACCTGTTATTACATTCACATCAACACCAGGAGACAATCAACGTTCGTTGTTTTTGCTGGAGAAACAGAGAAAACATTGAGTGTGGAATATATTTTTTCAAGCTTAATTTAAATGTGAAATAAAGGTGGTAATAATGATGATTGAGAATGTAATGTTTAAATTTACTCAAATTCATATTTCCATCAATATCACCAGCTCTTAATATATCTGAGAATTTATTATTCTATTTATCTAGATTCCTTCCTTTCTCTCTATCGCTCTTATTCTCCCTTCTCATCCTCATCATTGCCTTCATCACATTTTTTCATCATTATCATTTTCTTCCTCTTTTTTCAGGTCAACCTTTCTTTCCGTGAATCTCAATCATCAAGGTTTTTGTCGGAGAGGAGGATGAAGCAAAGGATAGGCGAAAAGGCAGTAGCCAGTTTTATTTTTGGCTTGTTTTGCCTTTTCAACTTCATTCTTGTGGTCAATTTGGAAGCATGAACATCATCATCAACCAAGAACGCAAGCTGATAAAATGCTGATGGATAAAAAGGCAACGCGATGATAAAGAAGATGAAAATGATGAAGTAAATGACAACTTCAATTTTGAATGCTCACAATTGCTTTCCACCACTAGTAATGATCTTATACTGGCGGATTGTACCTCACTGCTACTGTTGACTTAATTATTATCGGCATAATCATTGAAATGTAGTTGCTGTTGACTTAAATTGTTCATCTTGATACATCTCACTGTTAACAATTTACTCTCACTGCCTTTCATTTTCCAATTCATTCTCTTTCCATCAAACTCTTTTCATTTTTGCTGCCAATAAATGGTCACTTTGCCATTAAGGGACCAGTTGTGTCACTTTCACAATCAAATCACCCGGAACATATAAATCAATCTTGATTCTCCTCTCAACATCCAACAATCATCTTCATCATCGTCTTAATTTCTTTCATTCTCTTGCTTCAAAATTACATTTTCAACCATCACTGGTTTTGAATGGGAAAGTAAATAACTGAAATTAACTAGAAATTTGATTTATCACCAATTTGATGAGGATTCAAGAAGTCGATTATTACAGACAATTAATCGTTTCAATTTATGAAATCTCTTTTAATTCACTGCTAATTAATTGATATCAAAATTGTTTGGCTCATCATTTACGATTGAATGGCGTTTTCTGGATGATGATCTGTTTCCATTTTTACTGTGGATTGGTTTAGGTTGGAATTTTGTTGCAAAAGTAAATTTTTTACACTATTTGTTGGTTTATAACGGTTCATTTAACTGATAGTTTAACCAATTGATATTTGACCGTTGGTTACTTCAGGTTCTGGTCAAATGTAAAATTGAAACGGACGATGAATAATGATTAACAATGAAAAGAAAGTTGAAAATTAATGGTAAAGATAAATAAAGCAAATCAAGTTTTAGTCAAACCAACAAGAATAATTTGTTCAAATGTACATTCAATCAGGATAGTAATCAAAAATCAAATGTCTAACTCTTGATTAACACTTGATTAACATTTATTTACTTTTTATTCACTTCTATCAAAAAGTTATTGTTATTGGACGGTTGATTGAGCAAATCATTTTAATAATGATTTCAAAAATATTTTCATCAACGAACCAGAATTTTTTGCTTCGATTTCTCATTCAATATTGTTATTTCATACATTTCATACATTCAAATACTGAGACCGGAAAAAATTGTATTAACTTAATTAAATTGATTCTAATTTATGCTAACTTGACTCTCTTTAACTCTTTCATGTTTTTTTACGGTATGGACAAGTTGATTTGATTTATTTGACAAGTCAACAATTTAGAGTGGTTAAGCTTTAACTTTAATAACTGTAATAATAGTCATTTCAAATCCAATTTTTATATTATATCTAATATTTCAACGATAAGAACAACATTAATTTGTTTCTTTACCCTAATGACAATAACCACGGGAAATGAAACAGAATGTCATATATTAATTGTCCCTCAAAGATAATCAAGGTTGAAAATAAAAGGCGCGCTACAATAGTTGAATAATAATAACAGTATTTTTCATTTTAACCACAATAATGATAGTGTTTTGATTGATAGAGCTGATGATTTGATGACAATAGATGATAATTTTGTTTTGGTCCGTTTATTGTGATGACCATTAATGTGTCTTATGTGGCTGTTAATCTGGTCCAGATGATGTTGTGTTGGATACATTACCGGTGATAAGGTGAGTCCATTTTAAATGTCTTGTTTGATAACTGACAACTAATTGCTTCTTTTATCTATCTAGATTAATGCAGCATATCATTTGCAAAAAACACCAACATCATCAACAATTTTGACCTGTTCCAAAAAATTGTCAAACGCGGTGTCAACACAAGATAAGACAGACACATTTTCCTATCGTCTGAATTTGATATCGCCATATGTCTCAGGATTCCAAGACTTTCTGATTGTTCTACTGCTATTAAGCTTGACTAATTCCTTATTTCAGACTGGAATTCAGTGTTCTTTTATAATTTCCTGGATATGACAAGCAAAAGACCCACCGTTGCCCAAAGGACAAGATTCAAGTTGCCGTAGCTTAATAACCGTTAATTTTCAATCTCTTTACCTTGAAATTTCTTTCACTTTAAACTCATTCACAAATTGTATCGCTGTGATATTAATTGTTGATCATGAATTAAGGTGTAATTTCATGAAATTGATCGAAAATTGTGATACTGTAAACAACCGAAAGCGGACCTGACTGTTTAAGCCACTTCATAGAGAAAGTGTTTTTTTATTTTTAATATTTCACTTGATATTGTATTTAATGGATACAATGAGTGTAATCTAGAATTAAGGTGTGATTATCAAATTAATCGCAATTACTCTCAATCATTATAATGCTTAAACCTTTCTTGGAATGGACTTTTAATGATAACCCTCTGTTTTATCGTACCTGTAAAATCAGTGATGGCCTCTGATTTAATTTCAAGCTTATGTTATGATTAATTGATTGTCACGAGCTGTCAGGGCCATTATTCTTGTTACTGTTATTGTTGTAGATTGAGATGATAATAACAGTGAGAGTAATAATTATTAGCTTTTATTTATTAAAAATTAGATGAAAACTCCACGATTAGCTGTATTTATTGTGAATAAACCGTTAAAATCAAGTTCATAACAAAAGGTTTTTTCAATTTAACCAGCTTAAACCTTTCAAATCTTAATCAAACTGTTTATCAAATATAGATTACCTTTGATTAGTATCACACTTTAATCTTGCCATAGTGATACAACTTAAACTGTGAATGATTGTAAATTATCTATTACAATTAGAGTATTAGATTCTTCCATCACTATCATTATTATTATCGTGTCCGAACGGATAAATGGCCTTAGCTGCACTTTGTTTTTCAATCTTATATTAGCTTTCAATGTTACGGTCATGGATAGAGCAAGTTTAATCAATTGATAATGAATGTTAATGTTTTAGATTGGTTTCCTTGTTTATTAACCATTAATCAAGATTATATTAACTTTCACATTCATTCCAATTGCTAATCAATCGATTGATTGGACTTATGATAGACAGTTATCACTCAATTTCACCAATCTTTAATTTGTTGTAAGATCAGATTGTAAATCAACATCAACAGCAATATTAACGTTTTTTTGGGTAAACTTTTAATCTAAATGATTTAAAAGCTTTTGATGATTCGCTTCAACATTTGATGACTTCATTTGATTCTCATAAACATGTATATTGATTCAATTGCAGTTGATTTAATTGCTACTAAAAGATAAAACAAATCATCTCATGATTCCACCTTTTCACTTGTAAATCATTGAAAATACCAGCAATCACCGATTAACTTTAGACAAGATTGGGTTAAAATGCAGTTTAAATGAAATTCAATAAAATTTACCAAATAAAATTAACGATAATTACCATTATGGTAATTATCGATGTACTGAAATTACTTAATTATTATCCTTTACTTATAGCTTTTTTGTATTCTTGTTTACTGATTGATTAACCTGAATTTCATGCAAATCTTTTCTTGTTTTTCTGAACATTTCGTCCTTTCCAGTTACCATTAAATGATTTGTCATATTTGACATTCATTTGGTTCAGTAAATCAATTCAAATCAATCAGATACTTTCGATTACAATCAATATCTCAAAGAGTTAACTGTTAAATGATTACGGGAGTGGTTTTTGGTTGTTTCAGGTAACAAATCAATTGGTTTACCTCCAAAGTTAACTTTAGGCATTATTTTGTTTAACCATTCATTTGATAGTGAAAATGGTAAATAATGGTTTAATCAAAACAATTAAATGATTTAGGTTTTTTGTTTGATGGAAATTAATTGTAATCAATTTGCTAATAAGGAAAAGTCAAATTGTAAAGATCATTACTCAAGTTTAAATGGACCTTTTTTGCTCTTTATAATTTAATGAACTTTTTGCTGTATTTGTATTGATATTTTTTATATTATTTCATTCTAATTGTCGGTAAATAAAGTATTAATTGCATTTATAATCATCAGTGACTATTTAGAAAGAGTTGAACAACGCGCTCAGCATTTAATAGTAACCAAGGGTAACTTTGGTTCAGTTTGTTTCAACAAGAAACATCTTTTTTTTCAATTGTCACATTGTTCTGTTTTTTCCAACTTGCTTTTTGATTAACTAACAATTTGATTTTCAATTGCCTGTGTATAATTATTTACAGTGTCAGCAATTGTGCAGAATGGAGTCTAAAAATATGTCTACCAAATTAGCTGATGAAATTGCTAAGTTTAATAACCTTCAGAAGGAATATCAAAAAGTGTGTACAACGCATCAACAATTGGATGAACAGTTGAATGAAAATAAAATAGTCAAACAGGTTGGTTACAAATTTTATTTCAACTTAATTATTGCTGGTTTAAATCAGTTGTTTATCTAAATCATTTAGATTTTCAATCTCAATCCTTTTCACATTTTTCCAAAGAATATTTAAACACTGAAAAGTATACCTTTTTATCAAGAAAACTCATCCATTGCATCACTCTTTATCTTCATCATTACAGGAGTTTGATTTATTAGATGAATCTTCAGCTGTTTATAAGTTGATTGGACCTGCACTGATTAAACAAGAACTCAAAGAAGCCAAAGATAATGTTCAAAATAGGATTAAATATATCTCAACTGAAATGTAAGTTCTGTGTCAATCTCTGTTAACGATGTTAACCTTAATACATTTTTTCTACACCCATCTTTTTAAACTCTCTTCATATTAGGAAAAAGCAAGAGGAATTGCTGAAGAGAATTGAGAAACAACAACTTGAACAAAAGGAAGTGATTGGTAAATTGCAAAAGCAAGGATAATTTTTGGTTTTCATTTTTTTATATCATGATTCTTGGTGTATAACAACTTATCTGTTTTAATAAGATGATTGAAAAAAGAACTTAAGAAACTTCGAGTTTATTCGTGACAATTTTATAAATTATTATAGTTATTCTTTAACTTGGATGCTTTTTTGGAAGTCTTTAATGGTCAGTAATCTGTCACTGCCGATACTAAATCCAACTGCCGGTACTTTGTGCTTTTTTCCCGCTAATAAAGTAACCAAACCATCATAACGACCACCACCAGCTACACTGCCAAACCCGTGATCAACGGGATCTTTTAGGGATGCTTCGAAGATTAGTCCGGTGTAATAGTCTAAACCTCTAGATAGACTTAAATCAAATTCAATGCTATCTTTATCTATTCCAAGAGCTTGACAATATTTAAATAGAGTCTTTAATGATTCCAAAGCTTCTTGAGAACTTTTGATCTTTCCTAATTCACCGGCCAATAATTCATCCAGCTTATCTTCAGAACCACGATGTTGTATCAAATCTCTGATTTTATCGACAATAACCTCAGTTAAACCAGTTTCTTTCAGCAAATTTTGTTTAATTTCATCCCAAGAAGTCTGGAAAAATGGATAAAAAGATTATTATCTGGGAATATGAATCTTAAAATCGGATTTTACCTTTTTCAACTTGTCCATGGCTATGAACAAAGTTTTGAATGACTTTTCAGGAGCTCCAGCTAAAGTAAATACGCCTTCCAAAATTGGAACCATGTTTACCTGCGATAAAATAAATATTATAAAACTTGTTGAAGATTATTCTTTGATTTTGAAGCCATACCTTAATGATAAACGATTGCAGTCCAGCATCTTTTAAACACTTGTAAAGCACTCTGATACATCTTGAGTCAGCAATCATAGAATCAGATTGTCCCGCTATATCGAAATCCTGATTAAAAGATAAAAAACAAATGATTGAGCTGTTTCCTTAGGATGTTGTTAACTAGCTTACACATTGATAAAATTCACGGAATGTTCCTTTGGTACAATCTGGGTTGTCGATCCGATAAACTTTACCAATGTGATATCGTTTCATACTGTGCATCTTAAACATAGTCAAGAAACGAGCGAAAGGAACCGTAAGATCGTATCGAAGGGAAAGAATCTCTCCTCCTGTTAATAGACAAAATTTATATGAAATTAGAATTTTTTGCTATCAACCGACTTTCATGAAATCAATATAACCTTGATCTGCAAGATGGAAGATCAACTTTTCTTCTTCTGGTCCATATTTTCCTTGTAGAGTTTCTTTCAATTCACAAATCGGAGTATCCAGAGGTTGAGCACCAGATCGTTTGAAAGTATTCTCAATGGTATTAAAAATTTCTTCTCGGTCCAACATCCGTTCAGGATCATAATCTTGCATCCCTTTAGGTGTATATAAACCAAGCAGTTGGTTACTTTTCTCATCATCAATGGCGTCTCCACCCTGGTGAATTAAGAACAAAAGAAAGGAAATCATTTGAAGTTCTGAAAGATCGTTGAACTATTAAATTAAAAAGTTCTCAATATAGAGAATTGTTATTACAGAAAAATTAACTTGAACAACAACTTACCATTATTTTATCGATTGCATCATTTGTACTAGTAATTTTGTTAGATTCACCTTTAGAAGAATCTCCAGTTAGATCTGATTTTTTTTCTATGAGCATTTTTTTCTAGAAAGAGAAAAAAAAGATGGGAATTGTGAAATAACGCTTCGAATTTGAAAAAAGGCTCTAGCAAAAATAAAATCATCAACTAACCAATTCTTCAACTAATTTGGCTCGTTCGATAGGCGTTTCAGCACGAGTCTTTACATCTCTTATTTTAACAATGCCGTCTTTCAATTCATTTTCACCCAGCATCACAATATAAGGGATGTTTTTCTCTTCAGCTGCTTGAATTTGTGGTAACAATTTGGGATTGGCTTTATCCAAATGATCAACGCTGATCTGAGCATCATCTAGTTCTCTAATTATCTTGAGCCGTTCTTCAACCATTCCTTTTCCGATTGAAATGACAAAACACTCCACTTCCATTGAAGGTTCTACACTAAAACGTTTTTCGATAATAGCCAATATTCTCTCAATTCCAACACTAACGCCAACGCAGGGTACATCATGTTTATCAGCGGAAAGTAAGCCAACTAAACCATCATATCGTCCACCGGCAGCTATTGAACCAACCTCCAGGCCATCATCTTGTAGAACTGCTTCATAAATAACGCCTGTATAATAATCCAAGCCTCTTGCTAAACTCAGATCAAATTCAATCTTTCCTTCGATACCAGAATTTTTACACAAATTGTAGAGAATCTTCAACTCTTCTAAGCCCTTCTTGGCATTTACGTTTTTTCCCAAATCGCTTGAAAGAAGTTCATTCAACATCTCTATTGAACCGTGATATTTGATCATTTCACCGATTTGATCTGCAACAGATTCAGCCAATCCTTTATCTTTACACATTTCTTGTTTAATTTCTTCCCAAGTCAACTAAAATAGAAGCAAAAAAAACAATCAACTTTTGGTAACTTTAAATTGGTCAGAAAAAATCTTTTACCTTTCCCAATTTATCGATTGATGAACAGATTGTTTTGAATTTTTCTTCAGGTACACCAGCTACAGCAAACATTCCATTAAGGAGTAGCCTATGATTGACCTGAAAAATAAAAAGGAAACGTAATTAATGAAACGAAAAGAGTTTAAAAAAAGGTCTTAAAATAACCAACCTTAATTATAAAGGATTTAAGATCTAATTCGTTTAAAACTTCACAAAGAACTTTAAGACATCTTGAGTCCGGCTCTATTGGTTCAAATTTACCAGCAATATCAAAATCCTGAAAAGAAATGAGATTTGAAATTTTCTGAACAATTCACTTGCATCCCTCCAAAACTAACACATTGATAAAACTCGCGAAATCTTCCTTTGGTAATTGATGGATTATCTCTTCGATAAACAGCATTTATTGAATATCGGGTCATTTTGGTAATTTTATGTTGAGCAAGGTGACGGGCAAACGGCACCGTGAGATCATAACGAAGTGAAAGAACATCTCCTTCTATTATCATAAGACGAAGAGTAAGAATTAATTAAATGAGTTTTAAAATTGTTCAATCTGTACTTACCTAGTTCTTCAAGATCGTAAATAAGTTTGGAATCTTCTCCGTATTTACCGGTCAACAATTGCTTAGATTCCACAACTGGAGTATCTAAAGCTAAAGCACCGTTTCTTTTGAAGGCTTCAGTAATAATCTTAAAAACCTTTCGTCTTATCAGCATTTGTTGCTGACCAAAATCTCGCATTCCTTTGGGCGGCTTGAGAACATTTTTTAGATCCTTTGAAATTAACTTGATAACATTTTGACTTGCCATGTTGCAGGTAAACTTGATCAACACTCTTTGGTTTCAAAACTAAAACTAAAACTTGTGCGTTGGCAAATGGAGTTAATGTTTACAGTTTTCTACAGTCGTTGCACACTTTTTTGAAGACTCTTTAAACAGGTCGAAAGAGAGAAAGGCAGACGTTTCAACTATCTTCCAAAACAAAACAATTCAATCATAAAAAGTGTTTACAGACTGTGAAAAAAGTACTCATTCCTCTTGTTATCAACCGGTAACAGTAGATCGTCAGATGGCTCTGCAAACAAGGTTACAATCAAAAACACCGGTTTATTTAAAAAGAAAAAATTTCATCAAAAACTGAATTAAAATTAGTTTACAACTGATTAGCTGTTAAAACAGTCTATAATAGTAAATCCGATTTTTCGACTGATCCATAGACATGTCCAAACAAAACTCCAAAGACTTCTGGTTAACCAACAGACTGACAACTGTCAATTAAATGAACATTTCACAAGATTACTTTTTACCAAATTCACAATCCAAGTTGAAGAAAAACACTTTATAGAACGGGTCAGACTATCGAAGATTATATTCTCAGTTAATTTACATGGATTTAATGTTAAGCTAATGAAATTAAATTCATTTCACAAAAGATCACCAAACTGAGCTCAATATTCAATTTACAAACAAAAATAATCACCACCTGATCTATAGTTTTAAACTTGCTCGATAGATGACTCTACATGGAACAATCGAAGCTGAATGAAATTTTTTAGATCGACTTAACTTTTTAAATTGTTGCGTTTAATTATAACAATTAGAAGTTTTTTTTCGCAGCATTACTTAACGACTTTGGCCATCTTAAATGGTATCGATCGTTTGGAGTGGACGTTAACCTTGATAAGGCAAGTTTGGTGCCAATATGAATGCGAAAAGCGTTTGTTGGTTTACCTTCTCTGATTGTCACTGATATGGACTGAAACCGGTTTAACAGTCGCTTCTTGTGTACCTTTTTGAGTGAGTATTTTTTGTTTATCCCGTTAAAAACATGTTGAACATTATTCAAGTATTTACTGAACAGTGAACATCAGCTAACTGGATACAGTTGATTATCATCTTCACCCTTCTAGATGTTTGCAGTGTCTTTATACTTCTGGTCAGCTTGCTTGTCTCTACCGGCTATGAACACAATGAGTGCGATACCTTTCATAATTTGGATTTAATGTGTTACATTTTAGTGTCAACCAATTGAAGCTGCAAATCAACTCTAAATTTAATTGCCAGTGAAAATGTGTGACTTAATTGACAATTTTACCAATCAATAGGATACAACCTAAAAGGAGTCCAAAAATTGTGTTACTTTTAATAAACAACCTTTGATAATCATCGTTTTATTTACACTATTATTATACCTCATGCTCGGATATTTTTCACCAAATAGACTCAAAGGTAAGCACAATTAAACTGTACAAATAGCTAATCAATAAGATATAATCATCTGTCAGTGATTCCCAAAAAATCCCATTGATCAACCCAAAAAACCCAAACAAACGTTTACAAACATTGCTTCAATGTCAGGCCTAATGTTGTCCATTTTCAATAGCGCCTATCATCCAAATTAAAGAAGCAATCGTAACTGTAGCAATTAGCATTATTGTAATGTCATTAGTTGATTGGCCATTTACAATGTGTGCTAATTAATTACATAAAAAGCAATTGCTTTTCAATAGCAATTGATTCTTCTTCCAACATTAGCTTTTCTTGAAAGCGAGCAACTATTTTTGATCATGACAGTCAACTTACTTTCAATTTAATTACTTTAATTAACAGTCATTATTTGTTGTCATCCCTTAAACGGTACATTACTCTTAATTGTTGTTAACAAATATTTGCTTTTAATCAACAAGTTAAATTCCTTGACAATTTTGTCGCCTTAATGGTAAAGGGTTAAATTGAGTTGACATCATTTTTCAAATGATACTTTGGTGCAACATAATCATCATTTTTAGGCTGATTCACAATCATTTTACATTTCACTACATTAATTGCAATCAATCAATAATAAGGGCAAATTAACCATCACAGTTTTATCAACATTAATACAATAATTACTTTTTATTATTAAAAGCCTCAAGTAGCAATGAACATTCAGAATCTTTTTTTTCTGGTGATTTGTGAATTGAAAAAAAAAGTATTAAGATGATGATGAAAAGCAAAAACTATTGAGGTGACCTTTATCATCATAATTAGGATGATATGGGTTTTCATGGTAAACGTTGAATTTGGGCGACAGAATTTTCTTTCTAGTTAACAAATTGTAATCATTTTGGCAAGCAATTTAATGATTAAACCATTAATCATTATCAGAATGCAAAGACTTGGTCAATGGGAAAAAAAACCAAAACACTGAAAACAACCCAAATTGAGTTAACCTCAAAATCAACCCAAAAATTGGTTGACAATTTTTCTGGTTTTGTAAAAATAATACTTTTGTTTATATTTGTATTTAATTGTTGTGTGTTTTACATGTTGACTTCATTAAATTAAATTATAAAACAAGATGAGAATCCAGTAAATCATTTAACTACCACGAATTAATCATTAATGATAATATGATTTGTGTATTTAAACCGGATTTAAGTTTTAAATATCATTATATAATGTTTTCAATGTTTGCTATTCATTTTCTGGTTAATATTTTACCCATTCATATGATTATTATGGGATAATCTTTGAGCAACAATAACCATTTCAATTAAACATTTAAACCTTACCTTGTAACCTTTATATTAATTTTTCTTGTTCAACCTCTTCTTCCCAATTAAACAGCTTTTTTTAATCAACACAATTTAGCAAAGGTTTAATAGTAGACTTGGTTATAAATGTGAAATTATTCGATTAAATGGATCACAATTTGGGTCATCAAATGGTATAATTTAATAGTGTTTATTACCAACTCCTAAATCATTTGATTATTGTTTTGCATTGTTAATCAAGTTAATTTACCAAATTTCAATTGTCCAAAGTTTAATGTTTGGTTAGGTTTGAAAAGACAATTTCATTTGGATATTGGAAATGAAATTAATTGTTGTCTTTCTAATTGATTGCTAGTTAAGTTGATGATAGCAAAAACTTTCACATCTTCATAATCCTGTTGGGTTACCATTAATTGTAAATCAAGTTTATAGCTTTAATAAGGTCAATTAAGATCAATATCTTTCTTTTTTAATCATCATCAGAGTTGTAATCATTTAACGTTTTAAGGTCAATCATAATGATTTAAATTGATTTTGATAACAAGAGAATTGTTTTCAATGTTATCCAATTCCTGGTTGAATCTTTGGGTTTTGGGTTAACCTTGGTAAACTTTTAACCAGATAATTGCCAATTTAACTACGAAAGATCATCAAAAGCTAAAGAATTAAAATTATCCAAATCAATTTTATTCTGGTTCACTTTGTCTAGTTAGCTCTTGCAACTGTTTTTTTGAGGTCAATGGTCCGAAAAATATTGGACTGTACAAGTTTCGCTGTAAAAATGCATCAATGCTCAAATAATGGCGAATCTAGAAAAAGCTCAAAAAGATTGAGACTGAATCTCAGTGACTTTCATGTTGCATGTAAGAGACTCGGAAGATAATCCTACTCAATTTTTCCTGAAACATTGTGAGGTAAACATGAAGTGAACTTGAAATTCATTGAAAAACAACAAAAAAGGTTGAACAGCATTTGCTGTTTTCCCGTTATGATAATCATTCAACTTGACGTTGAAAAATGGCCAATCGCAGGTCATATTAAGGGCGACAAATTCACTTCTAATAAAGCTCAAGTTTCAGTCAATTTAAAAACAAATTCATTAAAGTCTAAGATTCAATTTACATCAGAAAAAACAACTTCATTTTCAAGACAGTTTCAGTTGATTCCATCCTTAGAATTTCTGTGTTTGTATTCAGATTATTTTCCAGTTTCATTTTACCCAATTTCAGGTTTCGTTCGAGACTTGAGTTAGAAAAAAAAACGATGAGCTGAACCTTGCAAATGACTTTTAACTGATGCAGCCGTCTATTTCAACCTTTCAAGTCTGGACAAGATTTTATCTTCGAGTTTATCATTTCGTCAACATTGCTCAATATTTGAACTCAGTCACCAGTTGGATTAGTCAAACTAAAGGGTTAAATTGGTTGACAATAATGGTCACTTGAAGCAATGACAAGTAAGCATAATGAGCTAAATATACAAAAAAGGATAAAAGTTAAACTGCGACAACTTTCAAAATTAAATGCTTCCCCAAAATCATATACACTTGTCAGTTCATATCCGTATCATAATGCAAGTGTACCTTTAATCATCACCATCATCATCATTCTAATCCAGTCCAAGATACAATTTAAAGTTTACTTCAACTGGATAATAATGGTAATCTTAATCAAGTCAACAGTTAAGCATCGTTTACTACATTTTATTGCGTTCAAGTGGACAAAAATTGTTTACCAGAAACAAAAAACATGGATCAAAACTGTTGCTTTTGGTCATTTCTTGTTTAATTTTGTCCGGTTGAGAAATTTTTTTCCGTCTTTCTTTTTATTTACCAATTTTTACTCTTGCAACTCTTTAGATGATGATGAGTAAAATTCCGGAAATCAACTACAATTACCATCAAGATGAGATAAGTTTTACACTCACACACTCACAGAATCAAGCAAAAACTGTGGTTAAGGTTGGGTCTTGGTTAATTTTACAATTTTCAACCAACTATTAACTTGCACTTGAAGGTTTAAACAGACGCAAAACAAATGAAGGCAACAATTAAATTTGATTAGAATCATCATCAACTCAACTTATCTCTTATATTGATTAATCAACACGCAAAATCAAGTCACTCCTTCAGTTACAGGGTTATTTATCATGAAAATTATCAATTTTTCTTCAACAGAAACAGCAACATTTACCCAAACAGAAAGGATAAAAAAGTAACTCAAAAACAAGTAAACTGGTTCAAAACAGTTTACCTCAATCCCAATTAGATATAACACCTCAAGTTTGATCGCTAATTGTTCAAAACTGATGGAACTTCGAAAGAAAAGATTCAGGAACAACTTCGTTTTGAACACTTTTCGAGATTGTCTTTAAGCATTTGATTTTGCGAGTCCAACTCGAGGAATGGATTTCGTCTTGAAAAGTATTGCAAGTCGCTTCAGTCCTTAAAGACTTTTGATAATTGCTCAAGTTCCAACGACTTGGACTCGAATTTTGAGGAAAATTTGAACATTTCATGTTCAGATGAAAGCCATAATCGAAGTGTTTGATGTTTCAAATTTTGTTCATTTTCTTTCGATGAGATTTTCCATTTTGTTCATATTTTTGCAGATAATCATTTTGGGTTAATTTAATTGCAATAAACATATTTCATTTTCTTGACTGTTATTAGCTGATGAACAAATGAATCTGATTGTTATTAATTTTGCTTTCCTTCATCGTGATAATCAAACAATAATGATAAACTTTATTTTACCTTTTCTTTTTCTGGTGTTATTTTTGCATCTGAAGATGTTCAGATTCTTGTTCATGAACCATGATTTGATTCAAGATCAACACTGATTGTTTAATAAATTGTTGTTGCTTTTTTGTTGTGCCTATTAATGGTCATGTTTTTTAATTGGTTAC